GCATGTCTAGAAGGGGGGGTGATGTCAGGGCACCAGCTCATTGCTTGGTCAAGAGACATGACTAAGCCTTTATGACATGGAAGTAGCTGGTATACCTTGGCATGTGCTGGAACCTGCTGGAAGGATTGGATGGTCAGGTGACCTGCTGTGCATGGCTGTGCATGACCTCATATGACCTCATCCTTGGTCATATGACCTGATCACCTGACTAGGCTGAGTAAGCAAGATGTTCTAGCAGGTTCCACCACAGAGGTATAAATATAAGGCCTACTCTGCCTGGGACTGTCTCTTCAGACTTGGTCTCTTAGGATCATCCACAGGTACCTATACTGTAGATAGGTCTTAGTCATCAGGTCTACTCCACTTCCTTGTTGCCTGCTTAGACTCTTGGCACTCTTAGGTGAGCAGACTTAGTCAGCCTGTGTTGCCCTAACAGTCTGTCAGTCTGGAAACAAGTGAGTATATGGGACTACCACAAAAAAGAGTGCTGCATGCCTTGGAGAAGAGGATGAGGGTGAAGGTCTGAGCGATGCTCTCTTCACATGCTCATGCCTCCTGCTCCTCTCTCTTGCATGCCTCAGCTGCCTGCAGCTTTGACAGTTGAAAGGCACTGTAATCTTCCATCATCTGGTGCCCAATTCTTGCTGGGCCATGAAACACCTGAGTAGAAGGTGGCTCATGCTTGCCAGCCTGCCTTGTGTCCTCAAATTCCCACAATGGTTCATCTTCTTCCTTCTCCCATTCACCAGCTCTCCCTCTGTCACCATGCTGACTCCTGCCTCTCTCATTACCCTGCTTGATGGTTCCTCACTCTTTCCCTGCATGATAGTTGCAATTGAGTGACTGGCCCCATTGCTTGCACATATTGGCGTCTCGACAGCACTGTGAGCACCACTCCTTCTCACAAGCCAGTGCTGCATGCCCAGACCCGCAGGCAATGCAGTGCCTGTATTGCTGACCTGCCTTGTCACTTGCAATTCGAGCTCACTTATGTGGCCATTCATCTCTTGGTGGACTTGAACTCCAGGGTGGGAGCACATTGTTCAGAAGTTCACGGAGAGTGTCATGATCATCAGGGTGGAGTTTTTTGGCAATAAACTGCATCTGATCCTCCTTTGCAGCATGTCTATAGCACTAAAGTAATGTAATAGTGAGCTTCAAAATGGAGAAGTGCAATGAAAAGGAACTTACCAGAGCCATGAGCCATCCATAGTCATCCTTGTCCTTGTTGAGCTTCTTTGTGTTCCGAAAGATGCACATGACACACACACTACCACAGTGTAAGCAATACACTTGCTTTGGGATTCAAATCTTCTGTGATGGGTCATCAATGCGTGCATTCATCATAGCCATGACATCTTCTATTCTGATTGCAAGAGGGGGAGAGTCAACATCATCATCAATGTTGAACAAGGAGAGTAGCTGGGCTACAGTGCCTTCGGGGGTGTATGATCTGCCACCAAAGGTGCAGATGCCAATGGATCCTAGTTGAAGGCAGAGGAGTTGAAGGCAGGAGAGTTGGAGATGTCTCAAGACTGTACTGTGGTGGTGGGAACAAACAAAAGGTAGAAGTGGTACACTGCATGAAAAGTGAAAATTGAGGGACTCAACACTGTCTTTAGTGGTAAAAATGGAGCCCAAATCTTCCTTAACCCTTGATGAAGATCATTGATGGTGGAACAATGTTGATCATTGCAAACACCATCCTGCCCAGTCTGAAGCAAGTACAAGGATGATGTCAATGTTTGCCCTATACCCAGCTGCATTGTTGGTAAAGCAAAAATGACATTAGGGGGACTAGGACAGTCCATCAGAGTAGCTTAAACTGTCCAAGAGTGCACAACACAGCCCTAAGCAATGATAGCAAGCCATTATTGAAGTAAAGCAGGATGCAGGAGGACATGGGGTTTAACAGTTCAACATTATCAGTATTAAATAGCTATAGTGTTGTCAGCCAGCAATTACAACACAGGTCAGGGTCAAATGCCCGGTTATTCAACTATCTATATTGTGCCTATGCACCTATGCACTGCATCAAAACTGTCATGAAACTGGAAAGCCCTCGGAATTGCCGCACTGAGCCATGTGTGGCCACATCAGGGTCCCAATTGGGCAGAGGTCGAGTGTTGACATTAATAAGCTGTTGATTATTTGAGTGAAAAGTAATAATACAGTCCAATGTTCCAATGCAGACAGGGACTCCATATGTGTGGGCAAATTGTTGATTATTACATTGAAAAGTAGCAAGATATTTTGATGTCATTACAAAAAGGGGAAGGACCCCGCACCGAGGGGTGCCGCGCTGTTCAGGAGTTCACTGTGCAGAGATCCCATTCTAAGTGGGTGAAACACCGCGCAACTCGATCATGTGAGCCGCGCCCCCTGCGCGGCTCACGTGATTCACCTGTGCTCTCAGTATTGCTTGATTTGATGAAGTTTTCAAGATTTTATTGAAACAAAAGAAAACAGACCAGTGGACACCAATGTTATTGTTCTGTCTACTAAACTACTTTCCAAGCAATATTGAACAGTGAGTGAGAATTGTGTGTTGACTGGCCAGGTAGCCCAGCACAGTCCTGCGTGGCAGCCAACTCGGCTGCGCGCGGCAGACGCGGCAAAATATCCCTACCCTGCTTGGATGTGGATGGGAGGTCATCCTCACCGACCATCATCGCCCTCGACTTCTTACGCCCCGTTCTCATTATCAAATATCAGCCAGATTAGTACGACGCATATCGTCATTCCTATTTCCGGGTGATTATCGGCCAGTTTTCACATTGTTTGTCAATTCGTCTGGAGAAGCTCGCCACTGCCACTCTCCCAACCTCCCGAACGACAATGAAGTTCACTACATATCTCTCGCTATTGGCAACGGCTGCGTCCCAACAGGACACAACAGGGCTAATTCAACTATTGCGGATGGACACAAATGAGTCTAAGGAGCTGATCAGAGATGTGGTTAATCCCTCAGTGCGTCCTTCTCGTCCTCGTGTCTCACCCCCCCCCTGATGTCGACTGCAGAGATCAGCTCTGCTAGGCTTCAAAGGGACTTGTGAAGCGCCATGGGATGAAATTGCCATCACACATTTGCAAGTTATCACTAAGGTCGCTGCAAGGGAGCATGTAAACGCATATAAGGAGCAAGCCAAAATGATATCGTCCGTAATGCCCATCCTCTCTTGTTCACCAGCGCCTAAAGAACCGAACAGTGAAATGCTCCGGTGGTTCCAAAGCCAGACGTCGTGGTTTTTAGAAGTATTGTATCGGGTTCTAGATGACTTACGGGAACTGGCAGCTCGCGTGCGTTTGCTCATGTTCTGCTCTTGCACCCCTGACAAAGCGTGCAGGCGGATGAAGAGATAATTGAGAAGGGCGATCCGTCTAAACAAGCAGACTCGCTGGAGGATGCTGCTCGCGTTATCGGAAACTGCTTCTCGGCTTGCATGACGGACCGGTATGTATTTTGTGTGCTTCTTCCTGCCTAATACATAACCACAAACTTCAGTCTAAATCAGCCAGACGTCTCAAGAAAAAAGGGTGTTTACTACATAGCAGGGTTGGCTGTGAAATGTTATTTCCGGGTTCGTGCATTAAAACCTCTGATAGATTTTTTTGGCCTTACCCATTGTTCGTCTCAGATAAATAAGACAAATTTGGCGAAGAATATCATCCGAGCAATTGATGCCAATGCAGACACACTGCCGGCTTTTGAAACCTACCCTCGATCTCATCAAGTACGTAAAGCGGCTACTATGAACAAGCGCCAAAATGTCTGATTCTTTTCGCAGGTGACATGGCGATATTACCTTGCGTTGCTCGATTTCCTTCAAGAGGAGTATGACAAAGCTGAGCGCGGCTTCGTATTCGTATTCTACAATTGTCCCAAGCGAGCGAAGCGGAATAAGGAACTCGCGCTCACCTACCTCATCCCCATACGACTGCTGAAAGGCATTCTTCCTTCCCGCAGGCTTCTTAATCGATTCCCCAAACTTCAAGAGTTGTACAAGCCATTCACAAGTGCTATAAGAAAAGGCGATATTGAAGCATTTGACACGAGACTCGCCTTGGCAGAACTCAGACTTGTAGAGGCGGGCGTGTATCTTACCGTGGAACGGGCACGAGAAGTTTGTTTGAGCCGACTCTTCCGGAAGATGTGAGCCGATGGTATTTTCTCCGTGAAAAGAGCTAATATATGCGCACAGTTGGATCGCCCTTTCAAGTCCGGAACCTGTATCTCGAATACCAATATCGTCATTTCGGACTGCACTCAAAATCAGCGGTCTCGACATCTCTCAGGAGGAGGTCGAGTGCCTTCTGGCCAATATGATCTACAAAAGCTATATTCGGGGCTATCTCAGCCACGGACACGGGCTCCTCATCCTCAGCAAAGTCGCGCCGTTCCCATCACTCCTGATACGAACAGACCCAGAACCGTTCGAGAAGATGACAAAACATTGATTGGTTTTCAGGTGGGCTCCCCAGTCATCAGTATCTCTCTGGAATTTAGACCGGCGCGATGCCATCCACGATTGTTTCTTGTAGCCTGATATGTTGGCACGAATGAATCACATGTACCATGTATGCATAGGGAAGCATCATTATGGACAGATATTGGCTACGTTGTTCTGCGCCATTGTGCCATCCAGTGATTTGGCTGGTATGAAGAAATGGAAGATATCCCTCTATGGAAGGAGCATGGGTAAGAGACATGTTGGTATGCTGTCGAGCTTCTAATCTTTCAGACATAGGGAAGACTTCCCACCTGTCCGCTGTACTTCTTCCTCTTCTTCTTATCTTCGGTCACGGTACGAACGGGAGCTCCGGGAACGTCGCGATCGACGGATGTGACGAGCCATTTGGACGCGCCTTAAGCGTAGTGTCAGTCATGCACGAGGCTTAAGTGAAGAGCATACCGATGGAGACAGGGACATTACGACGTGCAGCAGGGATAGCCCTGCAGGAATCGGGGATAATTGTAGTATAGATCGGATCAGGATACGGGTGGACGAAGGTAGAGCTGTAATCATCATCGAACCAGGACGCCTCGATCCACTTCTGACGCCAACCTACACAATGGGTCAGTATATTCAGAAATGCATGCAGGGTCGGGATACTTGCCAGATCGCTGAACATCGCGATCGGTATTATAGGTAGAGTAGAAGATGGTCGAGACATGCTTTTCCCACCCCCTTCGACAGTTTTTCAAAAACGCACCCCAGCGGTGCTCTCCGAGGATACTATTGTAGAATCCATCTTTTTCGCGTGCGACGCTGACTAGAATCATGTCGTTCTGGGATAGATACGTGTCATAAACGATACGTGAGCTCCGCAAGACGTAGACTTACGCGGGGCATCCAGTAGATGTAGAAGAGCGAGTCTTTCTTGATGATCTGGCTGATCTTCATGTGAGACTTCTGTTCACACGCAAATATATCACCTTACGCCAACCACTGAGCCAGGATTACCTCGGCGCCACCGTGTACCTCAAAATCGATTGGCTGCACTTCAGGATAAGGAAGTTTCACGCAAAGGATGCGCGGCTCCTCGGACGAGGGCGGGGGTGTATCGGAACGTTTGACCATATCAACGGCAAGCTGTAAGCAGTAGAGTAGTCTTTCTCGTGTGGAGAAGTTGCCAGAGGAAGGAGAAAGAGAGACGTCCGTGCAGCAAGCAGAGGAAAAGACGCGGTTGTAATGCGGCCTGCCAAGTGGTGGAGTACTACCTTGCGCCGTCCCACCAGCCAGCCGCGTCCGCTTTATGAGAAATTAATGACCGAATATATTCTCGACTCTTATAGGGGATCCTCCTCGAATTAAAACCGGAACATCCTTTGGTAACTAAGGTGCCATGCTGCGGTCATTGAAGGCTTGTATGCATCCACAAGTTCAATCTCTGACATGAGCAGTCTTTCGACATTTCATCCATATCCATGTCTCCAGCAGCCAATGTAAGACCATCTTCTATCACGCTGGTTCCTACGCGCAAGGCCCGAGTTTGTCGCTGCAGCGTGACTGAAAGTATCAGAAGGGTTGCCAGCGCCTGATCTGATCCTCACGCCTTCCCAGTTTCCCGGGCCGTTGCCTAAAAAGGATTTACCTTACGTAAATGTGATGTGTAATCCGAAGTGCACGCGTGAAACGCGTCACGGTGGCTCAATGGACTTTGAAGATATATGAACAACGCCTGTGGTTGTGATTGTCTTACAATCGAGTCGATCCAACACCAAGACCCCAACGAGCTACTCTGTCGATCGTGTAGGATGTCTCAGAAGGAAACCCCTACAACCAAGAAGTTGACCGACTTCAAGCTTCTTTGCTTCGACTGCTATGGAACCTTGATTGTGCACAGTTTCCCCATCAAAAGGCGAGAATACCACTGATATTGTCCTCTAGGACTGGGAGACGGGTATTTATAATGCCTTGGAACCGCTGCTACAGCGTACCCCGGAGTCTAGGGCATGGTCTAAAAAACAGGCTCTTGAGACCTTCTGTCTCGTCGAAGCAGCGATTCAGGAGAAGGATCCTGCATTGCGCTATACAGATGTTCTCGCAGAGACATACAAAGAGCTCGCGAAAGACAACTTCGGTTATCATCCCTCACAAAACGAAGCAGACATTTTTGCCGCCAGCACTGCCCGGTGGTATCCTTTGCCCGACACGGTCGATGCCCTCGCCGAACTCAGCAAGCATTACAAACTTCTCGTGTTGTCTAATACCGATCGCGTCATCTTTGATCAATCACGTCGTTTGCTTGAACATGGTTTCACATTTGATGAGGCACTTCTCGCAGAAGATCTGGGTCATTACAAGCCTGATCTTCGTAACTTTGAGGATATGCTCAAAGTCGCGAAAAACAAATTCGGCATAGAGAAGGATGAGGTGCTTGTCACCGCTCAAAGTTTATTCCATGATCACGTACCCGCAAACAAGCTCGGGCTCGCCAGCGCCTGGATCGCTCGGAGGGATGCGTTTATTGGACACGCGGGTCCGGAGGCGAAATACGACTGGAAGTTCGACAGCATGGGCGACATGGCGGCCACTGTGAAAGCTGGAGCATCTCAGTGAATATAGAAAGATGAATTACGTGTTTATTACTGAAGAAATCCACATGCCGACAGTCAAATGCAATAGTGATACAGTGCGTTGATCACGGACGTGAAGCCCTATAATACTGATGGAGATAAAAGAAGCATAAAGTTCTAGAAAAAATCAATTGATATTAGAAACAGTACGTCGCCGAACTGATGGTCTTCGGCCCTGAGGCATATCCAGTGATATTCTCCGGTCAAATTCGTCGACTTCCTCTTCTTCTTCAGGCTAAATGATATGGGTTTAGTAACTGTATCTTGTTGGGGGACAGACAATCACGCACAAAAGTCACGCTTGGGGAGCTTGTATCTGAACCAAGAGGATCTGGCGAGACCGATCTGAAGTGTTCCTCCTTGTCATCTTCAATCCAGCGCTCAATAGTCCCACCATCATTCTGGTGTTCTCGCCTTCCCTCGTTATCCGAGTTCGTGCTAGCGGATTGGATTATAGACAACGAGCTGGATCTCGAAGATGCGGGCAAGGTGGGCGGAAGGCTCGAAGGCAGACGAGGTTCTGGTTGGCCAGATGCCTTGCCCTTTCCTCTCTTCTGCAGGGCATGCCATAACTTGCTCGCACGGCTCTTCTTCCCATTTAGGGAATCAATACTTTGATGGCTGTCAATAGACGACTGCGACTTCCTGCTAGCTTCACTGTTCTGTCGTGATTGCTGGAGAAGATGCTGTGGTCGCCGCGATTTGGTGACAACCTCCTTGAAAAGAGCCCCCTTCTGCTGCCAAGCGGCCTTTATGACGTCCCTCCTAAGTTGTTGCACCACATCCTCGAACTGCAAAACGTAAGAGCTCTCTTCAAAGGAGGGAATTAAGGTACTCACGCTCCACGTCTGATTGTGATACTGGAAGGAGGGAACTTGGAAACGGAAGTCATACAGGTCCGTGATACTCTTCGTCTTCTCGCTCTGTTTGACGATGTATCAGCGGTGATTCATCCTCCAACACAATACAGACCTTGTAACTCAGGACTAGGACAGAGCTTGCGACATTGATCTCCAAGAATGTACGATTCTGCGCTGCTCGAGTGCGCATCTCAAGAGCATCTCGGTTTTCTGTGGGCGATGAGGCGCTCAACAAAGCTTCTGACGAGGATACGTGCTTTAGGCTCTTGGGATGAGGGCCTGACCCAGCTCGTGTGACATCCTGGAATGAGGATGGCCGATTCAGTATCACCCTGGGTTTCTGAAGCTTTCCCACTTCATCCGTTGATCTCTCCACTTCTTGCGGTCCAGATGAGTGGCGCTTGCTTAAAGGGAATACCGACGATCGTGGAGTAGAGGCGGAAGTACCAGAGCCGTTTGAGCGTGCGACCGGCCTATCAGGCCCTTCAATTTCCTTCCGGCGCGCGCTCCGCGCAAAAATGTAGTCCATAATTTGGCGACCAACTTTTCTCTCGATCTGAAGACGAATTGGATGGAAATGCAACTCGAAGGATCGTATAATGGAGATCCCAGACACAGGTGCTAGCGTGCTCCAGGAAGCTCGGACAAACTTCCCTGACCTCACCATAGGATGTGTTGCCGGTCGCTCATACTTGCACAGAATCTCCGGAAACAGTGCTTCCGGCGTACTATTCAGCGCTAGCAGATCGTCCAGCTCAAGAGTGCTGTCTGCAGAACCGTCCTTCCTGTTCAACCACGAAAACACGATGCCTTTGACAGAGAGCTTTGCCAGGAGAGCATGCCTCGGATCCAGCATCATCCAGGAAATATCTGACACATAGGTCTCCACCCGTACGGCAGAGCTGTCGCCTTCCACCGTTCGACCTCCAGCCTTGTCTTGCTTCAGCTTGATTGCCTCGAATATGAAGCTCAACTCTTCCGCTAAGTTCTGCATTTCGGCACGAATAGCCAGTTGCTCCTGCATTGCACCCTCGTGGGGCGGCTTCAATATATTTGCATTTTCCACTTCGGCCAAGTAGCGCATCCTTCTTTGCAGGCCCGATACGACGTCAGCGGCAGAATCGAGGTCGGTGAAATCATAGCTGTACAGGAAGGTTTTCAGCTTTTGCGATCGAGCCTTCTGTGCCGGATCCCGGTATAGCAGCAGATCGGTTGCAACGTTGTAGACCGCGGTAAAGTTGCGGGCATCAGCCGAGACAGAGAACGAAGGTATGCCGATTACTAAACGATCCATGTTGAGCTTCAGATGTTCGTTTCTGCGTGACAGATTGTCCACTGAAGCTGTTCGCATATTCTTTCGAAGTCTGAGCTGGTTGAACTTATCGTAGTGCAGTTTCGCGTCGGTGTACGGGACCAACCGCTCGAAGTCACGTGTCTCACTTCGGAGATCGAGCAAAACCTCCAGAGGCACAAATACGTGTGATGTTGCCAGAACTTGATCCCGCGCAGGATAAAATGCTTGTAATCCGCTCAAAGAGAAGTAGTTTCTGGCCTGATATCAGCGGGATAGCGCTTTGCATAAGTTTTGAAGGCCTTACCGCTGCATAATTGGGCCGTTGATAGGATCATCGAGATGCTCCCGGTCAAGGACAGTGAAGTTCCGAATATACACAGAGCGAATGGCAACAACGGTAATAGAGTCTGCATTGAGATCGCTTCGAAGCACAACCTGCGGCTTGATCAATCGTGCAATGTGGCTCTTTCGAATCAGCACATCATCCAGCCAGCCGGTATGGGGATCTTCGAAAATGTCATCGGTATGATGTGGCCGCCACCTCGGGGAGTCATCAGATGCTCTACCGTCGTGTGTGAAAAGCCGGAACAGGCCTTGGGCAGCTCCCTGTACACGGCCGGTCTGTGAACTTGTGCCTAACGCGGGCTGCGATGATGCTCTGAATTCATCCGCTTCCGGGGGGATGTCATTGACAGGCTTGGCATGGTCACGGATGAATTTGATCGCTCTATACCATGTCAGCATATCTTACTGATATTACCGAATTCTCACCTCTCCGTCATGTGATATTCAAGTCCACGATGTGCACGTGAGCTGTAGTAATAGTCCAATAAGACCTGCAGATCTTCGTCAAGAGCTGGACTCTCAAGGGGAATGTCAGAAATCAGTACATTACGGGTATCATTATTTAGGAATATAGTGGGAAAGTGAGCCTCATAGACATTGTCAAAGTTCTTCCAATCTTGTGACGTGCTGGCCCCGTTGTTTGTGTCCGAGTTGCTTGGAACAAATGCGCCTTGTTCAAAGAAGGAATGATTAATCCCGCCATCTGCGCCTGCCTGTTGCTCAGCACTCTTCAGTCGAGTGATGTACTCCCTCAATAATCGTATTTTCATGAGCAAGTCCGCCTCTCGATCCATCTATAATACAGAATAAGCCATGAGAAGCGGGAGGAAGACGCACACTCACCAGCGATGAACCTGGCTTGTCGATAGAGTCGTCATTGATCTGATGTACGCGCTTGGACTCTCGCTTGGTTCTGAGCAATTCCTCCAATTCTGATTCTAACTCCGCCACCCTCTTGGATGTCAGGCTAATCTGGACCTGATACGCATCTGCTCAAGAAATCAGAACAAGCGACGTCGCCTCAATAGAGTATCGCACCATCCGCCTGACCAGCTAAACATATGTGTGTGTCCTCGTCTCCAAACTTCGTCACTTCCATACCTGAGTTTGACGAATGATCAGAACTCCGCCGATTGAGTCGACGTGCGTTTGCTCGTTTTGAAAAGCTGAAGCGAGGACAGGTTCCGATACGAAGCAAGCGGATCTTGGGTTTATGGTCGGAAGGCGACCAATCGACATCCACAAAGTCATCTAGATCAAACCATCCCGGCTCTACCTCATCACAGACAAAGCTGAAATGACTTTCAGCTTCGGCTGAGTCATCATCGTCAATCCCATCCACAACGGTCGTCTTCTCCGGCTCTGAAAAGACGGCCGCCATTGTGCGCATCTCCACGTTTGTCAAGGTTACGTCGGCAGCACAGAAACGCTTGCGAACCCTGCGCTTCGTCGTCTGCAGTTTTTCATGAAATATGACAACTTCCTGCAAGCGCTGGTGTAGATCGGCTTGAAACTGTTCGACCATCGCTTTGATGCCGACTGCCCCAGTCTCGCCTCTGACCCATTGAGACCTGGAGTCTTGCCTGTAGTTATGTGAGATCACTAGCGGAGAAAGCGACACTCGATATTTGATCGTAGCGAGGTGTTTTCCGAACTTCTTTGATGGGGGCTTGATTGAGGGAAATAGTTTGCCTTGTCGGATGGGAACGGACATGGTCCCGTCGAACAAGCTAACATGGATATTAGATTTACTATGCAAACGGGCGGACTGTCGCTTACCGCCACCATGAGAAGAAATGTGCAAATCCTTTTGGCGTGAGGTGCGCACTGTTGTATCCTGAAAGCCCTGCACCGTTAGTGCGAGCTGAGGTACCCTGCATTGTGGCGTTTCTAGTCGGCGACGTGATGGACAGGCCCATATGAATGAAATCGCTTCTAAAACCAGCATAAGAATCTGGCCAACCGCCTTCGGGCTTTTCGCCTTGGGGAGGGGCACGGAGATGGACCGTCCAATGAGGTCGGAAGTAAAAAAACCGACACTGCCTATGGAAGATCGATCCTTTGCATTTGTCGCACTCCTCCGTGCGGCAGGTCCGTTCAAGCTTGAACCCAATGCCCCATCGCACTCCATTTGTGAATTTCGCGCATACTTTGCGAAACCTTTTTGGATGGTCCTCGCTCATCGGCATGTTAGGTGTTTCTGGAGGTGGTTGATCTTGAATGTCTAAATGAGTGAGGTTTGGTATCACCAGTGACATGCGGTCGCTCGAGACTTGGATGAGTTCTTGGTCTTGCTCGCTGTAGCCGATGGATATACTGGGCGATCCTTGCCAGCAGAGGGCAAACCCAGCGCCGACATCAGACACATGGTAGGGATCTCGTGACCCTTTGATATGAAAGTGAACCCCACTCCTAGCAAAGTCTAATTTGATTCGCCAATGAAAGACGAGACGCAGCTTATCCCAAAACCCTAACGTGGGTGAGGGATCTTTGGGTGGACTCGTAATCGAGTCGAGCATGCGCATCACGTCGTGAATAGCAGGGTTATAGGACACACCCCATGCGAACTCAGTCACGGCAGAGGTGCGGATGTACACTTGGGGTTCTGCAAGCGTCTTGATGGGCATGCATGTCTTCGGCATAGAGAACCATAGACCCGGGGTACCATCTAGACCGGTGTCCGCAGGAACGACTTCAGTCTTGATGAAGGTGATGCAAGATGGCGGGCCGACTTGTTCAGCAATTACGAAATTCGATGTCAAAGACCATCGTGGCTCGCCTTTGTTCCCCTTACTTGGCACGTGAAACAGCGGCAAAGGGTAGTCCCGTAGTGTTATGCGGGCATCCTCCATATCCCATCGCACACTCATAGGTATTAGCAAGGTATATTCTGTGTCCAATGGTATTCCTCTTCCCACGTCTTGCAAGAATTGTGGCAGTTGCTCGAGGGGAAAAGAGGGCTTTGCAAGAGATAGGTCGAGTCCGTTGAAAATTATTCGAAGGAGGGGTGCAGCTTTATCGGGCGTATGGACCGAAATCGGGAGCGAGAATGGACCAAAGTGGTATGGAGTTCCATGGATTGACTTGTACACACCATCTTCCTTCCGATCCCGTTCAGCCTTGGTATATTTGTGTCTTTTGATCCACGCCTGAGAGTTATAGAGCAACAAACGGTTATATGCTTCCTCGACTGAGACACTATGCTGGCCAGAAAACGTGTAGCCGACAGTAGATGCCGCTGTGGACGCTCGACTTCCAGGCCTCTCCTCAAAAAAGCCATTGACCGCCTGAACTTTGGCTTCGAAAGCAAGTTCACGCTCCATTCGCGCCAACTGTTCCTTGTGTCCGGTCCTCCAGATCAAATTCAGACGAGACTCAAATGGTGCGTCCACCGCCTCCATAGTCAGTGTGTCGATATGGATGCGGATATCAGGGACCTGTCGAGGTGCCTTAGCTGTGGGTATTGGGGGTTCATGGAATGTGCCAGCTCTCATGCAGCGCAAGAGATGCCCGATGGCTTTGATGCTAATCGTGATGCCCTGAGTGAGCTCATAGACGACATATCTGTAGGGAATATGAATTCGAGCCCCTTTCCCCGAGACATCGAACATCCTAGGGCGAGACTGTGAGGCGGCTGTGATGGACAGGTTCCAATCCCGGAGCCGAAGAAATTCTTCCCATTTTCCTTCTAGTTCTGGGCTGGGAACCCAAGCATACAGACTCGCCCATCTCACTGCTGTTATGCCTTCTTTCCATTCGGAAGCGAGACGCCCCAGTCGGAAGTACAACCGATCTTTCGAATGCAGATGACAAGCCATATCAACGACTTCTATGTTTGCTCGGAAGGATATTTCCAGCTTGCCAGAAGCCATTCGTCTTGCTTTCGGCTCTTTCTCCGGCCTATTGTGTCGTCGCACAGGTACATTTTTCCACGCGAGAAGAAGGCAGAAGACGTGGAGCAGCTTGGCGTGTATTGATAACATGGGCCCCTCGACCATAACGTCGCAGGATTCGTCATGTGGATGCGTTGCTGAGCTCGTTGTACGCTGTTTACGAAGTAGAACTCGTATTGTCAACCTTGGTGACGAACAAATGACAGCATCTTTAAGCTTCGGGTACGCATTCGCGGGAACCTTGGAGGTCCTGTACAGAGGCGAATCTTTTTCGGCGTTGACAACGGGTCTCAAGCTGGTATCCCACAACGAGATCCCACTAAGAGCTGCGAATTCATCGGGATAGTTTACATCGTTGGCTACGGCGGCCGCCTGTGCAGCTAAATCTTCTTGAAGGGACAGCTGTTGTCGACTGTGGGTAAGACCGAGCTGCTTCTTTGTGCGAGTAGTGTGGCGGAGGGTCTGGTAGAAGCAGTACTGCAACACGAGACCGCTACGAAGAATCACACCTCGAGATATGTTGATATTTTCAGAGATAGTCGGATCTTCCCCTGCCACAAGCACCGTAATATAGCCAATGGAGCTGTAGAAACAGACGCCGATAGGGAGTTTATCGAGGAGCGAGCCGCCCGACAGCCGTGGAATCGTGCTGGGCGTTGGTCGGTGTCGATCCATCGCACCACGCAGCGCATCTACCACAGATGGTTTCCAGATATCGATAGCTATGTAGTCGACAGCGATTCGTATATCTGACATGGTCGACGAGATGTCCAGACTGCTTGTATACTTTGACGGGGCGAGTGATGTAGAGCCCAACGTGTGTCCAACGACACCGAGCTCAAAAGCCCCTATGGAAAAAATTTCGCCCTCAATCTGCAGCGGCTCCTTCACATTGTCCGTTTTGCTGTGGCAGAGCTGCACTGTGAACGGTGCAATGGCGGAGTCAACTGTGAAGTCGTATCTGAGGGAGTACAACTCTTCACGGTCCAACCTCCGTGGATCTTCCCCGCAGTAGGCTTTACCTGGCTGGTACAGGCCTGCTCTGGTACAAAGATCGACGTATGCCGACTGCGCGTTGAACGACAGGCCTGAGTTACGTAAGCTGATAAATAGACGCCGGTCCAGGTCATTCCCTTCTTCATGGGGTGATATGCCAAGATGCACTCCAAAGGTCCGAACTTCGAGTCCTAGAACAACGCAGGGCAAGTTATGTAGATCTGATCTTGGGGATAAAGGTCGCGGAGGCTTGGCGGGATTCAATAGCCGCATGGTTCGTTGCAGAGTGTCGAGTTCGTCGTAGACATTAACGCTTTCCACCACTGTCGTGCATATTACGAAAGATGCGTTCTCGTCCTGTGCAAAGAGTGATTCTTCCGCACGCTGTCCAGGTACTGCAGTTGTCAAAAGGTCGAATGCAACACCTCGGATGTCTATCAGACTTGTCGGACCGTCCAGAATACCGAAGGTGGATACGCGGTCGACGGCAAATGACTCCGCATTTACGGAAAACGCGAAGGCACTGAAATCGGAGCCATCTCCTCGATTGCCTTTCTTCCCCAGCCATTCACGGTGGTCGCTCCGGGTAGGATCGCTCATCTCCAGATGTGTTTGGAGTTCTGATATCTTCAGGGACATCGTCATGTTGTCACCGTGTGTCGAGTCTTCTAGATCGAACGCCATGTCCACGGTCTGTAGGTGAACATGTACGTAATCAAGTAATTGGGATATTCGCTACGCATAGAAATCAGCATTCAGCACAAATAATCGGGAAACACGTCAATGAACTGACCCAGGCAATTGGTCTAGCCTTGGGTTTCGTGACCTTCGCTCGTTTCCTTGCACTCTGTGCAAGGCTTCGTAAACGCCTTGATATGCTGCCTCCAGGGGTTATTGGAGTCCTGAAACCAGTGGACCAGTTCGGCATCTGGCCATCTTCTGAGTCAGTCGGAGACAGTTCTGGCGAGAGAGCTGGGGAAAAGGTATCATCTCGCTGCTGCCCAATCTCGTCTGAGTCCTTTTTGAGGGCATTTCCAACTCGACGTAACGCTCCAACAGACATGTATGCAGGCGGCACATTGACATCGATGCTGATGCTGCCTTCTCCGATGATGCCTCTACGTGGCTCGAGAGTCATTGACATAACAACGGTCGCCTCTTCATGGGTGATAAACAAGAGGTTTGGCGGAAAGAGCAGGCACAGGGGTGTATTCGCAATGGCGGGACCATTTCGAGGCGTTGGGGGAATAGATGCGCTTGATGGACTTGAAGGACTAGACACGGGCTTGGGAAAAAATCCAGTAGCAGTCGATGTGCTCATGTCGGAGAATGACTGGGTGGTAGACGTGAACGGAGTCGGTGTAGCAGTAGGTATTGGTGTTAAGGAAGATGATCTCTCAACAGAGCTCTCTTCACTATCTCCACAGAAGGCCTTGACGTTCCGCACCGAAACCTTCAGTCGTGCGAGTCCCTTCGCGTTACCCCAAGCACGATTCCACAGCCTCGCCATCCCACTCTGCATCCTCGCTGTTAGCCTGCTCGCCCCGCTGGCAGCGGCGGCTGACCCTTGATCGCATTCTAGGTCGTCGATGGGCACATCCTCCATCTGCTGTAGCTCCACAAGAGTGTTGACCTTGACATCTGAGATAGTGACGCCCGCTCCATTTAGCTCTTCGATAGTGATGGTACATAGGTCCATCTCGAACTGCACGAGTTGGGTGACGCTCGGGAGAGCACGAAAGAGGGTTCGTAGGGTTTGCGTAAGCAGGACGCGAAAGAACGGTCGCAAAAAGCGGTCGATCGATTGAATGTAAGATATTGGGAGAACCCATGAAAGAATTGCAAGTGGTGGCGCATATTCTTCATCGGCATCAAGAAGCTTGACGAGGCTCACTGGGGCAGAAACCTGTTCCTTGTCCGCGATATTCTGGAATTCTGGGTGCTCTGTCGGTACCGCCTCAGTCAAAAAACGTGGTATGTTTGGCTTGCTTCTGTTCAGTGTTCGTCTGCGTTTGAGTACTTGCAAGTCGAACTTCTCGACTTGTATCGAGATCCAGCTCGTGCGCTCAGCGCTCGGTCTGTGTAGCCCAAAGCCAATGCGTTCCACCGAGAGACGAAACGCACCGCCGTCCCATCTCAGACCGCGAACTGATCGGGGAGAGACAGACGAGACTTGGAGCTGGGGGAAGATGCCTCGTAGGATGATGGGGGAGCCATATCGGACGACGAGAATGAGTAGGGTGGTAATTAGGATGACGATGCCAGCAGTGATGACGGTACTCATGTTAGTTAATCGTTGAATTGATCGCCGGGAGAGTTGAATTATACAAGTCAACAGGGCTCTGCAGTCATGACAAACAGTCGCGATCGTTGAGTATTGAGGCGGGTTTGGATGGTGTGGCTCTGAAGCACGAAACCCTGGCTAGAGAATGATGTCCTTGATCTATAGCCACGCGGCTCACACGTGACTGATTAACCTTGAAACAATTCGGTCAGGGTATTACTCCACCCCTGGGATATTATATAATGTGATGGTATGGTATTGCTACAGCTAATTCTACAATGTTATGGATACAGTAGTGGGGACCTTCATCCAATCTAGTGTTTTTATGTTGTGGAGCAAGTCATCATGTACGTGTCGAGGGCCCTGCGTCACACTGTGCAACCTGCTGCGCACTGTTCGCCTCCTGTCTTGCCGAGTTGCTTCCCTTTGTAAACAGGCGCATGAGGCTTGAGCTTTTCTTCACACACTGCTCCTTTTCAGGTACGCCGAGAGCATCTCTGAATTTCCCCTCAACCTCTTCGACCTTTTTTGTTCTATCCCCGCCTTTCCAAATGAGGACGGCAGCGGCAATACCGCAAAGGAAGCTGAGAGGGACGAGACTGCCCGTGGTCCAGGCAGGGCGATTGTACATGTTGAGGCCCCACATGGTGCCGCATAGCATGCATTGGAAAATCGAATTGCCGTCGATAAGGAGACAGATCCACAGAGCGGTCGTGATAGAGAACGCGCGATGGGTCTCGGTTTCGTGGGGCCTATACCAGGTTTGGCTTTTCATGAATTTTTCTTGTTCTGTGAATGATGTCAGCGACGGGTCAAGTTCACAGCTTCATACTCGACATACGGTATCTAAGCGCCTTCTGCTGGGCTTCAGGCAGCACGGCTTCTTCTGTGAGTGCACCGTTCTCGGGATCAGGGATATCATTTTCGTCATTCAAGGCCTTCATGCCACGTTGTTTCCGTATTTTGCGAGACAGTATCTTGTAATGTGTAATGCGAACAATGCCTGAAGAAGTGAGTGAGTTACGAATAACGGGTAGAAGATGAGATGTTGACGTACGGTAGGTATCGATTACTCTCCATGGTATCAGTCCAACACCGGTAATCGTAAACAACCCATTTTCAACTTGGCAAGTGATCTCGATCCATAGCTTTTGGTAATAATCGTTATGCAGATTGATCCAATGCAAGAGGAAGAGTACAATGGCCGCGCCCCAAAAGGCGACAAGAAACCCGTAAATGGCTGTGAGTATTCCCATAGCTGTGGATCCATCAGGAACCGCCGAGAAGCAGGAACAGAACAATAGACATACGGGTCTTCAAGAACGCCCATAGACCCCTGAGCGCTCGCTTCGCCTGGTCGCGTTTGCGAAGGACATGCTCAACATGGAGGTCGAGTTCGTCTGGCCTTGCTTCACCAGGCACGATCCCAATGACCATGCCTTTCTCTGCCCGATCGGCCTGGTCATGTTCCGGTAGGAGCTGGGCCTGGCTGTCTGAAGGCAGAAGAGATATCTGCGGCAATGCGACGACAGGCTTGCGGGTTGATGAGAAGATTGGAGGGATGAGAATGGTGTTGGCGGCGTTGGCGAGGTGGGAAATGGTCGAGACACCTGGGTCTGGGGACGATAAGGACATGCATGAGCGGGTTGAACGAGACGCATGAACACGAAACGGTAATAACATGATGAAATGTGGGTTGGGGTCGTCACTAATGACGATGTGGAGCAAGTAGGGGTTCAACCGGCGAGCCGCACGTTTGGTTGATTACTGAGGCGGGAAGACGCGGGGAATTGAATAGGCACACTCACCTATACAGTCGAGGTGTTCGACAACTTCGTCATGATGATGCTCTTCTTCTTCTTGTTCCATCTCCTGCTCTAACTCTTGAACTGCAGCATCTTCTCGGATCGCGGGTTTCTGGGCCCTTTCGAAGCTGGTCCTCAGTTCATTTCGGACACTGAGCGGCAACTCCATGGAAGCACGTTCGAGACTCGCACGACGGATGATGTCATCTGTGATGCCCTTCTCTCCGCGCGGTATCCGCAATTCCATGGGTGCGGTGAACGAGTTCGATGAGTCTGAGCGCGGCCGCATACGCGAAGCAGCGATTGGCGACATCTCCCCTGTTACGGACGCATCGACCTGGTTCAGCGGATCTTCCGGAATGGAACCGGGGCTAGAGAACAGCTCTGGCTGGCGAGGTGACGTCCCCAAGTGAGAATGGTGGGAGGAACGAGAGGTGAAAGAGGTAGGGGATAGAGGGCCTGCAGTTGGGCCATTATCAGAGAGCTGTTGGTACGTCCGAGATGAGCGGGACATGCGGTTGCCCTCATGGTGCTCAGATATGGGAGACTGGGGGGAGAAGATAGTGGTGATTGTCCTGCTGCGAGGTCTCATTCTATGTGTCGTTGAGATGGGAGACAACGAATGCAGGTTGATGGGAGTGTCGCTGATCGCTGACGCAGGTTCTGAGGCACCCGCGACAGAGAGGGATGGGCCGGGGAGATTGTTGGTGTCGAGTGAGAGTACTTGTGAGCGTTTTAACCGTATTGAAGGCATCGTTGGACAAAAATGTTGGTTGTCTGTGGAGGTTTTTGACTGCTCCGCAGAAAGCTGCGAGCGATGTACATACCCCTGAACATTCGTTGTTGGGGATCAGGGAGGCACAAGGAACGGTGGATACGGAATCAGATGTTATCATCGCTTTGTATTGTGCCGCAGCAGAGCATGAGAAAAGTCAACACCGAAGTGGTACAGTTTCTCAGCCATGTCCGACAAGAAAGGATCAAGATGGAGAATTGTATACGTATTTAAAAGTCTATTACCCCAATGTGTTCACCACCTACTTCCTGCGCATGCATTCAGTTATCCAACTGTATTGGTACCTTTCCTCTCATGGACGGAAAGAGCTCCAGGTCTCGTGATCTTCGTTGGCTGAAGCTATTCATAGCTGCGATATATTAATATTATACTGATAATATTGACACAGCTTGTATATTGATGATATTGACACAGCTTGGCGAAGGACGTTGTAAGTGGCTGTGCTACGAAGGGAAGTTCCGCTTCCTTTGTTGGTGTTTCCACCATGAACCCTTCCGACCGGCAGGGAATTACTTTCTACAACTTCAACAACAACACTCTGTTGTCTACATCGAAATGTGCTTATAGCTGTCTGTGAGTGAACCAACAATATGTCAAGTACACAGCCATTAATTCTAGCAAGGCTGCAGGGAAACACCCGAAACTGATGTTCAGCGTGCGGCATGCGCTTGGTCGCGCATCCGTCGGAGTTGGGCACGCACGAAGATACCCTGCGGTCGCCCGACGACCGCATACTCTTCCCTCGTTCAGCGTGCCTTTTCTATACCCAGCGAACCGCCATGCATCAACGCAGGCTGCCTTCTCCGGCGACAGCGAGGTCGTCACCGACCCCGAACGCCCGCCACCCCGCTCCGATCTGCAAGGATTCATTGCGGTCCTGTCTGCTGCCGACTCTCTCACTCCCGCAGCAGTTTCACGCACGTCTGCTCGCGTCATACGGTCTTGCTTAAATAATGACAACCTTGCTGAGGCGGTCATCATTCTCTCTGCCTTGCGCGCTGCCAACGAACGACGAGCAGCGAAGGGGAATACCACACTGTTCCCTCTGCGGCTTGCGTCGACCACCCTCGTTCATGGCCTCTTGCAGCAGAACAACATTCACCAAGCTGCACGCCTCGCAAGGGATGTCATGCCAGTCAGGGAGCATTTGTTTCGAGCGAAAACAATCGACGTCGTCGTCAAGGCGCTTTGTCCGAAGCTGTATCCCGGGGAGGTGGGTGGGAGGGCGATGAGCGAGCGATTGGTTCAGAAACGGAGGAACGCATGGATAACACAAGGATGGAGCCTCAAACCGCTCCCACCGGCTGGTAGTCCGGAGTCGCTCGCACCTGTTCAGTGGCCCATGTCAACCTCAATACGTTCTTCTTTCCCCCAGGGGTTCTCCGCACCTCGTCTGAACCCGGAAATACTCCGTACTACCCGCGCCGAAGTATCCCAGATTTCAAATGCTCCATCATCGGAACAAAGCTACTGGGCAGAGTTGTGCAAGTTGTCACAAACAGAACATAACCAGTGGACCGAGAAACGTGACTTACCAGAGCGTGGAAAGGGCCTCGACGCATCTACGCGCATGGCGATCGCTCTCCTCGCTCAGGCACGACGGACGAAGCAAAGTAGAACGAACGAGATGTATAAGCGAGTCGTTGATGCCTGCCTTTTCCAGGGAGAGCTAGTCACTGCCACAGTGCTCTTTGGAATCCTCTTATACGACCTGCGTCGGCAGCACCTCCGAACCCAAGCACCACCTGCGGACGATAACCCCGAGAGCGTTCTCAATACACCGGCCGGCCAGGAAGCAGTACGACGGTTTGAGTTCGATCCGCGAGAGCTCTACCTGGCAGAAACGCAAGCCAACAAGCTATATCAACGATTCAGGGCACGAATAGGTGCCTGTGCCGAACTGCCGGATGGCGATCAGTACGCAGACACATGGGAGATGATGAGGAGTATAGTCTGGGAAGCCGACGATTTCGACCATCGAAACAGCGCTGACGCAGATCAAACACGAGCCATATTGGCAACAATGTGGATTGTCTGGGGGTTTCCATTTAACGGCCTCTCTTTGCTCATCAAAAGCCTGTATTCGGTCTCGAGAACCAGTACTCCGTGGCCGCCTAGGGACCGAAAGGGGGTGGGCGGCATTGTGCATGATTTCTGTCACGCTGCTCTAGCGAGGGAGATTGTGCGATTGAACGCACTTGGCAGCGATTATAGAACCGACCCGACAAAACAGCAGCTTTTAGACCCTCGTTCATATAATGCGCTTCTACATTATGCACTTCGACACCGATTATCTCCGAAGATGGCTGAGGGAATTCTTCAACATATGCAACATCAAAGGCAACCACCGCGAGAACCGGATCAAGCAACTCACACAATCCTCCTACGATCCGCCTCTCTCCTACACCAAAATAATGCTGCTCAGAAGATCCTTGAGCGGTTTGCTGCTGCAAGAAACGAGCAAATAGTGTCTTCTTTAGCGCAGCTGGACAGTATGCTTCCAGTGAATCGGCCTAAGGTTTTCCACCCCCGTCTGGCTGTCAAAGTTCCGACCGAAGCCGAAGCTGCTGTACCCTTGCCGAATCTGCCACTGGTCGATTTCTCGAATGTCGATGCGCACGTCATCAATACCATTATTGCTCATTATGTTTCGACCGGCCGTGCCGATCTCCTTTTGAAGATGCTCTCTCTCTTCCTACCGACCATGCAACCGGGCTCGTTGACCCCAGAAGGGCAAATCGCTGCACTACATCGAATGGTACTCCTTGGTCCAGATGTGTTCACTTCACTGCTGAATGCATGCATGAAGATGGGCATGAGTGGCATTGCTGAAAGGGTCTGGCGATTCGCTCTTCGAGCCGAACGCTCAAGTTGGACAAATGGCCCATGGGGTGAAGCAAGGCATGGCTGGGTTCTCGGTATCGAATCATATACTATTATGATGCAGCTGTATGCGATCGAAAATGAGAATGGTCTCGCGAAGATCCGCGAAGCCCGGAACGACTATGAGCAAGCGAAGAAGGACCTGAAACTACACGCCACCGGATGGGGCACCGAACTCCCGAACCCGCCATTCGGTCCTTATCAACACGTGACGTTCTACAGCGACGTGCAGGGTACGAAAGAAAGATGGTTGGCAGCGCGGCTGCAAGGCTTGAAGCTCTTCCGAACGATGCGATACGGTGGGATTCGTCTCGTCCGACGGATCGCAGGTTTAACACGCCAACGTCCGACACCCGACAAGTTGGCCTGGGATCCACAAGCCGCCAGGCGATGGCGAGAACACCCGCATCCAGACGCTCGGTTCTTCAACGCCTGCCTGGCCTTGTTTGGACGGGAGGACGTGTCTTCGCGCTATGTGTCATCTTGGAACAAGCGACACTTCTGGGAACGACGCTTCCCGAAGCTTATTCAGCGGAACCGTCTGGGCCGTGTAGTGCAACAAGACGATACTGCACTAATGCACGTCATTTCGTGGATGCGGCAGCTCCAATTCCCCGTGCCTCTTGCATTTGCATTCCTGCGGTCCGCACAGGACGACGCACCGCATGGGTTCCAGCCGCCCCAGCTGACTGAGGCGCATCTCCGCAATCGATTGACCGTGCGGCCCTATGCATACCCGGACGAGAAGCCCAACTTCCATGCGTTCCGGATACATGTGCAGAAGGACCGCGGATTGCCAATCCGAAGACAGCCGCCTCGGAAGCGAGGAGACGGGCCCGCAAGAGCCTTGCACAATCTCAATGAGAGAGGTCGGTCCGATATGAGGGTTGAACCTAGGGTCACCGAGGGTCAAATGGCCGTGTTCATGGCTCCTAGTAGTAGAAGTGGCGACAGCACAGAAGCGGGTCTTTTTGCTGTTGGAGGTAAGAACAACGATCTTAAAGGCAGTGCTGCGGTTCCCGTTACCAAGCATACCATTGAGAAAACTGGGAAGAAGAAGAAACAATGGCATCCATGCAAGGCGCCGCCGAGGATGTGGCATCCCAGGGGAGTGAAGCAGAAGAGGCCAGACGTGGCAGATACGACGGAAGAGCGTGAACCGAGCGATGAGACTGGCGATAAGGTTGCTGCTGTTGCACACTCTGTACCAAGCAGGTGGGATGTGGCTGCAGCTCACTGTCGCAACATGTGCATGTCGCGGTCAAGGAAGGTGGATCATACACAGATCGAAGAGAAAGAAGAACGGACGTTGGATGATGCTCTCCCTTTCGCATTGGCCATGTAACATCTCTTGTGCAAATAAAATTCAATGTATATTAGATCTCACTTCCCCTCTTCACTCCCTGCCGATGTCTTAGGTCGGAAATTGAGGATTGAGTGCCTCCGACCTCGTTCAGGCTCGCCGACCTCAAAAGCGCCCATCGCCTCCGCAACCTTGTACACCTTTTTCTCCATCTCTGCCCTCTTTTCGTCAGTTGGGGGGGGCGTTTTGGGCCTTCCGCTCAACAGGACCGACACACGGTTGTGTTCTGCAAGCACCTCGCGCACCTTGTCGAGTTTGTGTGCGAGATCGCCCGCTTCACTCTGCCAGGAGATCTGCACCTCCTTCGACCTGCCCGCCGCCCTCGCCGCCCTCTGCTGCGTCTTCCGCGTCCGCTCCGCACGCCGGTCCTCGTCAAACGTTATTATCTTCACCAGAGGTCTCTCGTGACTGACGAGCTGTACGAATTCCTTGCCCTTCCTTATTTCGGCGAGGATGTCCACAAGCGGTCGGAGAGGGCCTAACGTCCTGGTTTCGCGGTCGATAAGTTGTACCATCTCAAACTTGATCTTTTCGTTTCTAGGAAGAGCATTTTCGTCCTTGTCCCGTTCCTGTTCCATAGGGGAATTGAAAGGGTTCAAAGGAGTGATAGTTTTGAGAAGCTCCTGGGCAGGATAGACGTCTTTTCTTTGGGTGCTGTAGTGCGGGTAGAGGGGGAATATTGCGCTGCGGGTTACTCCTGTTGGGTGAATTCGTTTGCGGGTAGAAGTGCGTAAGACCGATCGCGAGGTGCTGGCTATGCAAGAAGCGACTTGTTGGAAGGCCATGACTTGGGGTTCGAGCTCGCAATTAGATGTTTATGACCAAAATATCAACAAAATTCAGGCTGTTGATTTATGAACAATCAGATCATTTTATAAGCCAAGCAGCGTACACATATGATTTAACGATTGCAATGCAACAATGAGGCAAAGTGCAGTTGCACGAAGGGAAGCTCCGAGTTGAGATTGAGAAAGCAAAGTTGATGTTTTCCCGAAGGGGTCCATTCCTCCTATTATGTAATGCCGCCTCGACCCTATCTCTTCCCACCACACATGACTCCCTGTCACACACCATCTTAACGACTCACCATTACATGCTCAAACCGCGCAGATCCTCCGCCACACAGCGACCACCAAATCCGTCGCCGACATGTATAGCAGATCACATTTCCGCTGCTGCTGCCACGGACCACACACCCGTCGCTAGTACGAGCGCAGGCACAGGGCAGGCTAGAAATAGGGATGGAGACACTTCGGGCAAGGGGACGCCCAAGGGGAAAGGTCCTGCAAAAGGTGCCCCTGAGAAGAACGACAATACCACCCCGGGAAGAAAGAGTCTGCATACGATGGAGTGCTCCACCTGTGAGCGCAGCCAGAGGCGGTTCTTCTGTCCCACTTGCGTAGCCAATCAGTACGTCCTGCGGCGACATTTCTTATCCAAGTATGCTGACAATTATTATAGCATTCGAGACTTCCGACTCTCACAATCAAGAGTCGAAGCTGAGAAACAGAGGCTCCAAGGGGTGGTACAGCAGCTGCTGGACAAGCTCGAACCCAGGAGGACGGAGAAGGCAACCCGGACCTTGCTGATTGACCGCACGCGCGAGATCAAGCGGGAGGTAGAGCGACTAAGGCATAGGAGCGCTGAATGTGTGTATTCTGATTTATTATTTTAAATATTCTGATTGGTATTAACAGTAAAGGAGAATGTTCGACTACGACAAGAAGACCTACGCCAGCGACGAGAACGACTTCAACGAGCCCAGCAGCTCGTCAGCTCCCCTCTAACATTCACTCCCCTGACCGCCGCACAATCCCGACTCGACGCCCTCTCCGACCGGCTCGCTCTCGCCCGGCGCGGGCTCGCCCTCCTTTTAATGGAAGTCTTCGACCTCAGACAAACCACCACAGGGGAAGCGACCATTGTCTCCCTCCCTTTCCCCAAGCCTGGAGACCACAGACACACCAAGCCTGAGCAACTGAACGGCGTCCTCGTTCACACACTCCACTTGCTCCACCTCCTCGCTTACTACCTCGGCGTCAAGCTCCCCTTTGTTATTTCCTGGTCTGGCGGTCGGTTCCTCGTCGGGAAGCCAACCATCCGTGCCAGCTCCGGGAACTCGGAAGACGGAGACTGGGTGCGGTGGACCGTCAAACAGCCCTTGTATATTTCTGCTGCGGACGCAGCGCGCTATGCTGGTGCAGGTGCTGTCCCGAGCAGCTTTACGACAGCGCTGAGCATGTTGGCGTTTAATGTGCTGTACCTGATGCACACACAAGGCCTATCCGTGCCAGGAGACGGGCCATCCCCAGCAACCCCCCCACCTCCAATAAGGAACGGAGAGAACCAGCTGCCACCAAGGGTGTTGAATGACCTTATCTGCTTGTGTATCCCCGATTCCCTAGGTAGGCGGAGTCATGCGACGCGCCCGCACCTGCCGCCGCCAACGCATGGATTAGGCCTGACGTTTGCTAGGGTGCTGGAGGCGGCTAAAGAGGCGGATGGGAGTAAAAGGGCGGAGGAGCTGCGGAAGGCTGAAGAGGGAGACGCGGATTGGGACATCATCGACGACAGCGGATAGGTGAATGTTGAAGAAGGGAGCGCCGTTGTACGATTGGTTTGTATTACACTCTTCGGCAGGACCACGCTTGATGTATTGTCGTATCGCATACCTGCATGTTCATGACCATCATAATCATATGACATTGGAGACTACGGTGGTATCCGATCATCTAGGCTAAAATACCATATGACGACATGTCGTAAGAATACGTGCCACCGAGCGCTCCAAGCTCAAATCAAGAGCTTCTCAATCTCATTCTTGATCGTCTGGATCTGGCTGTTCAGTTCGCGTTGCTCGTTCGTCGTCACGCTGGCCGCGATCACGGGGCGGGAGACGCCGCAAGCACGTCCGAGGGCGATCTTGCTGGGGACGAAGACGTAGGGGACGTTCTGGGCGTAGAGATCAGTAAGCAAAGCAGATAGAAAAGGGGGGTGAATACACCTTATCCTCGCAAAGAAGTGGCAGATGCAACAGGATCTCGATTGGCTCCGTATCCGCAGTCAAGACTATGAACTCTGCGATACCCCGGTTGAGGGTTTTCGTAGCTAACACCCTCTACGTCAGCGGCCTCGCAGCTTCATAAAGGGGAAAACACGAACCTTCATTCGCACCCTTCTTGACCTGCTTGTAGGACGTCGCTTGGTTTACGAGCTCCAAGATCTGCATATCCGGAAAGACGGAGTCAGGAGGCTGGTCGTGTGAACCCAAAAAAAGGCGCACCTTGTTAGTAAGATCGTTGTTAGCCAACGGGAAAGCCTTAGGATTTGGGGCAGACATGATCTTTTTTTTTGTCAGAGATTGATATGGGTGTGTGTGTAGATGGATAAATGGTCGACCTCACGGCGCGGATCCTTGGTCGATGGTGGTCAGAGAGGCAGGAGTACGGAGGCAAACTTTTGAGAAGATGAAAAGGGTCAGTGAGGGTCTTCTCGATCGATTGATCAGATGGACGCCTATTTTGGACGACTTTTAAACTTGGACCGGTGATGTCTCCTGCGACAAGTACCTCCTGTTTTGATGTGCGGAAAAAGATGAACCTCCGTCTGGACACCCTGTAGCTGATATCTGGGAAGATGCATGACGAGAAATACGTCGGTAGAGCTTTTCCGATCTCATCACCAAAAAAGGCAACTCACCCAAAGGAGCCATCTACGGTCGGGGAGGTACAAGCCGAGCCGCACGTTCATACCAGATGAACTCTCTAGCCAGGCTGGTATTTAGATCCTGCTCGGGGATGGGATTCCTTGTCAACTCATGAACACCCTTCCGGAGACCACTTCGAGATTTGCTATGACGCTCCCAGCAGAAGTCGACGTCCTTGTCGTTGGCGCTGGTCCGACGGGCCTCACCTGCGCCTCCTCAATTCTCACTCATGGAGTTCCTGTGAACCGTATGGCTATAGTCGACGCACCGGATGCTGGCAACATGATCTACTCCCGAGCCCTTGTCGTGCATTCCAAGACGCTGGAGGTAGGCTCTCCCGTTATTTCCCATATCCTTAGTGTTGACAAGCATTCGGGATGACAGGCGATGGAGAAGATTGGCTGTACGGAAGGCGTAGTGGCCGCCGGCCATCCGCACCAACTTTTTCACTTCAATAGCCTCTCTTCTCCCAACGGCCCTCTCATAACGTTAAAGGCCTCGCTCCTCCAGCCCTGGACGAAGTACGCCTTCTTCCTTGTCATAGCACAATGCGATACCGAGCGCGTGCTGATGGGTCGATTGAAGGAGCTGTTGGGGGAGGAAGATATTAGGTGGGGAAAGAGGGTGGTGGATGTAAGGGAGACGGAGGAAGGGTGGAAGGTTGCTTCGTTCGAAGATGGGCAGCAGGTAAGGGCGCGATATGTTGTAGGTGCTGACGGCGGGCATTCTGTAGTACGTTCTTCTTGCTCGTTTTAGATAGGTTATCGGTACTCAGTGACATCCAGGTGCGACAATCAGCCGGTATCGCCTTCCCCGATCCATACAACCACACCGCCCAATCCACCCCCGAACCAGCAGACATCGACCACCCGAGCAAAGCGGATGAGGTATTCTGCCTTGCAGACGTTCGGATCACCTCCCCGATCTCTTCAGGGAACGTAGAAGAGTTCAACGCTTACCTCACTCCGTCTGGTGTGGCCCTTTGGATACCCCTGGGAGACGGTGTGTACCGGATGGGGGGGCAGGTCCTCTCTGGTTCTGCCCCAAAAGAACCAGACCAAGCCTACCTTCAACAGCTCCTCTCCGAAAGGATACTCATCGCTTCCGGAGCGACCATCACGGAAGTGCTCTGGAGCAGCAGGTTTCATATCAAGTTCCGTCTGGCGGAGAGGTACTGGGTAGAGCATCTCCCTGGGACGGCGGTGCAGAGGGACGGGAAGACGGGGGTGATCTTAGTTGGGGACGCAGCGCACGTGCATTCACCGATGGGCAAGTGCCTCGTTCCATTTCTTCAGCGGTCAATACTGACTCCTACATAGGCGGGCAGGGGATGAACCTCGGTATCAGGGACTCGATCACACTCGGACAAGCGCTCTCCCACGCCCTCTCTCCCGCCGTCAGCCCGACCGAAGCTCGCACCCTCCTCACCCGCTGGGCAAGAGACCGGCACACCGAAGGTTCGCACGTTATAGCCCTCTCTGGGAGGCTGACATGGGTCAGCATCTGGGGCTCTGCGTTGGGAGCGTGGACGCAGAAAGCGCGGGATTGGCTCCTTTGGGGAGTCGTGAGAGTGCCGGGAGTTATGAGGGTGATGGTTTGGAATTTGAGCGGACTGGGAGAGAAGGATACGTTGTATTAACCATTGGGCGGCCTCAGCCGAAGAGAGAATCCTCCATGAATAGATCGGAGTCCAGGTTTCCCAATGGGCTTACTTGTTACAGCTTCCACAAGAAAAACATTCCTGCCAACACCATCCCAAGCCCCAAACAACAAACTCTGCTCCCAAACCAACCATTTCACCGAAAGAAGATCATTCTATCAGAAAGAGATATCTGCTAGGATACCCACACACGACGCGCTAAATGCTACAATGCCCTCAAACCGACCGTCGGCCCCGCCATAAGACCGTACTTGCTAAGTGCTAGTACCAATTTGTATTTTGTAAGAAATCAAAATGTCTTATTGTTTGCAGGAATGATATCATGGTCGAGCACAGCCTGTCCCTCCATGCAATGGTAAGTGGAATTTCATTGCAAGAATATTGTAACTTAGCTGGTGTATTATGTTGTACAATTCCGGATCACCTATCTCCTATCAGAAACATGCCAGTGCTACAAGAAAACATCAATTCCGCTGATATAACATTCAGGTTGTCATCACAAACAGGAATCTAGGCCAATGGGGTAATCGAGCCCACAACCCTTGAATGTCTCAGATGATGTTTTTAGACCATCACTAATCAATCTGACAGAGGAGCACATGATGAATGAATTTTAGACCCATGGCTTATGAATTTTGTGTGGGACTGGTTTCAGGGTCTTTCTTTTCACTGTGAATCCCTGCCACAGCATTCTCTTCCTTGTTGAACTTGACAGACTTGGTGCATACTTTCATGGTAAGCTGATTCACTAATTTCTGTTGATGCAATACCCATCCTGGACCATCTGCTGTGGATCAGTGTGTATCCCTCATTCACAATGTGTCAACCCAAAATGCAATAGGGCATTGCAGGCTAATTTGGCAATCTGCAGTGGGACTTCCAAGTAATTTCCTCCAATGCCCCTCTGCAGAGACAAAATGTGTTTGTGGGAGTGAGAAAGAAAATCATAGTTAAATAGTTCCGGGGTCCCACAAGTATTGGATGTTATAGTACAGAAAAAATTGCATAATCAAAGAGCGAAATCTATCTCAGTTATTTTGGTACATTGCTGTTATTATAACCCTTAAATAACATCTCTACTTAGGAGTATATATTTAATCTCTTTGAACACCATATGTAAATATTACTGGAAGACCCCTAAACTCTCTCATTTATGAGTTTCCTGTCACTGCCACAAAGACAATGCACAAATGTGCTTCTTTCATCAGGATATCAAACTCCATTCAAAACCATGTATCAGACCAGGACAGGTTTGGGCAACCCATGGTGATTCTACAATGGAAGTCAATTTCTCCCTTCCAATCCTCTGGGCATTGTGCAAATGCAAAATAACTGTTGGCTCTGGCCTTGGCCTCCTTCCATGTGAGCTGCCTGTTTCTCTATTCAACAAGCATTGCCCCAGTCTACTCCCTGACTGATAGCTTGACAGGTATGCCTGACTTTTTATATGAACAATCCAAATGGCTGTTTCACCTCTACTGCCATGGAAGAGATTGTTGATCCTCTCCATTCATGGGTATGTACTCAATGTGTGATCTCGATCAAAGCATTGGCTTACTCCAACAGTGTGAAGTCATCCTGCTCAGCTGCTGGCTTCTGGCTTCTGTCATGGTCACAGATGCCCCACACTCATTCATTGCAATATTGTGCCAGGTTTCATATTGATATGGCAAAGACTGAGTCATCCCCAGATCTTCTGGCTGGCTGCTCATATCAACTCGAGTTTCTCTAATCCTGTTGTACTTAAACCTCTTTCTCTACTTGCCTGAGCCTCACCATTGCTTGCAAATACCATCCCTAGACTGAGCCAAACTGGACAGTCTCAGTCTAACTGTCTATATCTTGACCTCATCTGTCCCTGTAGGCCCCCCTCTTCCTTGACTGCCATTAGTCCACTTTACATTCAATCACCTTGACCATTTTCATACCAGAAGGCCGGTGCTGTCCACTATGCAACAGGTGAAAGACAGTCAGCTGGAGCTGGTCATTACCTCCAGTAGATTGAACAGACTTACCAAAGAGGCCAATGTGCAGAAGAATGGCACAGATGCCAGCATTATGATGGTACCTGCACAAGGCAGTTTTGATCTCAGTGAAGAAGTGCATTACCTTACTGGATTAAAGGTGTTCTTGGCCTCCAGGTAAGTTCCCTGTCTCTAGTATCTGATCAGCTTATGGATTCCTGTTAGCGCAATGGTCATCTCTCTCTTTCTTGTTGTTCTTGACCAAACCATCATTGCAACTGCCATTCCTTGCATTGCCTTTGACTTCAATGCCCTCAACTTGATCATGTGGATTGTCTCTGCATACCTCATCACTCAAGCTGGACTATTGATGCTCTATGGGCAGGTGCTTCTGATAGCACCCACCAAATGGGTGTATATTACTGCCATCACACTCTTTGAGATTGGAAGTCTAATTTGTGGTGTATCACCCAATGTCAATGTCCTTATTTTTGGGAGAGCATTTGCTGGTATTGGTGCAGCAGGGTCTGTAATTGTGTTGGTTTCTTTTGGGATATGTGTTTGACCAATGTGCAGGATCATTGTTTCTATCCTCAACAAGGGGTCGAAATCATGCCCCTCCAACAGCATCCCCTCTTATTTGGCATGCTCAGAGCAGTCTTTGCCATAGGTTCCATTGTCAGTCCTCTCATGGGTGGTGCCTCCTCTGACCATGTTACATGGTGCTGGTGCTTCTATATCAACCTTCTAATTGGTGCACTGTCAGTCAGTGTAATAATATTGATCATCCCCACAAGACCACTGGTCAGCTCCCATGCAATAGTTGGCCTGAGCACCATCCAGCAGTGGCTTTCTTTGGACTGGGTTGGCGCTTTTCTCTGCATTGGCGTGGTCATCTGTCTTGTACTACCATTACAATGGGGTGGTAACCAGAAGCCATGGAATGACAAGACCATGATTGTGCTATTTTGTGTCTTCGCCATGGTACTCAGCATATTCATTGCCTGGGAGTGGCACAAGGGAGAGCACAGCATCATCCCCTTCCACATCTTTAATCACCATACCCAGATTGGCATATGTATTCAGGCCTTCTTCACCATGATTACCATGCTCTCCACAATTTACTACCTTCCTCTGCAGTGTCAGGCTGAGGGACATTTGGCCACATAGTCCAGAATCAATATTCTTGCCTACATGCTCTCCATTGTCATTACCTCCATGGTGACAGGTGGAATTATTTCAACCACTGGCTGATTCTGGCATATACTTGCATTTGGCCCACTGGTTGCTTGTATTGGAGCCGGTCTGTCAGGGCACTGTGCTCTTGCCCTCTTCCTAGCACAACAAAATCCTTCTCCCAGCACACGGAATTCTTCACTTAGCACACAACATTCTCCACTTAGCACATGACATTCTCTTCCTATCACACAGAATTCTCCACTTAGCACATGGAATTCTCTAACCCTAACCCTACACTTAACACCATGGGATTGCTATCAGGGCACTGCTAGCTGCCACCCCTAGCCTCCCATTTTGCCCTAGAAGCAATGGAACAGCAAACCTCCTGTGTTGGGGACTACCATGGGATCATGGCAATGACCAAACAAGACATCATGAAGAGGATACCACAAGACTGCTGTGTCCAGACACTTTGGGGTGAGACATAGCAATACTAGGGACCCCCACCAGGACTAGTGAGACACAAGGTGACACTTGTAGGAGGCTCCACAATTTATTGGAAATATTTCAAGGGCCCAGGGGTGTTGCTAAGACGTCTATCTGACACTTGTAGGAGCCCCCAGAATTTACCTGGACTCCTGGGTTTCTGGGGAGTAGCTACAAGGTACATAAGCAGTAGCATAGTGAGACTGTATCCCTCAGATCTGATCTCTGAGGAAACTCCTTAGTCTACAGGCAGTTTCTAAGTCATCTCATTGTCTTGGACACCCTTCTACACACCCCTGAACACCCTACCCTCATAACCTTACCTTGACTCCACAACTCTTGCTACACCTGTCAGCTCTCTATAACTGACTCATCATACCCCCCAATGACCCCCTTGGACCCCCCCCAATAGTCCAGCTGGCCCTGGTGACTTGGATATTGACTAGTACTGCTGGTTAGAGCTGCTTTCAACCACAGTAGATCCCCCAGCACTTCATTTATTGTTTGGGATTAGTGTGCAGCAACCTTGCTAGACCTAGTGCCCTCACATGGTCTGCTCTTCACTATTGATGTCAACACCTTGACTGCCAAACTGATTGGATACCAAATCCTCCTTGGAAAAGGGGTCGGCTCAGCCCTTCAAAATATCATCCTTGCCAACCATGCAGCATGGGATGACAACAAGAGCATGATTCCACAAGCCTCATCACTTGTTGCTCTTTCCCAGCTCGTTGGTGGTGTTATCAGTGTTTGTATTGCAGGCACTGTTTTTTCCAATCAATTCTCCAAGCAGCTTCTTATCTTCACCCCCAACCTTGCCCCCAGTGTCATCCAACAAATCAAGGACTCTGTGACTGTCATTCAAACTTTGCCTTTGGATCAGCAAGGAAGCATTGTTCAAGCATATGTGAAAGTGCTCAAGCCAGTCTACATCATTGGCAGAGTTTTATGCAGCCTAGCTGGTTTACTGAACAAGAACATTAATATCAAGATGCTTGGGAAGGAGTCCAGTGTTCCTGTTGCTTAAAAACTCATATTTTTCCATTATGTGGACTTTCATGGCTCTTTACATGTAGCCACATGTCTCCATCTCTATGTATCAATCCACTTAGGCACTATTCATTCATTATGTTGAGCAAGGATCAGGTCTAAGAACATACAGATTATACAGTTGAAACTGAGAATGCATCCCCTTGATCATTACATGCATACTATTTCTGCAGGTGATGCCATTTGGTGACTTGAAGCTCAGGGATAGCATCAAAGTCCGGACCCCCCCCTCTTACTGCTTAAATTTTGGGACAGTACTTCAGCTTCTTTGACTCTCATGAACAGGGCTGGTGTGGCAGAATCAAGGTTTTCAAAATCTCAATGTTGTTACACCCCACACATCCCTGCTGGCATCAAGCAAGTTGAAAATATGCACCTGTGAACTTGTGTACTAGTGGGAACCTCTGCATAAGAGGCAATACATTAAGAGGGTTGATGCATATCCTATATAATCCATAAGTGCCTCAGCTGATACTGTCAGGGTTCACCCAGTTTCGGTGCAAATTTGATACAATTGACACTGAAAGGCTTACTTCGGCCTCAGTATAGCCCGAATCCACTGACCCTGAAGCAGAACCACTCAACTTCTTTGAAGCACCACCCTAAACAATGGTAAACTGTACAGTTCCACAGCTACTCTTTTGATTCCATTATACTTCCATTTTCCTACATGTATATATACCAGCTCTAGGAGCCTTATGCCCCTTAGAGCTTTTTGATTCCATTATACTTCCATTTTCCTACATGTATATATACCAGCTCTAGGAGCCTTATGCCCCTTAGAGCTGATCTCTCAGGAATTCCACTGTCAGATAGTGACAAACCTAGATTGAACTCTCACCAAACCTCTTTGACTCTCTGATTGGTGTTCAAACCTAGACTTTGACCCCCTCAGACTGTTTGTGACTCCACTGCACCTCTCTTGTGACTAAAGGCATTTTGGGCTGATTCAATACATCGGCCCTACTGTCAACCACAATTCAAGCTTTTGTGCTCTCCTTGCTGCTTCTCACTTTTATTGGGCTCCTGATTCAAGGATACTTTCAATATCTGGCAGCATGCCCTGACAGATACCATAGCCCAGGTGATGTATTGTTACCATTACTCATTGTGGGAGGTTTGACTGTATGTAGATCTCAGATTATGTAGCTATTTAAGGTGCAGAACAATATACATTAATGATCAAATATAGTGAGAATCAGGGTCAAAATTGTTGCATGATTTGTGTTGCATTAATAAATTCTCATCACACTCCAATTGACATTAAAGATAGTCATAATATAACCTTTAGAGAGCCTTATGAGCAACCTCCGGTAAATTTACCAAAAATAGGGAAATGAGTCAACATGCAGACCTAGCCATTTGCCTTTATTTTGACTGAATCTCCTGGATTTTTTCATTCAATTATTCTGATATTGGGAATGCAGCAAGACAACAAGAGATTCTCAGCTCAGCAGATATTTCAGGCTAGTAGACATCCTACTAGTATGAGAGGAAGGAGCCAGCTTTTGAGTCGAAAATGGACAAAAAAAGACATTCGGAGGCTAATTTGGGTGAGAATTTGTCCCCCACCAACCTGAATGAGGCAGCAAAGAGCGGACTAAACTCGGAGATTGGAACTTCACGCCATACAAAAGGGTGTAAGATCATCTGACAGATCTTCTCATACCAAAGACCAAGTTGTCTGAAAAATGAATGCTAACAACCGGATGGATTCTTTCATGTATTCGGGTCAGTTTGGGCGGGAAACAACCGGATTCTCACTGTATTCAACCATTAGTGTATTTCACGAAATTTCGAGCACACATCTGTCCGTGCCAAGGTAATCGATCATACGGACCGCTGCTTGATGGGAAATCCCGAGGTAAACCCCTGAGTGAGGCTGGGCTGATTTCAAGGATAATTTTCAATAAATGATACCAGCAAAAGGATCTGAACAATCCGAGCAGAATCTTACAACCGGTGTCTCGCGGAGGAAGTTTTCAGAGCACAGCTCACCCATCACTCAATACTCTCCGCCCTTCTCCCCTAGCCCGCTAAGCATCCACATCGCCCTAGCCTTAAACCCAGGCACCCAGCCCAAAAGCCACATCATCCAGTCCCTCACCCAGCCGATCATCCCCCCTGCGTTGGCGGCAAAGAACGTGACCTGCCCGACGAGTGCGATGACGTTTTTGCCTGCGGTGTGGCGGTCGGTCGCCCACCTGGAAAGGAGGCTTCGGGCTTCGCTCACTGAAAGAGTCGGGGAGAGGGCGTGAGAGATCGCTTGGCCCAGGTAGATCGAGTCCCTTATTCCCAGGTTCATGCCTTGCCCGCCTGTACAGAGTCAGCATTAAAGAAAGTGGAAGGGAGGTGTGTGAAACATGAACTTACCCATTGGAGAATGAACGTGCGCCGCATCACCCACTATCATCAGACCTGTCTTGGCTCCCACAGCCTGTACGGGCGTGCCAGGCACATGTTCCTCCCAATACTTTTCCGCAAGCCGGAACTTGACATAAAACCTATTGCTCCATACTAATTCAGTGATCTTCACGCCTTGGGCGGGACAGCGCGTTTCCAGCATGTGCTGCATGTATTCTATCGTAGGCTCGCGTGGTGCTTCACCGGAGAGGACCTGGCCGATAAGCCGGTACTGATCGCCGAATGGGATCCACATAGCCGGCCCGTGCTCGGAGATATAGGCGTTGACGCCCTCTTGCGGGAGGGAGAACTTGCCGCTTGGAGAAGAGGGGAAGGAAACGCGCACGTCGGCGAGACAGAAGACTTCGTCGGCTTTGCTCGGGTGGTCTATGTCGGCGGGAAGGGACGTCGCGTGCGCGGTATGGTCGAACGGGTCGGGGAAGGGAATGCCTGCTGCTTGTCGGACCTGCACGGGCGTTAACCTGGCTGAGAACATATCCTAGGAGCACTTACAACAGAGTGCGCTGCATCCGCCCCTACGACGTAGCGGGCCTTGACCTCTCGCCCGTCCTCGAAGAGGACGACTTTCCACCCTTCCGCGTCTTCCCTAACCCCCACAGCCTTCTTTCTCCACACCACCTCGCCCCCCATCTCCTTCAACCGCGCATACAGCACCCGTTCCGTCTCGCTCTGTGCTATCACGCATACAAAGGGGTATTGCGTCTTTCCCTTGAGGACGGAGGTGTCGTATTGTAACAAGGGGCCAGAAGCGAGGGAGTTGAACCGGATCGATGTGCAGGGTTTGCCAGCTGCGATGACCTTGTCCGCACAGCCGATCCTTTCCAACACCTACGAAGGTCAGCATGACTCCCCCCAAGTGGACGGCAAAGCACACCTCGAGCGTCTTGGCATGCACCACTAGCGCGCGGGAGTATGCCTGGTCGTGTGCGGGCTTCGCGTCGACTATGGCGATCTTCTCCTTGTCTGTGCCATGTGCGAGCAGGGAGCAAGCGGTGGCGAGCCCTGCTGGTCCAGCACCGAGCACGAGGACGTCGACTTGTTCTGGGAGGGACATTGGGTGTTGATGTTTGTGCGTTGGATGTGGTTGGATGGGTGGATGCTGCTCTGGACGACGGTGAGCTGCTTATATGCGCCTGTCCTCCACCTCCAAGGTTCCCCTTCGTCGGTGTGAAGGTCGCCGTCGACGGGCTCAACGACGAGCAGGTTGCACGTTCGCAGCATACAGGAACATTCCTGGAAAGAGGGTTCCAAGGCAAGGGAAATGACATCCAACCTACGTCATTCGCGTTTCTCATCGCAGTCAAACATCGGCGCATGACCTAAGCAATTTCCCCACCGCCCTGAGTGGCTGTACTGGATACAAAATAACGGCGGCATCCTTACCTCAGCATGGGCCGTGCACGCCAAAAAGTATTTTTTTGTGCGTGTGAGCGCGGCATTTCTCTTCATCGTTTCCCACCATCTTGGCTTGACGTCTTGTTCTTCTTTTTGCTCTTCTTGCTCTCGGGGTTGTTACACAACGCCGACATATTGACCACTCCTTAGCTCGTCAACAACTGTTCTCCCCACCGCTAACTCACCGTCCTCAACCCCTCCGACCCAGCCGCACGCCGCCACCGCCGTACCGCTCTCTCCCAGAACGTGAGTTCCCCTTCTACCGTTCTTTCAAATGACGAGGAGATTTCTGTCTTACCACCGGCTCTCTGAGTAACCCCTACTCCCCTCGCTCCCCCCCGGGGGATGTACTAGGATGCGTATTGCTCCCTGGCCGCGGAGGGAGATAGGGGCGCACGGTGGGGTGAGGTGTATTCATAGTTACACTGATACTTTCTGCGCATGCTTACGTGTTTGGACTTGAGCTGATTGTTAGTTCTAGGTATCCTGTCGTGCATGGGTTACTTGGATGGATGGATGGTTTGGGTTGGATACGTTGGAGGAGTTGGGAGCATATACGAGGTCATAGAGCCTCTACCGTACACAACAACTATGTTCATCCTTCCGTTCGTAATACAATCCCTATACCCAAGTATATTGTAAAGCATTTGCGTGCTGCAATGCCCACGCGCCATCTACCGCATCCCCATTCGTGTGGTGGATTGGGGAGACGCGCTTAGGTCACTTCCTGGTTGCCGTAGTTTCCCAAGTACGTGTATAGTCCTGGCCTAAGACACCCCTTCAGAATCGGCAGGCTATTCTTCTGCGCGTGTTACGTGCCATGTAAGAGAAACAATTGGGCTTAGGCAGGGACATCGATGTGATCTCAAGCAACTGTCTATTAACCCAATTGGGCGTGTACTAATGGACCAACAGTGCCGAGTGTACAAATGTAAGAAATGACAGAGGAGATGACGAGAGAACAAAAAGAAAAGAGATATACAAGACGAGAAACAAGAGACGAGAAACAAGAGACGAGAAACAAGAGACGAGAAACAAGAGATGAGATAAGAGAGATGAGATAAGATCGAGAGCAATCGGGAGAGATATGCTGCAACAGGCCAGCATCGCATCGTGTCCAATGGACGTGTGGGTATCGGGCGTGAAACGACTTACCTCCAGGCCTGCCTGGTGCAGGCTGATTAACCACGTACGACGCCAGCCTTCATAGCGACTGCATCGTACGTGGTCGTCCCACTGGTCATGCTCGCCATGGTCAACGAGGGGTATAAGGGGCCCGTGCGTTGGCTCTACGAATCCCAATCAGTATACCTGTAGCTCGCGCAGAACAAAAAGACTTACATAAACAGATTCAGCCCCCGTGGGTAAGCCTAAGAGTATCCAATCTATAATACACATCTGGCTCAGGCGTGCTCTGCCGCGGAGCTCAGATCTTCGTCAACCCCCACCCCGCTGGTGGAGGAGACGGACGGCGCAGCTGAGCACCAAAATCTGCAGGGCAGTCGCGTCTGGACTCAAAGGCACCAACCGCCTTCCAACAAAACGCCAGGAGCCCCGAGCAGGAGGGAAGCGAGCTTTGTGTGAGGGTAGTTTGCCCTCACTGCCCACCATCTTGAACCCAACGTCGGATCTTATCCCTGGTTAGACTGCCGCTTTTGCCTCGTGCCTCCACACCCGCGGGGCACATCTCCCAGGAGCACATCTCACCGCGGGTGTGCTGTGGTGTGGGTAGAAAGAGGTCATCAACTTCCCTCAGTCGCCCTCCATGCCTCACAGAAGAGGTGATGACATCTGGGATAGTGTCAGATCAGAGGAAACGAGTAAGTATAACTGTGGCAGACGTACCTGCACTATTGTATGCTCAGGCCGCCACCGGCAGCGCGGCCCGCCTTCCGTCAATACGACGAAAGGCATTCCAGTCTCAGCCACGAGGGCGTCGTTGACTGTGGCCACACTGCTAGAGACCAGTGGTCTCCGTGGCATCTGCCCCAATCCCGGCGCCGTCTCTGGTACTTACCTTGCACCCCCGCACTGGAACGCCCCTTCTCGTGTCCATCTGTCCCCTCGTATCATAAAACATATACTCCCTGTAACGATAGTGAGATCCTGAGAAAAGGAAATAGGAAAAATGGATACGTACACTTCAATGTCTCATCTTCAGTTCATCTCGTTCCAAACTTCAACCTATGCTTCATCATTTTTGCCGCCTTCTGCACGGTTACTTTCCTGAATAACTTGCAGTTCCCTCGCGTCGCGCTCGGTTCTGCGGGAGGATCGCGCTCAACGGGTGCCTCCTGTGCCTTCGCCCCCGTTTTACCGGTGCTGGATCCGGATGCAGCATCAGGCTGATCGTCCAAGTCCAAAGATGACGACATCGCGGTGCTCAACTTCTGTGATTCCTTGGGGTTGTCGAACTTCTGGGATTGCCGGTTGTCCTGGTCGTCAACGCTGCCGAGGTGGTCAAATGTGGGGAGATCCGGGAATATCGCCCGCATCTTTTCCTTCCCTTTGTAGGAGCCGCGAGACGCGGTTGCTTCTGGGTCGTTGACGGGGGAGGAGAGCGCCTTGGGGGTATACGGTGCTTGTCCATCCGAACTTTGGGAAGAGGTGCTGACCGAGTCGAGGTCTGGAGGCGGTGGGCGGAAGGATTGGTCCGAGTCCCCTGAGGTAGGATCTGATTATGGTTCAGTTACACATTGGCTACCCAATTAGAGACTGCATTACCAGAAACGCCATGCTGTTCAAGAGCCCTTTTCTCTTGGCCGTTCGCCTGGTCATCAACTTGATCCGCATCATGTGAGGGAAGGGGCGCCTTGACCGACCAGTTTCCTTCGCTGTCGGTCGTAAAGTCCGTGGAAGAGGGAGGAGCGTTGCCGTTGGATTGGGAGGCGGGTGGGTGGACGGGATCAGCATCGGACGGAGTAGTCATCGCCGTCGTTTGGTGCCAGGGCGATGAGGCGTGAGCGGGTTGGGGAGCTGCCGCGCTGTTCGGTGTCATACAGTCGGCAATCACCTGGTCTGCGTCGACCATGTCGACATCCATACAGGTGGGATGCGGGTATGGAATTTGCGGGTATGGTACTGAGGGCGACGAGAATGGGGGAGAAGGGGCTGGGGGGAACAGGGCTTGGGGGTACGGGACTGGGGCCGAGGGTACATGAGGGGACGGGTATGTTGTGTCCCATCCCCACGAGACCGGATCCACGTCCATCGGTGTCGCCTCGTCGTCGTCCACAGCGTCCTCCATATCAATGTCTTCGCCCCGAGCACAAGCACTGCTGGACTCTTCAATTTCCCATGTTATAGTATGGCATGGGAAGTTGAACAGTCCGAAATAGAACGCCGCCATGTCGATGCGGCGTTCCAATTTTGCAGACCAGGGCAGTGCCGCCCTTTGGCTAAGAGCCCCCTTGACGAGATGTTGTGCGAGCGGGCTGTTCTTTGATACATCGCCCACGATGTACCTCCGTTCGTTTAACGTCCGGCGCACTGTCGTGCGCTCCGCGTTCCTCTGCGCGGTTTCTGACCATAAAATGAGTATCAATAACCTCGGCTTCTTTCAGTCCTATGACTCACCTTCAAGCTTCTTTGTCCATCGGGCTAATAGCAGCTCATTTTTGGGAGTCTTTGGAACGCAAGGCATTGCGCAGAGAGCTCAAGATGAGAGAGAGCAAGCAAACCACGCTGGGGGTGGTTGGTGAACGTAGAGAAGAGAGAAGGGGGACGGCGACGCGTGATTTTGTTTACTTTTCTTCTCGCCATCCACCGCCCACCATCCACCATCACTCGGCCGCGGCTGTCACGTACCTCCAGTCACATTTATAACTCCGTGGTTCCGCCCCACTGCCACCACCACTGGCTTTTGAACTCAGCGTCGCGGTGAGATTGGTGCGGGAGAAAAGGCACACGAGTATGAATGCCTCCGAACATTCCGTCTCTTTCGAACCACTCTGACTTTCAATTCACGTGACAACGCCTGCCTCCGGCTCTCTTCACACCACAATATCCTACTCTACCCAGTCTAGCCCCAGGCACATCGCCGCGAACGCCCATTTGTCTGCCGCCTCTTGTATCCTAACATATTTGGCCGAGACCGTCAGTCTCTTTCCCAAGACGGAGATAAGCGCTGAACGAACCTCTTCTCTGTGCTCTTCCCCGCTCCGTGCCCGCTCTTCGTGTCGATTCGTATCAAGAGTGGGTGCGGGTTGTCCGCCTTGGTGTGCTGTAACTCTGCCGCCAACTTGAAGGAGTGCAGCGGCACGACGCGATCATCGTCTGCAGTTCAATCAGCGCGCTGGGCTAGACAAACGCAAGACACGACTCACGATCTGCCGTTAGCAGGAGCAGGGGAGGATACACCTTCTCCGCGTCCACATTGTGGAGAGGTGAATATGGAAAGATGAAGTCAAAGTCCTTCGGGTCACCGGGTGCCCCGTAGTCTGCCTCCCACGCTTTCCCGATCGTGAACAGAGGAAACTGCCGCACTCACTATCAGCATGTCAAGCGCAAACCGACGTCCACGAACTCGCCTTGAGCATGTCCATCACTCCCACATCAGCGATCGCCGCACCGAACGTGTTCGCTGGGGCGCGGTTCACACACGCACCCACCAACAACCCACCATTCGATCCACCGTTGATGATCACCTTCCCCTTTCCGGCAATGCCAGTCGAGACCAGATAGTCGCTACAGCTTGTGTAAGATCATCCGTCTGCTCCAGCGACCGTTTCACATACGTTGCAGCAATGAAGTCGTCGAACACGTTCAACTTCCGCTCTCTCGTCCCAGCTTCGTGCCATGCTTCTCCATACTCGCCTCCACCACGAATATTCGCGACGGCATAAACACCTCGGAAATGCTTGATAAACGTAAGGATCGAGGCCGCAAAGCTAGGTTTGATCGAGATGGAGAATCCGCCGTATCCGTACTGAATCGCGGGCGCCGTCCCGTCCCTCGGCGTGGTCTTGTGTCGCACCACGAACATCGGGATCTTTGTCCCGTCCTTGGTCACATACCACACTTGCTCCGCGTCAAACTCGTCCGCCCTAAGGCCAGCGACCTCCGTCGTCCGCCATGGTTTCCACCCGCCATATTTCGCCACCCCAGCGTCCCTCGCAACCGTTGGGACCACCCAGCGGCCCGCCGCTCCTGGCGTTGTGAACCCGACCATAAATAGCCACAGCTCATCACTGTCTCTCCGACCCGATGTGTCGATCGTCCCAATGAAATCTTCCGCGATCTGCTGCACAGGTTTGGCGTCCGCGTTGTATAGGTACACTACATCGCGTACATCGCGCGAGTATTGGACGCTGAACAGGTTGCCGGGAAGGGCAATCACGTTTTCCAACTTTCCGCCGTTCGGATCTTCCGGGAGCCATTCAGTCCACTCCGGTTTGGCTGCTGCGATGTCAATCGAGATAACCCGATAGCGCTGCGCGTCTAGATTTGTATGAAAGTAGAATTTCGTGTCATCATTTGCAATGCTGCATCGGCATCAGATTCCGCTGTCCGGTACGGGCCTGGCCGAGAGCTCACTAAGAATATTCGGCTTTGAAATTATCCACCAGCTTGATCCACTGCAAGTTCGGGCCGACTCCCGCATCCTTCAGATCTGCGATCCAGAGCCGGTTGGTCTATCCGAGGTCAGCATTCGTTAAGTGAAAAATAAATGCTCTCACAGGCCCGGTGTCCTTAGACGTTGACAGCAGGAGGTACCTCCCATCTACCTCTGTTACCGTCGTGGCCCACATATAGTGCTCGTTCTCTGGGTCCTCGTGAACCAGAATATCCTCCGCTGTCACATGTTCCGTCAGCACCCCAAGATCATGCTAGTATAGATTTGTACAGACCCTGTGTCGTCCCGATGCGGTGATAATAGAGCTGGGCATTCGTATCCATCGTGGTCTCGGTTCCAGCCTTGTCCTCGGTTGCGGCGCCGTGCTCTGGCCGAGTAGGGAACCGTTGGTAGAAGAATCCCTGTTTGCATGTCAGTTCCGTTATCTCTCACAAGCATGCACATCGCATACCGTCTCATCGTGGGTCCATGTCACATCAGAAAACTTGCAGAAGCGCACTTCGTCCTTCAGCTTTCCGTCCTCTGGATTCCCAGTCCACTTGGCAGTGGTATCCCGCACATACACCGTGAAGAAGTCGCTGCCAGACAAACTCACGCCGTATGCCCAAAGCTTCGCGCTCTTGGAGAACTTCGCCACGGTGATCGCAGCGGTGCCATCTTCGGTGAGCACATTCGGATCGAAGAAGACGTCACCACCAGCGCTATTCAGTGCCTCTCCGGTCGGGAGCTCGGAAGCGCGGTAGAGCACACTCTGTGCCTGGAGACCAGAGTTGTAGTACCAATAGTAGTTCCCATCGTTCTTCTTCGAAGCCATGCTGAACTGCAATCCCACCGCGCATCAGCCTTGAAGAGTATCAGAACGAAGAACATGCAACGCACCCTGGGATAGTTGAAGTTCTCCTTGATCGCCTTGTACAACTGCTCCCTCGGTCCTTGCTGGATGAATTTGCCGGTAAACTCGACCTGCTTCTCCACCCACTCCTCCGTCTCCTTCGAGTTCTCTTCCAGCCAGTTGTATGGATCGGGTACGCGCACTTCGCCTTTGGCTACCGACTTGTATATGTCGACGTGTGTTGAGCGGCGGGCAGAGGGGTATGGGGTCGTCTTTGGATCCCAGGGTGGAGGAGGCGCCATCGTTCGTCGAGAGCTGGTGAAACCGCGTGCAAACAGCAACAGCGAGGTGGTCGTTGGCCTAAGGATCCTGCGAGACAGGAGTGGTACCGCTGTGCTAAGTGGTTTTGCAAGCATGCAACCCTCTTATACGTACAGATGGCCTGATCGTCTGAAGAGCGTAACTCGCGCCCAGTAGCTCGTGTGCGCAAGAAAGCAGCGAAAAGGCGTGACCTATGCGGTTATGACAGCTGAAAGATACAAGACTGGATCCGGTGAAGTTGGAAGACGTTCAGGCTAATCTCGAAGGCGCTGTGCTGGTATTAATGTTGCTGGTCGGCGAGGAGCGACGCTGACAGAGGCGTGTACGGCGGCGACGGTGCATGGGATCAACAACCGCGTGGACAAACCTCCGTCCCATTCCCGAGGAAGACTCCACAGACTATACAGTAACCCTTGTATCCTCAAGCTCACCACATTTATTTCCCCTGAGAAAGTGCAGTCCATCGATCGTCAATTAGATGATCAAGACCAATCTATAGATATAATCGATGTCGTCTGCTTTTCATACACTCTTTCGTGCTGCTCCAGTCTGCTGTCTAGTATTTTTCTAGTATTTTCAGAACATGTTATTGAACCTTACACCATCCCTTCGCCCATCGCATCCATCGGCATGGTCAATCCCTCAAGTATCTCGCTCTCGAATCAATCATCGAAGGGTAGTGTTGTTGCCTGCCATGGAGAAGATAGGGATGTACCAGGGACATCCACTTCTCCGCATCAATGGTTCTGGCAAGTGACAACCTGCTCACGGCGATTGGTCAGAGCAGTCCATGCTGTACCCCTTCGATTCAGAAGATAAAAAACCCACGGAAAGAGGTGTTTATGAAGTACTGTATGTCTGTACGGTTGCGAGATGTTAGTGACCAGTGGTTACACTGGGCATGAGTCTACCCGACTTAGCTCCAAATCTGCTAGCCGTGCTAAAAGTGGCCTGGCTCGAGATATCCACTGGAATAGTGATTGAGATTAGTCTACAAATGACCGGTCACTTTCTCTCCCCCACCCACTCACGCGCACCAGCGCATTAGCGCCTTCATCCTTCCCCATCCTCCTCATGCCTCCATACCACACCTCCCTCCCGACCCCATCTTCTCAAGGCCCACGCTACGTTCTCGTACACCACGAACGTGATACATGTCGCAGGAAGGACGCGGATCATATTCGTCGCGAGTCCGCGGTAGAACCCACGCATGCCGGATTGCTTGTACGTCAGGCGGATGATGGTGGGGATGTTGGGGTAAAGCGGGTTATGTGACTGTGGGACATATTAGCGGTTAATACACGCGGGTAAGGGTGAGAAGAGATGGAAATGGAGGATGGACACACCTGTAGGCGCGCACGGATCACCTGGTGAGGGTATGTGATAGACAGTGCGGTTAATTTTGATGTTGCGGACATGATAATGTACTCTATATTCGACTTGGACGTTGTCAGCTTCATCCTTAGTCCAATTGGTATCATTCACAAGCTTTTCCTGTCCTTCCCTCCACGGCCTCCCCTGCCGCTCATGCCTCCTTCTCTTCCACTCGAACCCAATATGTTTCAGCTGCTCGTACGCCATGAACTGCAGAGCACTGTTACTAATCCCGATGAGGGCAAACGTGCCGCCCTTGTAGAGCCCGCGTATCCCTTCCGTGCGCGCGATCTCGTACACTCCTCGGTGGAGGGAACCGTAGTCGTGTGGGTCCCCTGGGCGAGAAGCGAAGATGCGGACTCGGACGACCCAGAGAGGATTTGTCATCACCGCCGTACATGCGCCTGACCTTCTTGGTTAGCAAAGTATTGTACTAGAATGATATGCAAAGAGACCGGACGCACTGGCTTCAGCAGAAGCAAGCAGATATCCTCCCGGGGAAAGACGTATCTCGTGCCCTCCGTTGGGCGTAACGTGCACCGAGGCTGGATCTCTTTTCGCTATCCGTCTCTTAAGCAGTTCGTACCTGCGCCAGACTAATCAGCTACTCCGCATCCAAAAAATAAAAAGAGACGTACCACATGAAGTACAACCCCCATCCGGTGATGTTGCCCACCACGTTCGGCCCCAGTCCTCTGTATAAGCCGGTCCATCCATCCCGCCGTTTCGTATCGACCAAGGCGGACCAGATCGCTCTTCCTGAACCACCTCGTATGGGAGTGGACGAGACCTGGAATCGGGTGCGCAGAAGATCAAGAGGGTGGGTGAATAAGGTCGCGATACAGCCAGCGACGAGGCCAGCGGAGGCGTGGTCCAAGACGGGGGAGGGGAGAAAGGAGAGGGGTCGGGTGGTGCGGGGTGGTGTTGATGTTTGGGTGGTAAAAGAGGTCGAAGAATATGATGGAGAGGTAGAGGTAGAGGAGCATGGGCTTGTTCCGGCGCTGGAGGAGGCATGAGATGACATGTAGCGGTTTGGGGCCTATAAGTCGACAGTATGCCTTGTCATGCAGGGTGACTCGACCCTGCCAGGCCTATGATTTGGGTGTTTGAAAAGGTTGAATACAAAGTCCACCGTAAGCCTTAGAGAATTTATAAACAATCAGAAAGGTTGCGGTTTGAGAGGATTTAACCGACCGCAATGAGGAGAATTGCATGAGCGCTCACTCACAAGACCACTGATGACAAGTTGTTGACCCTACCAACAGCACGGCCACTTACAACCGCTCTATTCTTCTCCACCATGATCAATAACATCGACTAACGAAATCTTAGAATTTTAACAACCATGACGATCCATGCGATGTAAGAAGCAAGACGCGACACTGAAGCGATATGTCCTTTCCGACATATGCGACCGCAAGCGCGTAAAGTGCAAAAAAAGGAGTCCTATGGCCCACTATTTATATATTGGTCTCGATCAGTCCATTGGTGATCGACATACTGTGCTCGCTCAGGGCAACAAAAGACAAAATTTTACTCTGGAATGAGGCTTGCCTTGGGAATGTGGCGAGGTGTTCCACTGGTGTGCTGATCCCACCAACGTCGACCCCCACCGAGCGCAATATTTCTTCTGTCGCTCATGCCTTTTAGCCCAACGACTACCTCTCTCGTTTCTGCACGCGATTTTACCAGCCTCGAAATATCTCTATCCTATTATCTTTTCTCGTTTCTGTCTCTGTTCAGTTAATGCCCATTCGGCTTGGTACATATTATGCCACGTACACGTTGATGATAAGGAAAGCCGGAATAGATTTATGATGCATATCAGTGGTATCCCACAATTCTAACTAGCATCAACCAGTACGCACAGTGCCTCTTATCCAGTACGAAAGAATAAGCCTGCGCTATTCAGTGTGTTATGATACATTCCGGCAAGAGGGTTCCAGCGCCTGTTTGCGCGTCTCAGCCAAACCTAGCAGTGCACGACCACTTCTCCTCCCCGTCCTCCTCCTCTCCCACCCTCCTCGACTGAAATCCAGTCATGTCCTTCCTCACACAGCCCATGTTTAGCATACCAAGTGCAGGGATGTGCACCGTCGTCTCCCTGTTCGGGACGATCGTACTTGCGGTTGTACGTTCTGCCTTCCCTCTGTCCCTACCCGTCCTGACATCTTCCAGTTCGCATTCATGTTCGACAATAATGTGCGTTTCTTACAAGCATAGCTGAGCCGTATTGATCATTGATTATTTCTGTTGGATTGGGTAGTACGAAGCAGTGATGGGAAGCAAGAAGGACCCCGAGGATGGACACGCTGTTGCACGAACGCTGTACATCTCAGCGTTGGTGTACGCGTGCCTCGTCGTGTTCTGCGGTTGTCAGGTGCGTAGGCTCTTGCCGTTTCCCTAGCCTTCTGAGCAAAATACTGAGAACATGTGTAGACGGGGTTGGGAGCAAGACGCAGTAGAGGAGCGATCAGCATATGAGCGAGAGGGTGATGTGCACAGAAGCCGTGGCAGGCGCGAGCTGGTGTAAAAGACGGCGTCGTTTTCACGTCTCACGCCTTGGAATAAAGGATGCAGGTTATGTGCGATGTATCCCTACCATGTACTTGGACTGTTGTTGCACTTGGCTGTCCATCAGTGGTTGTCGACTGGGACTACACCTGTTGGTTTTGCGACCACTTCATACAACAGTGTAGTAGTCGCATGGATTGATATTTCTATGTTATACGTGGATTGACAGCATGAAATTCAGTGAGCGGACAGTATCGAAACCATACAGCAGAAACGAGCAGGAATGAGGAGAGCAAACTTCGCTGGCACATCCAGGCAACCGTCCATCCACCTCACCAATCGCCTCCATCGCCTCCATCACCCCAGTCACCTCCGTCTCCTCCATCCCCACCATCACCGTGATCGCCCATGTTGCCGATCATATCGCCGATGAGCAGACCGCCAACCAGTCCAGCACCACCAGCAAGGAGCGGGTTCATCCCGCTCTTCTGCGGTTGTTGCGCCTGTTGTTGCGCCGGCTCCTGGACGATGATAGTCTGCGGCTGCTGGGGTGGTAGGTAGTACCCTTGTTGAGGAGGTCCGTAGTATCCTCCAGGCGGGGGACCGTACTGTCCGGGAGGCGGTCCGTACTGACCAGGAGGAGGTCCGTACCCCCCGTACTGACCAGGTGGAGGCCCGTACTGCCCTTGAGGGGGTCCGTACCCCTGTCCCCCATACCCCTGTCCCTGTCCATACCCTCCCTGCCCGCCGTACTGCTGCTGTGGCGGGTAGTTATCGTGGCGTGAGAAAAAGCCACGATCGCCTTGCTGCTGGGGAGGTTGATACCCCGGGCTCGTAGAACCGGGAGGAGGACCAGAGGGCGCACCGTAGGACGGAGGAGGGATGTCGTCTGGGTGCTTCCAGGAGGGCTGGGGAGGGCTAGCACGGGTATTGACGTAGAACCAAGTCTTGTAGTTGGCATCGTATTGGGATACCCAGCCTGGAGGGAGGGGCCTTTGAAGCTGGTGAGCTGGTTATCGTCTCTGTGCGAGAGAAACGCACCTATTGTCCGGATTCCCAGACGGTGGGGAGTTATAACTCATCCTCTTTTACTTGGATTGGATGGGTATGTAGAAGAGAGATAGAATACGAAATTGCAACCCTCTCTAGTCTTATACCCCTCTGTTGCTGCCACTCGCTGTGACGGCAGGACAAGCGGTGATAGATGTGACGTGGCCCCCTACTGCCGCTTATAACCAAAGCAGTGAAATGCGGCCTTAACCCACATTAGATGTGCGGATACTATTATCAATATTGTCCAGATTTCGCAATCCGAACATGCCGAGCCAATGGGGCCATGTGGGTAGAGAAGTAACAGGGTTGCCTCTGATTGGAAATAATTCAAATCGATGGAGGGCGTGGTATCATTGTTGAAAACAGGGACTCAGGCCAGAATGAAAGGAATTTTCGGAATGTTGACCAAGTGCCACCCCCGGGTTTGTGATTCGCTTCGTATTTCTATCTTTCATGACTGCACAGACCACTCAAGTTTTTCCAAACCCGGACTGTGCAACCCCGCTCACGCCGCGATGACTCCATCTGGTAGCTGCGGCTACCATATGACCCGCGCTTGGCGCAGCATCGCATCGCATCGTTCCATGATTTCCGAAATTTCTACGTCGGATAGTTCTACCAATACAGGCTACCTGCTTTACGTCATTTCCCCTGCGCAACCTCGGCCTCCTACAGCCACCGGAACTTCCAGCTCAACTCTCAGCCCAACTTCTGCCGGAAGGAACGAACAACTAGTACTGCCCGATCGCCTGCCCATCACCACGTTGATCCGACCCCGCAGCCCACACAAGCCTGCCAGAAGTCTTGTCCGTAAGCCTCTGGATGATCTGACCTCTCCCGAGCATGCCACGCCCGAATCCAGCAACCCGGCGAGCGTCGTGTCCCATACCTATTGCGAAGGTATCAATCAGTTGCTCTGGCGGGGAATGGAAGAAACAAAGAAACACCTTTGAGCGCCTCGACTGTCTCGTCCGGGATGCCCTCCTCGAAGTACACATCACTGTTGACATCTCCCACATCTCCTCTTCCCTTCACGCCCGAGTCTGGTGATCCAGAGGAGATACAGAACCTAGGCGCGTCCATCGCAGCCTGCATCGTATATCCCCTCAAAGCATTCAAGAGCACCTGCACATGCCCTTGGGGCTGCATGAACCCGCCCATAACACCATAGCAGAGGAAGAGCTCCTTCCCACGCAGAGCCATAGCGGGTATGATCGTGTGATACGGCCTCTTCCCGCCTTTGAGCTCGTTCGGGTGCCCTTTCTCAAGCACGAAATTCGCTCCTCGGTTCTGCAGCGTGAACCCACATCCGTGCGGGATCGCGCCAGTGCCGAAGCCAGCGTAGTTCGACTGGATGTAGCTGCACGCGTTCCCCCACTGGTCGGTGACGCTCAGGTAGACAGTGTCGCTGCTGTTCGCAGGGTAGCCGTGTTTGATTGTCGGGTTCTGCTTTGCTGCGTCGAATAGTTCTGCCCGAGTGCGCAGGTAGGGCTTGGACAAGAGCTCCTTAACGGGCACATGTTCGAACTCGGGATCGGCGACGTAGTACCTGCTGTCGGCGAATGCGAGGCGGAGAGCTTCAACGAGGGCGTGCAGATACTCGGGCGAGTTGTGTGGCATGGTGAGGACGTTAGGAATCTTTCCGAGCTCTTGCATTTGGTCCAGGATCCCAAGGGCGAGGAGTGCGGTAATCCCACCTCCGTTCGGCGGACACTGTGAAGCCTCAGTATAAACCCTACGGCCGACCAGTCGGTACTTACCTCGTACACCGTCACCCCGTCCTCGCCACCATATGTGTAGCTGATGGGCTCCACCATCGTCGTTTCGTGCTTTGCCAAGTCCTCAAGCTCCATCACCCCTCCTTTCGCCTTGACCAGCTTGACGATCTCCTCCGCCACGCGGCCTTTATAGAACCCATCCTTCCCCTTCTCCGCCACTTCCCTGAATGTCTGTGCCAGATCAGGGAACCGCATGATCTCCCCTGCCATGGGCGCACGGCCGTTGAGAAGCATAGCGTGTGCGTCGGGGGAAGCGTTCTTGATCAGGTTCTCGCTGCGTTTCCAGGCGTTGGCATGCAACTCGCTGACGGGCACGCCCTCTTCAGCGAGCTTGATCGCGGGCGCCAAGTTCTCCGCCAGCGGCAATTTCCCAAAATGCGCTGTGGCGTCCACCCACCCTCCCGCCGCTCCGGGAACAGTAACGCTGTTGATGTCCGTAAGGGGGATGGCGTTGCCCGTGACGCCACGAGAGCGCAGGTACTCGACGCTCAGCGCTGCAGGGGCATGGCCGGAAGCGTTCATCCCTTTCACTGTCTTGTCTTTGGCGTTGTAGAACAAGCAGAAGGCGTCGCCTCCAATACCAGTGCAAGATGGTTCAGTCATGTTCAGCGCAGCAGCGCAAGCGACGGCAGCGTCCGCTGAGCTCATGTCAGTTCATCTCTCCCGCATGGCGATCAGAAACGTACCAGCATTCCCGCCCTTGTTGAGCACCTCTATGCCCGCTGCGCTCGCCAGCGGTTGGGTGCAACTGACGATGCCCTTTGTAGAATAGACCACAGAGCGGCGAGATAGAAACCTTGCGAACTCCACATCTGGAGGGCCGTACGTCAACTTGTCCCAATTCCAGCCCGAGGATGTCGATTCTCCCATTGTTGATGATGAAGGTGTGCGAGGAACGAGGCGAAGGTTAGGAAGTGGAGTAGAGAGTGAGCGGAGAAGCGGACGTGCTGGCTGGAGGACCTATGTACAAGGGAGAAGGAAGTGCGAGTAGAGGGATTCAACAGGCTACCATTGCTGGTGGGTAATGTATACCCTTCTCTTGCACGCGGTTCGAGGGGAGGGGTCCGACGAGATGTGCCGAGCCGATTGACCGACATATGCCCTCCGGTTACCCCCCAGCGCTTGCGGGTCGTGCGACCGAAGCCGATCAACACCTCTTATCCACTATCGTCCCCCGCATGCGTATAACGCACTCGACATTGTTACATCCTGACTAGATCGTACATTATCGTTCAGACTGATGCCGGTATACTGTCCACCGCAGAAGGAGCCGTTATCTCCCGGTCCCGTTCAGAACCCGCGCACAAGCAAGACGTTTCCACCCGGGTACTTTGTTCAACTCTCCCATCGTTAACAACATCGAGAGTGGAGGAGAGTAGGTAGAGCCTCCACCTCGATCTGATAGCATTGTTCGTAGGTAGCAGTTAGTCTGTCGGTGGTAGCCTGGTAGGGACAACAAAGACCCAGTACAAGGGAATTCATTATCCAAACCACGTGATGTTCGTCATCGACCCTGATCGCCCATAACGCCCTCTTTCTCTTCCTCTTCCTCTCTTCCTCTCAACACCCAATGGCGCCTATTCCCTCTCGCCCAGTCGTCCTCGTCACCGGTGCATCCCGCGGCTTAGGCCTAGCAGTAACCAAGATTCTCCTACAAGAATTCCACGCCAGAGTCGTCACTATCTTCCGAACAGTTACGCCCGAGCTTCAGGCGTTGAAGGACCACTATGGAGGAGACATCCAGTTGGTACAGGGGGATATGTTCGTCTTCTTGCCTCTCCCTCTCTGCTCGCCATTACTCATCTAGAACTGTCAGTACTAAACCCGAGACGTCACTCGAAGCGCTGCGCCTCGCTCCCTCCCCCACCGCGCTAGTCTCAACGCCGGCATCGCCGACCTCACCCGTATAGAGAACACCAATCGTGCGCACTGGCTGCAGACATTCGACACCAACCTTTTCTCCGTTATCAATACGCTCGTACCTGCTATCCCCGCGCTGAGAGCGAATGAGGGGAGGGTGGTGCTTGTGAGTAGTGGTGCTGCGACGGGGAATACGGCCGGGTGGGGGAGTTATAACGCTAGCAAGGCAGCGTTGAACTCTCTTTGTCGGTGCGTTTTCCTTCACTTCCTCACCCTCTCATATTTCACCCTCGAACCCCTTACCATTACTATTTCCAAAACACAACTAACAAAGAGCAGGACATTCGCCAACGAAGAACCCCTCATAACCACCATCTCCCTCCGCCCAGGGCTCGTAAACACCCCAATGCAAGCCCAGATCCGCACTCCCTCCGTCCAAGCCCAAATGCACCCTTCAGAGCACGCGCGCTTCATACAGGCTTACGAAAAGGGCCAGCTGGGTGAGTCAGAGGAGAGGGGGTACGTCGTGGCTGCTTTGGCTGTGAGGGGGTCGAAGGAGCTGAGTGGGGGGTTTTGGAGCTGGGATGCGGAGGAGATGGGGCCTTATAGGCAGCTGGCGCCTTGAGCGTGCGACTGCGCAAGGGCATACGTTAATGCGAGCTATAGTGTAGAGAAAATCAAGCATTTCAAAGTGTGCTTGCAGCCACGCGCGGCCAACCGTTAGGGCGAAAAGAGGGCGTATGGCAAGAAAGTGCTTGAGCTGAATGGGAAGGCATGGAAAGCGGATGGACGAGAGACGGCACCCTGGAAGGATAAGGATGAGAATTTCAAAAACGTCAAGAAAGGAAGGGGTATGTATGTATTATCTACAAACACTGGGGATGTACACTAGTGGTATCATTTGATCAAGACCTAGCAAGAGTCCGTCTGGTTGTTTCTGTTGCCGGATGGCTTTATTGCTGCCTTTCCAGTGGCATCGTCGCATCGTCCCACTCGAAGCGCTCTCATTCGCAACCGTTCATGAGCTCACTCCGGTTTCCACTCGCCCTTAACCCAATCCACCACCGTCCTCAACCCCTTCTCATCCCTCAACAACGCACTCCCATGCCTACCCTCCTGATCAAACACACACCCCTCTCTCACCCCATTGGCACACAAGTACCTCTTCACCCGTTCCGTATCGACGATCACGTCCTTCCCACCGAGCAAAACGACAAACTTGGCCGGATCACGCGCGTGCCGGATCTCCTCGTACCACAGGATATTGCTGCTCCATACGAAATGCCTCTGCAGGGCGTTCGCTACCCCCAGTTCGGAACCGACAAAGTACCACATCAGGAGCTCCATCGCGCAGCTCGGTGTGCGGTATACGAAGTTGTAGCAGACGTCTCCTTCCCATAGGCAGAAGGTGACTGGGTCGACGAAGCATGAGCGCCGGAGGAGGGTGGGGTGGTCTTTCATCATCCACGCGTGGGCGATGGTGCCGTTCGAATGGGAGAGGAAGACGACGCCCCCCTGGCCGGAAGAGTCAGGGCCGAAGGAGAGGGCGTCGATAGCCGTCTTGAGACTGGAGACGGTCTCTTTCCTCCCTGGAGGAGCGAGGTGCTGGGGATGGAGGATATCCTGCGAGATATGCGGCTGGAGAGGGATGAGAAGAGGGTGATCAGGAAGGGAAGAAGCGAGGTCGTGCAGCAGGTTCTTGTACTGCATCAGCCCTATGCCCAGACCGTGGAAGAGGACTACTGGGGCGTGTCGGGCTTGCTGCCCCAGGGCTGGTGTCCACCCTTCCGGAATCCGTAGAAGGTAGTCGATCTCCCCAAACCTGCGGACCTGGAACCCGTGTTGCACCTGATACCACACGCGGAAACTGTAGCTCAATAAACCAACAACGGCGTACATGACCAACGGCCTTCCCCAGACGGCAATAGGGTCCATCGTCAGCCGGAGAGGGACGACCGTCATCGGTCCTTCGGGGAAGATTGTGCCTGAACGGCGCTCGATGAGCTCGAGAGCTTCGTACAGCAGTGTACGCCTGACGGAGGAGGCGAGGCAGTCAGCCAGGGGGAGGTCAAAACAACTCCACGCTAGCCAAGTGAGCATCGATTCCCTCGTTATCTCGTCCCAAGGGGCTTTCCTAAACCTGCAAATCCATCAGCCCTGGACCCAACATGGAGGAAGTTGGCGCAGAACGCACCAAGTCCGGATTCGCTGCCGGAAATCGACAGCTCGGTGGTCGTCCTTCTCCAGCCGTTCGACATGTTCCATGGGCGACTCTGGGCGGGCAAGGTCGCCTTTCTGCAGTGCAGGGGCGGGTGCGAGACCCGCTTGCAGCACACGGATGAAGCTCTGGCGAAGAGTGACGATGTCGTCCGGTGTGTTGGGGCGCAGTGGCTGGATAGACCTGGCGAGGTGGGCATGATAGATGCTAAACGCGGCCTGGTACACATGAGCTTTGAGGGCAGAGTTCCTATTTGAGAACAGACCTCTAACACGGCCCATATGAGTAACACCTGTCCAACAGCTGAAGGAGGTGCATATAAGCACCAGAGGATGTATGCCCAGCTCAAGGGAGTGAGAGACCAGACTAGGGCTACGAGAAAGAAAGCGATGTAGTATCCCGAAGTGCGAGGTGGTGGTTGATGAGGAAGAGAGGAGGGGTCGGACATGAGCACAGAAGGGGAATGCCCTAGTCGAGGAGGAGCGGTGAAGGAATATTAATGGGACCGTTTTTAAGAGTGAAGCGGATGGCACGTGAATGGCGTTTCACGTGGCGTTTCTTTGTCACTCAATTCTGTGTGATCGGGGAAGGCTTACTACAACTGGCATTTTATACAGTTGTTTGGTTAGTACAGACAGCACGAGATTGACAATGATAGACAATGACAATAGACAATGGACAATGCATCAAGTAAAAGTAGGACCCGACCTCCGGCGCAGTCCTCATCAGATCAGATCACGGCCGACCCCGCGCCGACATTCCCCAGCCAGCAAAATCAATCCCCACTGATGGACAACATATCGCATCACTGCGGAGATTAGATGGTGTCTAACGCCTATTTGTACTGTCGGCCCAGGCCGTCCAGCTGCGCGTCCTCATGAGCGCTCGGCGGCTCCCTCGCTGTACCTGAAAAGGCAGGATGTCGGACGCTGGAGTACCGCTCGTTGGAGAACTCGACACGACAGCAGAGTTACTTTTCGGAGTCGATCGCGAGATGCTCGACAGACACTGAGAGACCACACGCGCAGTCTAGATGCGCTCAGGGGCGAGCCCCTTCTAGCTATGCAAGCCAGATCGGTCCGCCGGTTTTCCACTGGAGCAATCCTCGGTGGGTACCGAGTCGCTCGCCCGTCAGCTGGGCCGGGGAGTGTTATTGACCGCAGGGCACAGCATGAGCGTGCTGAATGGGCCATCCGGGGGAGGCGGATAGAGCGGACAGGGGATTGGGATCGGACCAACCCCTATGCCTGGTTGCGTGCAGTATGCGAGGGGGATATCGATATCCGTACGCTGGGCACAGTGTTCGTATGCCCTTTCAGCTGCTGGGCTGTTCCGCACGTCGGAAGACCGTCGTATGGCCGAATGACGTCAACTTCCAGGTGTAGGTGTCCTCATAGGCGGTATGTCAGTCTTCAACACCCTCCTAGCTTTACTCTTGGGCGTCGGTGCTGTCCACCCCTCTCAGTAACCCCAACACCAAGCAAAAGACCACTCAAACACACCTTTAATATTCTCAGTCATATAAAACCGTCTCAAGAGGAGTATCGCTTCCTCCCTGCCATACCCTTCTAGGGCTTCGTACGCCCTCTCCCTCGGATGAGGCAGCTCATTCACAGCCCAAACACCGCCGCACCCGCCAAACCGGGGGTTGGAACAGCCGTACACTACGCGGGAGATCTCGAGTTGTCGGAGTGCGGAGGAACACATTATGCACGGCTCGACAGTTACGTAGAGTGTTAGGGAGCTGAGGGGGTGAGGACGGGGTAGGGAGAGGGAGGGGGAGGAGAGAAGGTGGTCGATCGCTTCCAGTTCGGCGTGGCGTGTTGCCTGCAGCACCAGGGTCAGCTGTCGACCTTATCATCATTAGAAAATAAAGCACGGAGAGGTGAAAGGAATACAGAAAGAAGCAAAGAGTAAAAGTAGAGAAACGCACGTTACGCAACTCGTTAGTCCTGTTCCTCGCACTCGCTACAACCTCTCCCTCGGAATCGACAAATACGCACCCAACGGGTACCTCTCCCGCGTCGAGGGCCTCGCGAGCTTGGGCAAGAGCGAGGTTGATATAGTGCATATCTGTTTCATACTGAGGAGAAGGGGGAGTTTGAGTAGGGGAGGTAAATGGGGAGGGTTGAGACTGTTGAGAGGGTGAGCACATGTGCTAGAGATGTGGCAGAAACGGCTGAGAAACGGTGCTTTGTTGTTGCTTTGTTGTTGCTTTTGTTGCTCCTGTTGTATCTTTATCACCAGATACTTCCTTGATTCTCCACCTGAGTCACCAACCGCAGCAGACAGGACAGAGTGGAGCGGTTCAGTGCTAGAATCATTGTGTTCAGTGCGAGCAGTTACTAGAGTATGTGGCTATGCAAAGAAGCAATGAATCAGTGGCTGTGTCAGAAGAGGGCTGTGATTGGTCCAGATTTAGGGACTGGAGGTTATATACCTATCGTCCACTCCTCCTCCTCGACGTCCTCGACATCCTCCTCCTCGACCTGGCTAACCACGGACATGCCGTACCCCCCTCCCGCTGTCCTCTCCGACTCACCACCACCAGGTACTTCATCAGACATCGACGACCCCTCAGGCCTATCCCTCACTCACCCAGAACTCGACCCCTACGCGCCTTACTCCAGTTCAGACGAGCCTTCAGAAGAGGAACGGCCGACCCCGGAAGAGGAGTATGGAGAGGGAGAAGTAGACCCCGACGCGTTGGAAGAGCATCTTGCCGTTCTCAGATCGTATGATGCTGCTAGCACGCATATCCCGCTCTTGGCACGCGCCGACTCGCTCAGCAGTGCAGGGACGCTTCCTGCACCGTTGACACTGCCCTACACCCACGAGCAGGGACCGACCAGCGCCCCTGCTGAACGACCCGTGCTGCCCAGGATGACAAGAGCGTTCAGCATGCCCCTACCTGAGCAGCTGCGGCATTTGAGGCATCCGCTCCCAGGTGCAGGGAGTATGACTTGGGACCCTACCAGTCCTACCACTACTGCCAACGGCGGCCTCTTCTCCCCAACAAGCGACTCCCCCACCGCTTTCTCCTCTAATGCATCCTTCCCCCCTTCCCCCCTGCCGGTACCAGACTACCTCCACCTCCTCTCGCTCGAACTGGCCGACACGATCCAGCCTATAATCCAGACGCTGCTCCAGCTCACCCCGCCGCACATCCTCGACCCTGCGAAAGAACAGTTCTCGGCGTGCACGGTCGGCATCCCTACGGCTAGCGTATCGGGGCTGCTGATGGCGATGAAGGGGTTGAACTACCTTTCGGGGAGACTGGCGAGGGAGGGGATACCTGCTCCTGCCTCTGTGCTCGGGTATGACACTGCTTCCAGCTCCAGTACCGGCACTAGCAGCACCAGCATCACTACTTCCAACTCTACTACTACCAATTCACGAGCTTCGCCTAGGGACACACCCCCCGAACAAGACGAAACCTTCGACATTGGCGAACTGCTCCAGTCTATCGGGGACACACTCGCCGGGCTAGCGGCAGACAAGTGTGTGGACTTGGTACTGTATCATGCCGAGGTAGGGATGTTGCATGTTGGGGTTAGGGGGGACGAGAGCGAGGTCGGGTATTTGTTGGGTTATGTGAGTTTTCTGTTCTTTGTGTTTCCCCCTCCTCGCCACTCGACTCCTGTTCCTGGCCTGCGGAGCTCTTTGGTATGCGTTTGAAGTGGAACTAACCTATGTGCAGGTGTTGAGGCAGATATTGGCTGTCGCTCAGAAAGGCGACACGATCGAGCTTGGCCTTACGCTCTCCCATGCACCACCCTTCCCCAGCCGCAGCCCTCCCTCCGCTCCCACCGCAGACTACCAATGTACATTCGACATCTTGCACCGTTTTCCTCCTTCCTCATCACGCGTACCCCCAGTGCTCAACAGCAGGCTTGCGACACACCTGCTACATTCCCTACATGCGACGCTCTCCTCCCCTTCCTCGTCACACTACCTCCTCACTATCCCTCTCCCTGCCGGACCCTCGCCCTCCCCTCCGCCTCTCACACCACAACAAGAACTCTCCCGCCAACCCTTTCCCTCCTACCGTCTCCCCCCCGAACCCACACTCGCCGAACTAGCCAGTTTCGTACGCCTCGACCTGAGGGGGAAGCGGGTAGCCCTGTACGCGAGTCCGAGGAGCGTGTTCGGGCGGCATGTGACGAGTTACCTCACCAGTTGGGGGATGGACGTTGTCCATGTGCCTACTGATGAGTTGGAGGGGTTGATCAGCGGGGAAGGAGAAGAAGAAGAAGAGGGAAGCAGGCTACCGGGGGAAGAAGAGCCTTCCTCTGAACGGTCACGTCCTGGTTCTGGCCTGCCTTCTGCCCACCCAGATCAGCCAGACGGACTTCCAGACCCTGTGGAGCACAGTGCAGGCACAGGAGGGGGAATGGAAGCGGACGGCGAGCCCAGGCCGGCAAAGTTAAGTTTTGTGATCATCGACGACGACGTCCCCGTCCTCCGGCGACGGCTGGTGCAGATGCGCAAAGAGCGGGAAAGGGAGAGAGGGAGAGAAGGCTGGGAATTCAGGCTTCGTCCTGCTCCGGTGTCGGCTCTTCCTGCTATACCTACCGGGGCAATGGCACGACGAGCTGCTGAGAAGCTCCAGCTTTCCCAGGGCCAGGGGCAGTCCCCACAACGCCCTCTTTCGCACAGACGGGCGCACCCCCGTTCTCCCGGCTCAGGCGACCCGCCCACCCCTCCTACCAGTGCCGGTCCAGCAGACCCCAGCCCCTCCGGCCTTGTACCACAAGAGAACCCCGTGATCATCCATTTTACCAGTCTGTCAAACTTCAAGCTCGTCCGGGACGCAGTGCAGACCCTGCTCGCCCTCCCCCAGCCTGGCTCGCAACCCCTGTCCACCCTGCCGGAAATAATCGTCATCCCCAAGCCTGCTGGTCCTAGGCGGCTCCTCACAGCCCTCCATACGGGGATGTACAAGCCCCTTGTAGACCCGTTCTTTGCGCCTATCGCTACTTCCCCCCTGTCACCAGCGAGCGTCCCCCCCTTCTCCCCCTTCTTCACTCCTCCGACAGGGAACGACCAGGACCCGCTTTCCCTCTTCCCGCAATCCCAATCCCAGTCCCAGTCCCAATCACTCCAAAGTCCCGTCATCACCGCGCCTTCCCACTCCCCCTCTCCCAATCCAGGACCACTCAACCTCCACCCCCTCCAGCACACCCCACACGGCACCCTCTTCCTCCCCGGCGGACTGCAGAAATCCCGCTCTCCAGGCCCATCACCTCTCGCCCAGCCGCCTGCTACTGTCCCCGAAGGCGAGTATTTCCCTGGAGACGCAGTCAAGATCGGCTCTTCGGCGAATAGCGGTGTCTTACTCCAGAGTCCGGATGGGAGACCGGCGGGTGTCATCTTCCAGCCTCTGGGGCGTGCGGCAAGTTCCTCCACAGCAGCAGGAGGGCTTACCCCGCCCGACGGGGCTGTCCCTACAGGACCAGACCTAGACGGCGCAGTCGCCCCCGGAACGAAGCCTCTAATGATCAGCAAGTCCAGCGGAGAGTCTGTCCCGCGCCAAGTTCCCATAGGGATGATCTTCTCCCCTTCGCAGGTGATCGATTCCTACCGATCGCCGGGTGTGGACGGTCCGCCCCATCTGCCAGCAGGACCGAGTCGCCGGCAGATCAAGCGCGTCACTACTGCTGAGACACGGCCTTTCCTCCTTCCCGGGATGGACGAGGAGTCGGGGGACAACACGACTCCCGCTGCGGTGAACCGGTTCCGCTCAGGCGCCCGCCGGACAAGCAGCGCTAGCACGACGGGCGGTTCTGCTGCTAGTATCCCCCTTCCTCCTTCTCGCCCGGGCTCATCCCGTATCCCGAGCGGAGGGTCGGCACACCCTTCTGCCACGCCGAGTGTTGCACATCGGGTTGCTGGCCGGCGCGCATCGGGACAGATCGTGAATGTTGGAGCGATGAATTTTGTCCTTGGTGATGGGCCTGCGCCTGCTCCTCTTGGGCCTGTTTTGCCAAACGTTGTAGACCCGGAGAAACAGGCGCAGCGAGAGAATATCCGTAAACTTATTCAGGCAGGGGCCGAAGCAGTTGCCCCGGCCGTAACCTCGGCTTCGGAACACGTTCTACCCACCACTAGTGTCCTGAGCGCTGCGCCTGCCGTTACCATCGCATCATTGCCAAATACAGCCAGTGGGCACAACACGCCTTCTCCTCTGCCTATTTCTCCGCCTAGCGACCATGCGTCGCCCGTCAAGTCTCCACCTGTTGTTGCCGCATTACGCCGAACCTCGGATACGGCTGTCAGTTCTCCAGGTGGGAAGAAGAAGTCTGTTGGGGATAACGTTATCGTTCCTCCCATAAATGTGCTTATTGTGGAAGGTGCGTCCTGTCGCGTATGATGCGTGGACTCGGCTGATCGAATCGTGCCAGATAACCCGATCAATCAGACTATTCTTATGACGTTCATGAGGAGAAAAAAGATTAAATATGGAACGGCTAATGATGGAGCCCAGGCGGTGGAGAAATGGAAGACTGGCGGGTATCACCTGATTCTGGTATGTTCTCCCAACTTTCAGCCTAAACAGTGTTGACAGATTCCCAAGATGGATATCCAAATGCCGGTTATGGATGGGATACAAGCGACCAAAGAGATTCGCCGGCTGGAGAGCCAATCCAATTTTGGTCTGTATCCAACCACACCACCGGTCGACTCCCTACGGGCGGGATCACCGGCACCCATAGTGAAACCGCCAGCAACCCCAGGCTCGATGCCTCAATCCTCACCACACCGCTCCTCAGTTATCATCGTCGCCCTCACGGCTTCATCTCTGCAGAGTGATCGTGTGGCTGCTCTTGCTGCTGGGTGTAACGACTTTCTCACCAAGCCGGTATCCCTCAAATGGCTAGAGAAGAAAATCATCGAATGGGGGTCCATCAAGGCCTTACAAATGTGGGCAGACTCAGCGGTGACCCATGGATTTTCCAGTGGACAAGCTGCTCGTGGTGCCAAAGTTCGTGACCAGCTTCGGATCAATAGGTCAGGACGAAACTCGCCTTCTGGTCATTCCAAAGGCAAAGGGAGTGGCACCGATACTGATACTCCCTCATCTCATCCTTCGCATCGACCCGTCTCTGGTCCTGCTCCTGTTCTCGGAAAGGGCACCAAGGAAACAGTGTCTGCCGATCCAGTGCCTACTGTCAGCACATGTCCAGAGACCATTGATGATCGTCGCGCACAATCTTCGATCTCACTCAGCTCTTACTTCCCTGATCGTCCTCCCGATGTATTTGCCCCAAACGACACCAAGTCGCTTCTTCTCCAGGACGTGTTGGATGATGAGGACGATGACTCACCCGCCGAAACGATTAAGGAGATTTCACCTCGGCGAAAGTCATCAATGTCACTGAGTCCGGGTCTGGAAGCGCACTAATATCGCGCTAAATTCCGAGGTCGATTACTCTGATATTTCTCTACTTGTTAGACGTTTACGTACTCTCTGGATACATCTGCATCGCTGTTCCACCACCTGCTGGTTTCGCTGTTCGAAATGTCACCTGCGCTCATGTGTACTCTACCTAAACGCACACCATGTTCTTTGCTTCATTTTTGTCATCTGGTTTGTTTGTTTCAGGGTTTCAGTGGTCGACTCGTTCCGAATATGATCATCAATATTGTTGTTCGTTGTTGTTGTGTTGGAGCTGCGGTCCGTTGTTCCGAGTCCCCGAGTTACGGAGCCGGACCTAAAGAAGGCAAGTCCGCTTTCCTCATGGACGTTTGTATTGAAGTTATAAACAGCGCTTCATTAACGTTCAGAAAGCCCCTTCGGCAAAACACTGGGATCCGCGTGCGGGCCGCTTCGTCCCATCCGCTTTTTATTGCCTGCTTGACTATATTGGCACAAGGTCACCCTAATGCATCAACAGGTCACGTTTTGTGGACGACGGCGAATCCTCGGAACTATTTTCAATATGCTGCATTCGCGAAGCAAATTCTGCTTCGTTCGCCGCCTTCTCGTCGTCCTTCCCCTTCCCAAAAATACATCGATCAGCCAATCGGGAATCGCTCCGCGGGGCCCCATCTGCTCCGGATCTTCGGGAATTCTGGGGAACGTCCGGGGTGCCCCGTTCTCCACCTTGGATCTTACCATGCATTGGTGTCTGGTCCAAGCGCTCTCGGTTCTAACTCCAAATGCTGACCCTCCTCCCCGCGCGCCAGCAGAGGGGGCATATAAAATGCTCTGTCTGCCTAACTTGAGCTGTTCTGAGCTCCTCAGAAGCGCAAATACGACTCTAACTTCTCTAATATTGTAGTCCATTTCTTGCCACTATCTGGCCCGGAAGCGATATGGACCACGAGAAACAACCCAAGTCTCATGATGTAGACCATATCGAGTCGACCATGGATGAGAAGGCATCGAATTCGGAGGTCGAAGCTGGACCAAGTGGCCCCAAGGGCCAAGCCATTATTGAAACTCGAGCTTCTCGCTTCGCCGAATTAATGGCGAAGCACAAACCAAACCCGTTATCCACGTCTATGCTTCTCCTATATCCGATTCTACTTGTCGCATTCATGAACAGTGCCGCTAATGGATTTGATGGGAACACGTTCGGGGGCGTGTCTGCAATTGCCGACTTCCAGGCTCGGTTTGGTACAAACGTGGCCGCGAGCGACGGATTTCTTGCCGCTATCTACATTCTAGGTGAGACATTCCGAGACGAGTGCACAGCCAGTGCTGATGTATGTTCAGGCAACGTCATTGGATCATTTGTCGCTGGCCCTGCAGCTGACTGGCTGGGCCGTAAGAGAGGTATGATCCTCGCCAATATCATCGTCCTCATCGGCACCATCGTTCAGGCGGCCGCCATGCAACGGAGAGACATGATTGCAGGACGTGTCGTGCTCGGCATCGGATCTGTTATGCTTGGACCATCCGCAACCTCTTATGTTGTTGAAATGTCCTACCCAGCATATCGTGGCACAATTGTTGGTCTATACAATGGCTGCTACTTCATCGGCGCTATCGTTTCAACATGGCTCGAATATGGTCTTGTCGACGATACCAAAGGAGAAATCAACTGGCGCATCCCGATGGCTATGCAGGGCATTCCCTGTATCATCGTTCTTGCCTTCGTCTGGTTCCTTCCTGAATCCCCTCGATGGCTGATGGCTCGTGGGAGGGAAGAGGAAGCGAAACGTATTCTAATCAAGTATCACGGCGAAGGGGACCCGGACAACGAGCTTGTGCAGCTAGAGATGGAGGAGATGCACGAGGCCATTGATACCGCCGGCTCTGATACTGTGCGCACTTTGGATTGACCCGTAACACATGGCTAATCCTTCTGCAGCGCTGGTGGGACTACCGTGAGCTCTTCAACACTCGTGGAGCCCGTCACCGGATGTTCCTTGTGCTTTGCGTCGGCTTCTTCGGACAGATTGATCTCCCTCCAACCAGCTATTACATGCCACTCATGGCGCAGACCGCCGGAATTGTCTCGACCAAACAGCAACTCCTCATGAACGCCCTTCAGAGTCCAGTCATGACGATTGGCACGCTCCTCGGTGTACACACGATCGATAAATACGGTCGACGACCCATGCTCATTGTTTCATCGGCTGTTTGTTCGCTTTGCGTGCTGATCATTATCATTTGCAGCCTGAAGCAAGAAGGTCACCCGTCTGTCGGTCTTGCGGGCATTTCGTTTGTTTATGTGTTCTTGTTCGCATTTGCGTTCGTTTGGACGCCAATGCAAGCGCTTTATCCGTCCGAAGTACTCGCGTACAATGCTCGTGCCAAAGGTCTTGGCATGTCTGGCCTTTGGATCAACATTGTCAGCTTCATTAATACCTATGCTGCACCGGTGGGCATCACAAATTCTGGATGGAAATTCTACTTCTTGTACTTTGTGGTATGATGCCATTCCAGATCACTAATTTATCAAGCTCACGTGTTAACAGATCGATGTCGTCGGCATCATTACAATTTATTTCTTCTTCATCGAGACGAAAGATCGCAGTCTGGAGGAGATCGACGAGATATTTGCCGACCCGCATCCGGTTCGGACATCTCTTCGCAAGCAGAAGATCTCTGTTGCGATAGAGAAGTCGTGATTGGTACGGTTTATCGGGATGATACTATTCCCTGCTTAGTCTTCTGGGTGTATGTATGCTGGTGTTTCACGACTGTGACGAGATATAATATAATTCATGTCTGATGGCTTGTCCGTCTCGTGGAACGCCATCATTGAAACTTGCATTGAACTGCATATCTGTCAAACATATTCATTGCACTGTCCGACTACGTCGCCTAAATCACTAACACTGAATGATCACAAATAGGATCGGTACATAGAGGAATCGATTAGCTAAACACATATGGTTGTTTTACTCATGATCAGTACTGCAGCTCAACGTCACCCTCTGCGACGGAGTCCATGTCGTTGTATGAAATCTTCCGGCCAGCTCGTGCACGTGGATCCTCCTTTGCATTCGGAGGTGGAGAACGGCGCATAGGCGGCGCACCTCCTCTACGGGGCTGCAACCCCATATTACGGCCCATGTCGAGGGCACCTGTGGGCTTCGCGGGCAGACCTTCTGCTGCCAGAAGGGGGAAACCAGGGGCGGCACCACCCATCTCATATACGGGAGATCGTCGGGGATCGAAGTTTGGCTGCTCACCCCATTGCGCAGGAGTGGCAAAGGACCCGCCATAGGCGGCACCGGGGTACCCGCCAATATAGTGGCCACGGCCATCCTCAGGCCGCAACGGCATCGCACGATCGTCCTTCTGCTCCTGCCTATTATCGCGTCGAGGAGGCTGTGTAAAGGCGGACGTGTGTTGCTGCGGGGTAAGGTGTACTGGGTCGAGGGCAAAGTCATTGAGGAAAGGAATCTAGGGTACACGGTCAGTATCGCTTCGTGTCTGGACCTAGCAGACTGACAATATCGAGCTGCTCCTTCAGGAGTTCAGGATGCTTGTTGGCGACATGTTTCTCCACGAAATTGCTGGCTTTGAATAGCTTCGTGCACACTCTGCACCGGAACTTGCCCTCATCTTCTTGCTGAACGTGAGGCATAACTAAACGGTGCACTTCAGCGTCGTAATTGATTCCGCCGTAGTCCGCGGGGTCTACATCGGGCTTCTTCAGCAACAACATCACTCTAGCATCAAGCCATTCGATCCAGCGATCATCTGAATAGAATGGTTGGTGCGACTCCCTTGCCTGTGAGAAAACTGGACCCACCAGCAGGACCGCGCTTCTTAAGGCCCTCCTTCTCCGCCTCTTCTTCCATGACAGTCGGCTTCACGTAGGGCATGCGGATGTGTTTGACACATTTCCGCTGCAGCGCCTCGACGTAATCGCAAACGAGAGCGCAGTAGTAGCATGTGTTAAACGCACCGCGAAGATAGTTGAGCCACAGATCAAGTTCAAGACGAAGCTGCGAAGGGCCGTCAGTATGTGCCCCTGTCTGTTCTGTCAGCCTCTGCTCACCTCAGCATTCTCAAGTTCTTCCTGGTCAATCTCGCCATCACCCGCTTTCTCATGGGCCTTGTCACGCAGTTGTTGAACAAGTATCTCGAATCTCTTTTCAACTTGTTCGATACCCCTGAACGGCTCCTCATCTGCCACATCCAGATCTTCCTCAACTCGAACGTTCTCGTTCTTTTGAATATCCTCATCCATAACCACATCTCCTTCCTGCTTCGCAGCGGCTGCCGCCTCAGCCGCTTTCTTCTTAACCTCCTTTCGATCCTCCCTAACTTTACGCTTAGTGGCATCCCACTCGCCTTCAAGGATAACCGCGAGATCTTTGATGTTTTGCAAGTCGTGACGCATGCGCTCTGGCTTGTTGGATATTGGGGGCGCAACGCGAACTCGGGAAGGGTAGGGCTGAGTATTGTGTACAACATGCATGGTAAAGCCATCAATCTTCCAGAGACAGTTAGCCACAGGTTTCACATTGGGCGCACAGAGTGTCTTACCCGCTGTGAGCTGAAGTGCGCAACTGCCCCGGCCATATCTGCTTCGTCTGTATATTTCACCCAACCCGGACGGTAAAAGCTCTTCTTAGGTTGAGGATCGCCCAGCGCGAGATAGACGAAACCATCGACGCCCTTGCAAACTTCCTCTATTTTGGCTCTTGGCAGAGCTGGAGGGATTGTCCGGATCAAAAGCTGGTTGCCGTCCGGCTGTACGTCGACGGACAACTCAGGAGGTATTCGCGCCTTGACGTCTTTCGGACGACGATCAACTGCGCCGTTGGTCTCCGCAGCGTCTGGCTTCTCCTCCCCAGCCTCCTCCTTCATAGGACTCACGAGGTCTTCTCCCTCCGCTTTGGCGGGATGCTCACTCTCCATTGCCACATCTTCATTTTCGTCTTTCACTCCGTTCCCATGCTTGTGCTCTGCTGCCTCTTCAGGTGCTGCAGGAGGCTCGAGCGTCACTTCTGGATCCCACTTCCCCTCTTCAAGATCATGAAGGAACGCCTCGGGTTTGCCTGTCCAGCCTTCGAGGCGAATTCTGGCACGCTGTGACACATATTCAGGAGAGGGATCGTAACGCTCGATGAACCACGAAGAAGCCTTGTGAAAGTTGAAAACGCGGCGAGTCTGGCACTTCGAGTGAGAACAATGATGGGAATCACATGATGATAGATACATACCACGACCTGCAAATGCTCCTTTTTATACGCCTCATATCTCTTAGTCCATGCCCTCCGTCCACGATCCTCCGTCTGACCCTCCACAACAGGTTCCTTTTCGATCTCGTCCCTGATCTCAGCTTCAACGTCGGGACTTGTGTAACGCATCCAGTCACAATAGTGTTTGAATGAGACAGGGAAGTCTCCAGTGAACGGATCGGTAGGACCAGGTCCACGGCGATCGTACCCGCCGTAAGAACGCGGTGGCGAGTGGCGACCTAGGTCGATCATTGAGATTTGTGTTCACAGGTGTAATTGCAGGAAGATCGTACCATAATCATCGTAGCGAGAGCCTCGGGTCTCATAGCGATCTTCACCACGGCTATATGGTGACATGGAGCGGCGCCGACCACGTCCGCCTGTAGGGTTTGCATGTTGATCAACAAACAGAGCGCATATATTTAGCTGCGAGGTTGACTCACGGTCGTCTGGACTCCTGCTGCGTGCTCTGCCTCGGTATTCATCGTAGTGGCCGCCGCCTCCGTATGCACCTCCACCTCTGTACTCTCTATCCCACTCTCGTGGAGGGTATGGCGCGTAGGGATCACCAGCGGGCGCGGGGTACGCTGGGGTTGGATAATACGAAGTCATCTTACCTCAGAGGACCAAGTCCGAGTGGGTCAATTATGTTCGTGTAAGAAAATGCCAGCGCAGTTTGATGTTCGGGAGACACCTGTAAGAGTAGAGAGAGTAGAGCGGGCGGATTAAGGTGGCGTGAAAAGAGCAGAACGAAAGTAGTGTCAGAGCTGGGCATCATTACGAAGCAAGCGAGTAGAAACGAACTTAGTGAGTAGTGTACAACCACGCTTGCTAGTCCACTGCAGTCGTACTTGTATGCCACCCACTTGTGGTGAGATGCACGCAAGACGGGATGATGGACGGTGGTCGTGACTGAGAGAAGAGAGGAAAGCGCGCGCACGACGAAGCAAGACATCCCAAGCTTCGGCCACATGGCGCACGGACCAATTTGCGTCCAGATTTGTGGGATAGACGCCGTCTAATCAAAACAACTTGATGCAGTTGGACTGAAGCCGCTGTCATTGTAGTAACTATAAGCAGTTTGCTGGATGCTCAATATGTGTCTATTCAGTTATACGGTGTCCCACTCAACGTGTGGTGGTTATCCGTCAAAATGGCGTGGGGCAAAACGCCCTATAAACAAGCTTTGCGGACCCTTTTTTAAACCCACGGAGGTAAATACAAGACCCAGACCCAGAAACTACCGGTCACCTTTGCCGGTTGGGTCTCAACCAGCAGACCCAAGACACAAATCGGCATGTCGGAGAATTGTACAAAATGTCCAAGTCCGAAAATCTAAACTCTTGGGCGCGAACTACTGCTCCATCGCATAGGAAGGATTATACCGCTTCAACATCGAAGAGAGCATCCTTGCTTGATCAAATACACCAAACTACTATTTACCATTCCACCAGCGTCAAATCAGGGCCCTGGACGTGGGAATCGACACAGAGAACACTGATACCTGGTTGCTATCTAAAGCGACCACAGCCTGCAGGACGCCTCGCGACCTGCATGCTTCTCCAGTGACCTTATTTGGTGCTACCTTCTGCCTACCTGACGGATTTACTGCTCGGCTGTCCCTTTATACTGCACTAGCAAGATATCAAGATCAGGGTCGGTGATAAACCGATTTTCCATTGTCTAGACTCTGTCCTGCCAACAAAGCATTCCCGATTGCTCAACCCCGCTCTTGCGGTCCGAGCCGGACTCACTCGCCCATACGGCAACATACGGTCGCCCCTGCCTTCGCCTCGTGTTGCATGTGAAGGTAACGTGCGTGCCTGCTGCGACTTCCCGGAACCGTAAGTACTGCCTTTTCCACGGGCGTTCATATGCGCCGCGCCCTCCAGCTTCACGCTGTGACGCGAGTGTCGTCCCAACAGCTCATTGTCCCTTACGCTACACTTAGCACGTCCATCTCGCTCTATCTCGGCCTCGAGGCTGGATGCCGATTTCTTACCCCGCGTGGCTCTGCTCCCCTATCACGCCCCCACGAAGCGGGGATTTTGTCGCCCCCGCGGTCCAACCCGGCCTATAAGAAGCCAAACACCCTTGCACGCTAGCTCTGCCTGTTGAACTCAAAGACTTTCTTTTGTTTCATATCCCTTTGTGCCGAGTCATCTCATCATGGAGTGAGTCGCTTTCGTACTCGTATTTCACTTTTACTGACCGTGATCATCGTTCAGTACCCCTCCTCAAGCCTCCACGTCTTCCGAACGCCTAGTTCGCCCTGCTGATCCACCAACACCTACTCATACATACGCTTTCGTAAGTAACCCAATCTCAGCTTGGTATCATTGCTGATCGGTCTTAGATGGACGTCGAGATCGGGGGCGAACCCGCAGGACGGATTATCATTCGTCTGTTCTCGAAAGACTTGCCGATCACTTGTCGCAATTTTATGGAGCTCGCTAGAGGCGTGCACGGGTTTGGCTACAAAGGGACAAAGTTTCATCGATGCATACCAAATTTTATGATTCAAGGCGGGGATTTTACGAGTACGTCTGCTTTTTACTCGTTCGGATGACCTCGATGCTAAATTCGATCAGCGGGCGATGGGACTGGTGGACGATCCATATATGGACCACGATTTCGCGACGAGAACTTCAAATACAAACACACGAAGAAAGGGCTGATCGCGATGGCGAATACGGGCCCGAATAGCAATGCATCACAGGTGCGATACATGCCAGCGCCAAGTCATCTGAACCTGGCTGACTACTTCTAGTTCTATATCTGCTGCCAGAAGACGAGTAGGTGTAAAGCATGCGCCACCTTAATATCGCGCTGACGGCCTCATCAGGTCACTTAGACAACCGAAATGTCGTATTTGGAGAAATTGCTGAAGGCATGGACGTGGTGCACAAGGTCGAGAAATGCGGGTCAGCACCAGGGGACGTCAGTCCCGACTGCCTGATCGTGGACTGTGGATCGATCGACTGGACGCCCACGAAGCGTTAGACCGGGGGAGGGGAAGGGGGCTCATGTTCATTCAAAATGTTATAAGCTCTGGTTTGTTCACGGCAGTCACGTTATAGGAATATCAGTACAGTATCGGTTGCGACAATCACGATCAGCTCACATTCGCGTGGTCCGAGAGGATGGTCATGGGATCCCAGCGTCCTTTGCTCGCCTGATGCTAGAGATGATCCTGAATCCCTGATCTTCCACGAAGCTCCCCGGGTGTTATTTGCAACCAGTTTTCCTGTGACGACCGATCAGCCCTATAGCTCATGAGGGCTCGAATCGATTTTACAGGCAGCCCAGCGTCAGATCGGTGGAACAAAAGCCCGATGATTAGCTGCGTGTCCTCTGACAGGTAGTGCCCACCTCCCCTTTGTCGCAACATACATAATCAAATCGGGCCATCAATCGGGTAGGGTCTTCAGATGAGCTTCTATCGGGGAAGGGATGATTGAGGAGACGTACAACGATAGAATACACAAAGTTTGGTAATGAGTCTGCCAGAGGCAAGAAACCCGGAAGACACCCATCCCATCGAAGCATAAACAGACCTGCACCCTGGCGACTCGCCAGATCCGGCGGAGATTATCCTTCTCTGGCCGGTTCGGGAATAAGATGGACGAGCGCAGAGGGAGGGCGTGCGCTGAGCCCGGGGTGCCGCGGTATGTCGTGATGGATTCCTACGGTTTCGCCAGGAGTTTTACACCATCTGTTGCTGGATGTGCTGTGCGAATAGGGCGCTGATTGATAAGATCCTAGAAAGGGGCGTAGCAGGGACATGTTCTGCTATGTAGTGTCGTACGGTTTGTTAGGGGGGGATACTGGGTGCCATTTCAAGCCGGCTATTCCCAAGCACGACGCCGAGAAGGAACAGACACTACCGGACCTCACAAGAACACGCGCTTGTTCAGCAGAGTCGTGCCAGTATAGACCGCAGTCCGAAAGACGAATGCGCTAGCAGGAAGCTTTCAGACCAGCACTCGTTTGATAGCCAGGGGGTCGTGCCACTCTACATAGAGCATGCCAGGAAATCGCCCTTCGATTCGAGCGGAGTTTGACCAGTCGTCCCACTGGACAAAGACGATGATGAGCATGTCACGATTCGATTCGATTTGATTCGAGGGTACATCTCGTGTCCAGCACTAGAGTAGAGCAGCAGGGATCTGACGCCAAGTACACCGCACGGCCTGATCATAGAATCACAGAACTGTCGGGCAGCAAGTGGGGGTTCGCTCCTACTGTAGTCCAGCTCAGCACCCCCAGCATGAAAAGACAAAAAACAAAGACGCACCATCATCGCCTGCCATCTTTCTCGACGACACAGAACCCCCCGATAGAGCGCTGCGCGTGCTTGAGGAGCGTTTCTCCCTCTGCTTGCCCCTCCTCATCCCCCCCTCTCTCCTGCTTTCCCACTTCCACACTCCCATCCCCATCCACTGTCAGTGCCCGCGCCTCCTCCCCAACTGCATACTCGTGCATCCTCACCGTCCTCCCCGCCTGCCAAACCCGGCCATCAACGATCCCCCCTCCCCTTCTCGCCATCAGCACCCTCCGCATCCCTCCCCCCTTGTCCACTTCCCGTTCTCCCTCCTGGCCTTCCCCGCGCCTCGTACGCCCCGGATAAACAAGCTGAAGAAACTCCATATTCTCCTCCGGGTCTCCCTCCTCCTCTGGCCCATCTCCACTCTCAGCGCTCCATACCACCTCCCCCTCCCCGTCTTCCTTCTGCTCCAAAGGCACCCGAACCCCCCTAACACCTTCTACCAAGCGCACAAGCCCACCCACCTCCAGGCGCAGCCTCTCCCTCTCCACCTCAGACTCAGGAAGACAGAGAGCGGCAAGCTTGGCCAGCTTGGTGAGTTTCTCGTCTGATAGCATGGGGGAGGAGGGGGAAGAGGAGGGGGGGAAGAGAGAGCTGAGGGACCAAGTGGGACTTAGGGGGAGTCCGAGATCGTCTGTCTCTATTTGAGGTGCGGGGGGGAGGGGTGCGCTTGGTGGGTTTGCGGGGTTTGCGAGGGTTGAGGGGGTTGAGGATGTTGCTGTGGGTGGTAGGTGGGTGGGGTTTGATCGCAATGCGCGGGGTACACGGGGTGCAGAATCTGGGGGAGACGGCGCTCTCCCTCTTCCCGAGCTCGAAGCTGTCAATGTCGAGGTAGACGCTGTTGCTCGTGCTGTTCGTTTTGTATAATCCGGAGTGCCGAAACCCGCAGACATGAACCTGCCTCCAACTCTCATCCTCGCTCCAGTCCTAGCCCGGACATTCCCTGCCCAGGAAACGTACATCTTCGTTCTGCTGTGCTTCTGGAGGGAGATGAGGATGCCTGGGACGTGCAAGACGTCGAACGAAGGTGCAGAATTGTAGATGTACAGAAGTACAAGACCCTTAGTTCATTCGTTACATTCGGAAAATCTATCTCCGAATACGTTCATAACCATCTCATAATATACACCCCTCTCCTCCCTTCCAACCAACTAAACCTGCACTCCCTGATCCACCCTTCTACCCCTCACCCTCCCTCTCCCCGCCCTCGCCGCCACCCACCCCCTCACCAGCGCCATCAACCTCCCCATTCTCTCTCTACTCATCCCGCTCCTCCCCCAGCCCCAAACCACAAGCGCCGCCAAAACGAATACAAAGCTCGCATCTAGCATCAACCTTCTGAGCACTGCCAGCCCCGGGGAGGAGGGGGAAGCGAGGAGGCAGGCCGTGCTCTGCACCAGCCGGACCAGGGCTGCCACAGGGCGGAAGACGATCCCCCACATGCCCCAGCCTTCCCAGGGTCTTCCCCCTCCCCGGCGGGGTGACGCTGGCTGTCCGTTCCTGCCCCTGTTCCTCGAGTTGGAGTTGTGGGCACTGTTACGCAGGTTGCTGGAGATGTGAGGCTGGGAACCGGATTCTAGGGACTCGAGTCGCTCGTGTAGCGCTGCGAGGGAGGCTTGCATGTTTTCTAGCGCACGTTCGAGGGGTCTTGTTTGCCCCAGCCCTAATCCAGGGGCAGGGGCGGGGAGTGCACCAGGGAGAGAAGAGCCAGGGAATGGGGTGGGAATGGGAATGCCGGAGGAGGAGGTCGTGTACTGTTGGGCGCGTACGTGGGCGTAGGGATGCGGGTAAGGGGGGAAGTCCGGTGCAGGTGCGGATGCCGAAGGTCCATAGCCGGTGGACGTTAAGGAGGAGGTGGTTGGTGGCCCTTGTCCTTGGGGTGCATAGGCGGAAGGGGTAGCCGTTCGAGGGAGAGGTTGTTGGGCCGGTAAGCTGCCAAAGGCAGGTTGTTGTTGTTGGAGCGGAGGGGGAGAGGCACGTTCACTGAGCGGTAAATGGATAGACTGAGTCATAGGCGTTCGATACTTCGACACGCTCGACACAGGCCTCGCTCCCAGTCCTGTCATGTCGCTCTCAACGACGGATCGTGCGCCACCCGCAGCAGCAGCGGTAGCGGAGGAACGGAAAGCGTCTTCTTCTATCGCGGCTGTTATTGCGGACCGGGAGACCTGGCCCCATTGTTCGGTAGAAGTACTGTGCAACAGGTCCTCGGGGCTATAGTACGCTTCCTGTGTTTGGGGATATCCTTGCTCTTGCGCCAGATCGGGCTCCTGCTCTTCTTCCTGCTCTTCTTGCGGCTCTGGGGGAGGAGACAACGCCTCGGAAGTCGAAGCGGAAGAAGACGACCTTGGCTCGTACTCCTCTGCCAAACCACACGCACCAATAAGCTCCCTCCCACCCAAAAGTAACAAGCAGCACACACCGTTCTCAGGCCTATAGGCGTCCAGCTCCCTTGCCAAATCCCTCGCCACGGTACGTCCAGAATACTTCCTCAGCACGCGCAGGAGCGTGTCGACATACAGTTGCTTAGCGGCGTGCGAGTCCATGTTGCGGTGTTTTGCCCATGCGTCCCTGTGCCGCCCGCAAGTCAGTACTTCGACAGAGGGGAAAGGAAGGGAGAGGAGGACCATTTCGCTCGCCCGAGGACGTCCCACATGCCTGGTCTTGTAGAGGGTACGTCTCCGACCGTGGCTTGTTTATACAAACTGAAGATCGCATGACTCTATGAGCGAGTGCCTGTGCTTGTATACTGCGTGGACGCACCTGTACATGGCGAGTTTCTCTTCGTAGCCTGTTTGGATAGGGCCTGTTTTTGATAGCCTGCGGGTGGTCAGTGGACCGTTGGGGAGCAGAGTATGAGATGAGCGTACCCTTGTATAATCTCCACGGCTCTATCGAATTGACTACAAAGTGTTAAATATGACTCTGTATGGTGTATAAAGTGCATACCTATCTAACCAATTGTTGTCCATGATGGTAAGTAACTAAAGTGTACAAAGAGTAAAGTACAGAAGTTAACGTCAGTCTGCTTCCGTTCCTCCGGTTATTCGCCGCATTCACGCACACAAACATCAGTCAATTATTTAATGTCACTCACTCAAGCTAGACAACACTTGTATCCACCATTCTATGCATGCTACGTCCTCCGCTCTCTTTCTCCCAATCCAAAACGAAAGAATTACATTGGCACAACTACACATCCACTTCGCAGGTTGAGGCAACATAATGGCCACATATCGCAAGGTGCACGCAGGACATCGCGTGACAGGCCTTGGTTGATGTCGTTGCTGGTACATAATTTCCCTAGTAAGATACAGGCGCTGCAGTTCGAGTGGGCATTGCAGCATCCATCTCGCAGTCGGCATTTGCAACCCCAGTTCCCTAGGAGGAAACACAACTTGAGTTGGATAGTCCAGTACGCTTGTCTACTTTGCTTTTGGGGAGGAACACGCTCATCGTCACCGGGAAGGGTCGTCAAAACGATGCTTATGAGCAAACCCTTCTCCGTTCTCCCGCTGCATGTGACGCTGCTCGACCCGCAAGCACAGTCCGTATGGACCTCTCTCCCACTCCCTATTCCAGGGGGGTGCGTCGTCCGCTCCCCTCTGCCCCTCGAATCGGACGATATGGGCAAGATGTTCGACACCCTCGACACAGACTTCCGGGATCGAATGCTCTCCAAGTCCCTCCTCCTCCAAAAACACAAGAAACACACATGCAGCATCTGTCATTCCCCCGTCTCCCTCTCTCCGCTAACGAGCGCCATCTGCCCGTCCGGATCGTGCAATTCTATAGCGCACCTGCTCTGCCTCGGACGGGAGTTTGCTCGTTCTGAGGGAGAGGGGCTCCTCCCCCGACAGGGAGTGTGTAATGCTTGTGGGGAAAAGATGTTGTGGGGTGATGTGGTGAGGGGGTGTTATCATCGGCTGCGAGCGGTGTCTGTCCGGGTAGAAGAGGGAAAGGAGGAGGGGGAGGGGGAGGGGGAGGAAGAGGTAGAGGAAGAGGGGTCAGGGACCAGGAAGGGGAAGAAAGCGCGGACTAGCAGGACGAGTACGAGTACGAGGACGTCCACGACCAAGCAGGCCGCTCGAGGCCGGAAAACGAAGGAACGAACACGATCTGAGCCCAAGTCCAAGAGCAAGGGGACGTCCGAGTCCAAATCAGAGTCCAGGTCCGAATCCAAGAGCAAGTCCAAGTCCAAGTCCGAGCCCAATCCCGAGGGAGCAACTGTCTCAACCCTCTCCAAGCGGAAGAAGTCGCCCAAACCCAGCGACGGGGGCGAGCCTAATACTAATCCTACGACCTTGGCTACGGCTATGTCTACGGCTGGAACTGAAGCTATAGCTGGAGTGGAACACCCACATACCCTGCCTGTTCAACCTTTGGAGGAGGTGTGTGCGAAACGGGGAAGGGGCCGACCGAGGAAGGCGCTTGCTCTTGCCTAGAAGACCTCGCGTGGTGCGAGAGAAGGGAAGACTGGGAGGTTGTGACGGGTTGCACATGTGATGAACGCGGAGGGTGTAGGGATGTGCATTTGGGCTGTATGATGCAAGGGGAGTAGCTTGATAGGCCGGACTTGTTTTATATTGTACCGTGGTGGGAAACGTAATTGTACAACGCATTCATGGAATTGGGATTGGGAATCAGGTTAGGAATGTATTATCCGAAGGCTTTGTATCTCCTTTGCCTACAGGGAATTGACTTGTACGCAGCTGCAAGTGTAGTACCTCAACAGTCCACGCTGTACAGTAATGATTATAAAATTGGGATTGAAGCTGGCGTTGGGAATATACCATACTTTGAGGTGTATCATCCCTCCCCGCCCAAGTGAGCATCTGCCCTACCCACATCCTCCGATCAGCATGTCATGCCCCAGCGCTCATCCACACGCCTACAAGCTCACGCCTTCACCCCCTCCACCGTCGCCGTATCCCGCACTCCCACTCCCGCTGCCGCTGCGGCCCCCTCCCCTGACAGCGCCTCGGTAGATTTTGGCAGACCAATAGGTCGCGGAGCTTGGGTTGTCCAGAAGTACTTGAGCCCGCCGCGGATCTCTTCCGGTTTGGGGGAGACGACTTTTCCTGCGTTTGGGTTAGTGTCTGCTTGTGCGTTGGATGAAACAAGGGGGAGTCGCGCTGCAGAAGCAAGGAGAAAGGTGCACGGGGAAAAGCGCAGAGCCTAAGAACGGTGCAGAAGAAATGTCGTCGCACCTTTCCACACTAGCCTACCCCATACCTTCCCCCTCTCACCTCCCATCCTCAGCCTCACCCTGCTCACAACCCAATAACTGTTCCTAATGCCCTTCCCTCTCCACCTAGTCTGCAACAGGCCGTACCCGACGCCGTCTGCCGGAAGACGGGATAGGACTTGGAATAGTGTTTGTCTGTGTGGGCGGGGAGGTGTTGGGATGGAGGTTATTGGGAGTGTGAGTGGGAGTTTAGATGAAGTTGATTCTGCTTGTCGGAGGAGAGAGAGGAACATCTTGTTCAATGCAAGTTAAGCAGTGAAGGGTCAGACGACGGAAATTCAACAAACTGGAAATGCCTCCGTCGAAATATCGCATTTCACTCTTGCAGACGACCATCGAATCTCACTTGTCCTCCTCCTCCTCCTCCTCGTCCTCCCCCTTCACCCCCCTCTCCCCCTCGACCATCTACACCCCCGGCGTGGGTAACTGCTAATCATGGCGTCCATGATGACACCCCTCAAAACCAGCAAGCCCCAAAAAGACCTCTACCACCTCATCTCCCGCACAAAAAACTCGCATTCCCTCCTCACCCGCGCAAACCGGATGAACACCCCCCGATGGGTAAACCCAAAGGACAGGATCAAGTGGTGGAACATCACTCCGGGGGATAGGGTGAAGCTTATTGCTGGGAAAGTAGAGTTTAGGAAGAAGGACAGGCTGGAGGTGCTCGAGGTTGATCGGGAGAAGAACTGGCTATACTTGAAGGACGGGCCGCAGGTGCGTTCTCCCGCTGCCCCTGCTTGGGGGCGTGAACTGGAGCTGCAGTGGGACTGGGACTGGAGCTGATATGCGACAGCACGCTGTCCACGTCCCGAACCCGTTCCATGATCCCGATATGCCGAAATTCGACTTCCGCCCCATGCCGGTGCACTACAGCAACGTACAGCTCTACATCGGGGAATTCGAGTTCCCGCCCAAGAAGGGGGAATCCGAGAGGCGCGTCTTGCCCGTGTATGCTACGCGCGTGGGCCGATCGCCCCCGGTGTGGGATAGCTATCATAGAAGGTATACATGGACAAGATATGCGGCAGCTACGACTCCCCGCTTGCCGGCGAGACATGATGATAACGGGGAGATGATACGGATCGAGATTCCCTGGCCGCAATACGCGTACAAGGAACCCCCAGAACGTGGGTCTTCCTCCATCTGCTCTAGGCCTATCCTGATACTGAGAGTTCACAGCCGGACTGCAGGACACCCTCCGCGACGAAGTGCTCAGAGTGACCTGGGTTCCGCCCGCACCTACCGTCAACCCAGGAACATTAGGTCTCGGCCAGCCTAAGCCGGAAGACTTCTACCTCGAGACCGCAGGCACCGCACGCTCAGACCCTTCCCAGCCTATGGAGCACTTCCTCACGCGCGAGCTAACGGGAGGCTACTTTTCCCGCGCCTCGCGCACAAAACGCTGGCAGCAACGGGATGCGTACATGGCCAAGCGGTTCGAGCGCTGGGTGAAGCGGGAGACGAGGGAGAGCGAGCAGTACGCGGATGGACGGACGATGAAGGAGATCCGGCTTGAGGCTAAGTGGAAGTTTGAAAGAGCAGAGGAAGAGCGCTTGAAGAGGAAACGAGCGTTGAGTGCTATGAAGAGTCCTAAAGGGCAGAAGATCGCCCGGAAGACCAGGAGGACGTTTATCAAGAAGGCGAAGAAGCCAGCTAAGCTCAATAGGATCGTGCTCAAGCCTGCGAAGAACCAGTATATCCCCCCGGGAGCGAACGTCGTAGACGAGGTTCCGTACGCCAAGCAGCAGAGCGAGAGGGTGATGCTACGCAAGGACAGGGTGCGGCTACGCAAGGGGGAGAAGTACAAGCTGAGGAGAGGGAAGAAGCTCAATCTCTGAGCGTGCATTGGGATATAGTGATACGTAATGATACAGTTTGGTTGGGTAAATCAATCAATCTCATCCTTCCTACGGGGCTTAGCTGCCCCGGAAAGGATCACACCCGCATACCATGGCCCACACTCCAAAGCTCAGAATTGATCCGGTCAGCAAGCCTCCCATGAGACAGAAGCTCGCTACAGTAGCAGCGGTGTCGATCTCCTCCCGCAACAGCGTCTTGTTGTGGTCCGTGCTTGGTGCGGCCATCATGATGTTCGAACTGACCTGTCCGTTCGTTATTCCAAACAGGAGCAGAATGAGCATGTAGATGAAATCGGAGTGGATGACCGGCCCTCGCCCGCTCAGACCTTCTACGTTGCACATCAGGAAGAGGGGGATGAAGATCGTGCGTGCGAGAGATAGGAACAGGAGGTTGCGAGGTCTCCAGGCTAGGAAGATGGGATAGGCGCAGAGGTGCCGACCGATCCAGTCGCCGATGTTGAACATGAGGAAATGGAGGGCGGTGAAGATGAGCGGGTTGAATAGCACTGAGGTGGACGGATCGTGCACAGACTTGATAGATGTGGTGATTGAGGGATAGACGGCCTGGAGGTTGTTAGTTGATGTGTAAGAGGATTACGCGGAACTTACTAGAGTAACGACGAACACATAGGCAACCGCGAAATTGTAAGTCAGATTCTTGCGTGCAACCTTCCACAGCGTCGAGGCATCTCTCTTCTGGCCGAGGGTGACCGAAGTCTCTTCACTCTCTCCATAAACCCCGTCTTCGACTTGTAGGGCGGGTGTGCTATTCCCCTTGGACGGAGTTGTCCACGGCTCTATCGCCCTCCCGTACACTCTCAGGCTCGTCAACCAGCTGTGAGCAAACATGCAGCCGAAGAGGAACACCACTTCCACGCCAAAGAACCCGAAGGCGCTGCGGGACTCGCCGCCTGACGAGGTGGCACTCCGGCCGATGCTCAACCAGGCGCTGATGAGCTGCACAAGGGAGACGAGGACGCCGATGGCAGCTTGACCGGACATGACGGATTGCATAGCCATGGGACCGAAGATGGAAGCGAGGGCCACTGGTCTCCGTTAGCTAGAGACCGTTAGGAACACCAGTGTGCGTACCAAGAGAATTGGATGTGTACGACCCCGCAGAAGCCAGCAACATGCCGATGATGATTGTGAATGCAAAGTACGCGCCAGCCGATGTCGGAACAAGAGTAGACAGCGTCAGAAGCATGAACATGATGATAATCGCGCCCATAGAAAGTCGTATTCGTAATGCGGATTCGGACTGAACCAACTTTAGCAAACAGATAACGTAAAGTTGATAGAGACGTACCACATCCGACGTATATGTGGCATATCCAAGAACAATAAAGTTCGCGGCGGTGAAGGATGTCGCCAACCATGAAGCAAACGAGCTTTGTAATGCCGATCCCTCTAATCGCGATAAGAAATATGGCATTGCGGTAATCATCGCTATGGTTCGTTACGTGAGCAACCAGATTAACAACGGTCGACTATATGCGCACCATTCCAAGGTAATAACACTGCTGCACCCAAGCTGAAGTGCACCCATCTGACTCCTCTACCTAACGGAGGTACCCCTGTAATCTCCTGTTCTAATCCGGCAGAAGTTCGAGGCTCTGTGGGATCCTCTGGTATAGGCGCATATCCCCCACCGGGTGCGATGCTCAACCGACGTCTCTTGCTATGGGACGGCTTGCCAGTGATGAGTGAGAATAGGTATGACATGGTGGTTGTGGTTGAAGGAAGTGGAGGAGGAGCTAGGGGACGTAACTGATCGGTCGTCCGACCATGATGACACCCCTCTAGTTGACCCGCCAGCGTAACCAATTCCGCATGGGGTCATCAGGGTCGCAAATATATGCGGCAGGGTTCGGAATATGAGCGCCCATAAGCTGTCCCTGTCCACAGGATTACCCTTCATGGCAATAGGAGAACCAGATACAGGAGGTTCGTAAAGTGGGCGGAACATGTTCAATGAATCGATATGGTTCTATTCGCTTTCTACTCGCACAATATTGGCTTATTACTTTCCTTCTGCAAACATTCCTCATTTTGCAGGAGCTAGGTTCACAGGCGGTGGCAGGACCGGATCTCCGAGCGCGGTCACATAGCAGCTGGACAGACCTCCATCGACTTTGAAGTCAGTGCCAGTAATGTAACTTGAGTCATCGCTGGCAACTGTGTAAAATAAATTCTTGAGTGCCTCTACGGACATTGCCGAAAACACCACTTACGGAAAAGAGCAGCGCGGGCCTGCTCAATGGCCTCTCCGAACCGACCCATTGGCAGATGCACCAGACGACGATCACGCTTTTCTTGTGTGTTCAGAAAATCCATGAGGAGCGCTGCATCGCTTCTTAGATATGTCCCTTCAACGACAGCATGCACTCACGAGTCTTGAGAGGACCAGGACAGAGGGAGTTCAGACGGATCCCTTCCCTCGCATGCACCATCGCCAGTTCCCTGGTCATTGCAAGAACAGCACCCTTCGACGCCGTGTCTGAACACTCATATTGATCATATGCAAGGGGGGATGAAAACAGAAACGTACAAGCCAGCTGAGGGGTAGCTGCACCCATGATTGCGACGAAGCTGGCGGTGTTGATGATGCTTCCACCAGTCTGGAGTCCAGCGGCAAGATCCGGCTTGTTCAACCGCATAGCAGCGATAGCGTGCTTGCAACCGAACCAGACACCCTTGAGATTGATGTTCATCGTCAAGTCCCAGATGCGTTCTTCCGTATTCAGCGCATTGTCATCATCTGGGTGCATGACCCCAGCGTTGTTGAACTAATGACAGAATGTCCTTAGGAGCGATCAGTGGAAAGGCCGGTGACGTACCATGATATCCAACCTCCCAAACTCGGTCACCGCGGTCTTGATGAGCTCCTCGACTTCCCGCTCCTTGCTCACATCGCACTTCACAGCCAAGGCTCCAACAGCTGGGCTCCTCTGTTTAACCAATTCAACAGCAGCTTGCACTGCCGGCAGGTTAATGTCGGCCAGTACAACATGTGCTCCCTCGGACGAGAAGAGAAGTGCTGACTCGAGACCGATGCCCCTAGCGCTAGGTCAGACATCATGTGCATCGTGATCTGACGGAGTAAGACGTACGACCCAGCTCCGGTGATGATCGCAACCTTATTCTGAAGTCTCCCAGGCATGATTTGAGTTATTTCGGCCTAAGGATGGTGTGTCGGTTGACCACGACGTAGACACGCAAGATAAGGGTCACACTTCGGTTCCCCCACGTGGATATCACGCTTCTCATGTCTTCACGCGTCGCGTCCACTCCTTGACGCGTCTCTCTCCAGAGCAGCTACATGAGCTCCCACAAGCGCCAGGCCTCTGCTGCTCATCCCTCTGAACCACCAACCAAAATGTCCGCTTCTAACGGAACTGCTGAAAAGGTAGAAGCCATTAAGCCGGAAGGATCAGTCCCTGCACCAACCTCACAGCTCCTCATCAAGAAGCACAGCGACAAGGCGCGTCTCCCAACCCGGGGAAGCGCACTAGCAGCAGGGTATGACCTCTACAGGTACGTATATGCGGGTTGTAATATGATCGTTTTGGAGCTCATGCAGTTTACTTGTAGTGCTGAAAAGAAAACGATCCCGGCGCATGGAAAGGCGCTCATCGACACCCAGATCTCCATCGCCGTCCCAGTCGGGACTTACGGGCGCGTCGCACCTAGGAGTGGGCTTGGTAAATACTCATACATCTTTTTGATATTCGTACCCGGTGTTAACGGTATATTTCAGCTTCGAAGTTCATGATTGATACGGGAGCTGGGGTTATCGATGCCGACTATCGCGGAATTGTCTTCGTCCTTCTTTTCAACCTGAGTGACAAGGACTTTGAGGGTAAGTACCCCACCCCTGTGTTCTATTCTACGTGTTGATGCGATTATTCCCCGGGTGTACAGTCCAGGAAGGCGATCGCGTTGCGCAGCTTATCATCGAAAAGATCGAGACACCGGCAGTTATGGAGGTGGCGGTACGTTCTGGAATTGGCTAGCTTATCCAGGAGCTCATCACTAGCATACAGGACCTCGAGGAGACCCTTCGCGGCACCGGTGGTTTTGGCTCTACTGGCGGGCATACTGCGTTGTAAGGCATAGGGAGCGGGGTGCCTTTCCTAGGCCCCAATATGTCCATGTAATGATAATTCCCGCTCGCTCAAGACCGAGATTCTCCAACGAATAACTTGATGTCACCTTGCGTGCGCGCATCATCCAAGAGAAGGACCGTCACGAAGTTAGCATACCTGCCTCACTATTGAAGAGCCGTGACTGCCTATGCTGCGAGCACGCGGTGAGGCGTCAATTGTTCCAATATCCCGATGCCAGCAGCAGCTGGTCAACAATCAGCAACGCCATTGACATCATGCCGATGTTAGCAAATTACATTGACGACATGGACTGTTCTCGCGTTGGATAATCAGTACAGCAACGGTGCGCTCCAGTCCCGGTGTTGTACCTCCCTTTTTAGCTTTGACCAAGGCTGTGGCTACCGAAACTTTGATACCGCGGGAGAACCGTATTTGGAGCCTGCCCTGAAGGGAAGCAGCCGCGTCTTCTGTCCTTCTGCATCGCCAGCGACTGGACTTGCCTACCTCTGCACCGGTCCCTACTCCGACTTAACTGGGATATTCAATTGCTAGGGTTGACTTTCGGTGCCGAACTTCGTTTATCGTGTTCCCGATGTCGTCGGCGCCTCGTACCAATCGCTACATGCCTAATCCGCTGGCGCATATCGAATGGCACCATACCCGACCCTATATCTTCGAGCGTTGGGCGAACCTGATGGAAATTTGGTGGTCACCGTGCCTGTGCGTCGGCCAGCATTCTACCATGCGCGCACGCACGCCTGTGCCTGGCTTGCTCTGGTTGGCTGGGACGAGAGTGGAATGGGGCGCAAGGATTGCTCCTTTGAGGAGTGTCCGCTTCTTGCCTATCCTGAAACGATAGTGCGTCAACAACAGGCCTGGATCTCGATTGAATCCGCTAAAACGGAGCGTTTGAACTCCCGTCTGCCAGCGCAGCATCAGGCGCTCTACGATACTCGGTCACAATTATATTTCTGCTTGATGTTCTATTGAGACTCCCGCGCGCTGCTTTACAATCGCTTGGGGCTTTGGCAGAGGACAACCATGAAAAATGCAACAGACGCATCCAGGAATGGGCAACGGTCACATTCTTGGAGCGATGGATGTTAGAAGGACACTAACCCGTGCGCAGCCGAACAGGGCGCGAACGTGGTGGAACACAAGATTCCGGAAGGCCGTCCCGCCCGCCGGACAATGCATCGGTGCATCAGCGCTGACTCGCTGCTCATCGTCCGCCGTCTAGATGCCTCGCGGCGCCAAACCGGCACTGCCATGCGATAGTATACCTTGAGTTTTCGGGGTACCTGATGTGTGTGTTTGTATTTTAACCTCTCCCTCTCCTCTGTATTGAAAGGCTCTTTGATCGCCCATCGCCCTCTCAGGAGTGCACTTTCCTTGGCGATAATATTGTACATTCCTCCTCACTTCTAATCGCGATGAAGCTGCCTGCCCTCGCCGTTTTCTTTTTCTTGTTCGCTGGGGTCTTTGGCGCCGCTGCTCTCCCACGCTGGTCACCCAGTTTTCCGCGTGATGAGGCCGTTAAGCCTCGCTGGTCTCCTCTCCCTCGCGACGCGACGCCTCTTAAGAATCGTGGACTCTGGCCGTCCCATCGCTCATTGGAACGAGCTCTCGATCTCAGCAAGGTGAATGTTTCCAGATTCACTGGCTGAGTTACTGTAGCTTACGCCGAATTTTAGCGCGATCTGATCCTGGCTGATAGCCGTTGCCCCATGCAGCACACCGCTTGTGGGGTGGTTAGCGCTTGGACTAGGCAGGGTTGGGAGTGCATTGACACCCAGATGGATCTCGAGAGCTGTGCGTGATGCAGTCTTTTGCCAAAGCGCCTCTGATAAAATGTCCTAGGTGGAGGATGCGTGACGCCTCTCATGGGAGAGATCGCAACTGGCATCGACTGCACCAGCCTAGAAGGGGTCGAAGACGTTGCCTGTGTCAGCGGGTTCTGCACAGTGTATTCTTGCCGCGATGGCTTCACTGTGGCCGCGGACGGCCAGACTTGTGTGGTCACTGCCAAAAAGCCGGGTCTGCACCAGGCCGCGTCGATCCGCTTCTGATGGGTGTGCATTGCATTAGGTGAGGAGGAAGCTTCAGGAATTTGGCAGAGGGAGAAATTGGGGAGGACTGGACGGACGGACGGACCCTCACGAACTTCTTAATTTGTAGACTCGATTCGACCTTCTTATTATTGTACCCTGTGAACCCGTTTCCTTTCTCGACCTGTTGCAGACTGTGATGAATAGCTAGCAATCTCCGGTCATGATGTCCTCGGAATGATAAGATGTGTATGAACAACCAAATAGATGGTACAATTGGTGCGGGTATACAATGCCTTGTAGGAAACAACGTGTTGTACAGCGTGAACATCCGCTAGTGGAACATGCGCAAAAATGCGTAGCTGATATTGGCAACTAACCCCAGGATGATTGCTACCTGCATGCGGCGACTGAGTAACACGTCAGTGTGGCGCATTATCCCCTCGGATTAACGTTACTGACGAAAATATCACAGTTGGCACGAGGTCGGGGAATGGCGTGTCAGGGTTAAGCTCCCTTTCTGTGAACATCGTCGGTGGCGGCGGTTGACGCATGAAATAGAATGGCATGAGGGGAAAGAAGAAACCGGTGAGGAGGCCTTGCAGTGTCGTCATATACACTCCTTCTCCTTCTGCACCGTCTGAAAAAGGATCTGCAGCAGCCACTTGGTTATCGATGTCGTCTATCCACTGCTCTTCCAACGCTCGGGCATGCTCTTCCGCTATTCTCTGGTTAGTTTAATACTTTTTCGTGATAGAAATACACACCATCATCCCCTTCACGATCTTCCGACTCGAGGGTTTCCCCTCGACTGGCATAGAACTGTCGTCGCATCACTTCAATATCCTCGGGTGTAAACCCGGCATTCGCTAGTCGATCAAAACCTCGTAATGGTGCTATCTGTGCAGTCTGCTCGCAATTTAAGCACAATTGGGAGCACACAAAGAGCATTTAGACGTACCTGTGCTCGCTCCTCTTCTCCATCCACTTCCATTTCGGCACCAATGCTGCAGTGCAACCAAGTGATTTCCTCGTCCTTCGCATCCTTAGACTTCTGTCTGCCCTTTCCTTTCAAGTCCGTACTTGCGGCACCGTCCACCAAAACCTCACGTAGCTCGGTGGCAAAGGCTTGTGGTGCTGCTCGACGTTGTCGTTCCTCGAGCGTTGCGAGCCAGTCGTAGAAGATGATGCCATCGGTAAGCAAGCGACCGAGATAGATCAGTCGTAATCTTCTATTCTTGAGTTGTGGTCTATATTCACGTATCTACCGTGTATATTGAGGACGATGCATCTGTTGGGGATGACTTCGTGCGTACCTGCTTTTTGATGTCACGAATGGCGTCGTGTTCCTGGATGCGTAGTGTTAAGTCGGGAACACCCTCAGTGAATCGGATTGTTATAGGCCGATTCCGAGGCGCTTGATTTTGTAATTCCTCTAATGGGGCACGCTGCTTGCCTCGCGCCTTCTCGCTCATAGGTATAGAAGCCATGTATTGAGCAAGAGCGGCGACAGTCACAGCACAAGATAGGAAGAAGAGGAGATCTAAGTAGGGGTAGTGGCTGTTCGCTGCGGTCCTGGAACGAAGAACCCCGCTTGCCTCTTGGCGACCTTCATAATACCCGTACCTAGTGACTGTCCACATTTCACACCAAGATGCACAGACTAGGCGGCGCTGGGATTGGTGGCCTGCAGCGACAAACCCAAGCTACGCAAGCGTACAAGCCCCTATCCAGCGCAATCTCTCGCTCGCAGATCGACAGTCTCCAACAGCAGCTCGCGACCTTCCGTGAAGCGCTGACACGATTTGCGAGGGAACATCGGAATGATATCCGCCGTAACCCAGAGTTCAGACAACAATTTCAGCAGATGTGTGCTGCGATTGGTGTCGATCCACTTGCTGGACCGCGGAAGGGTGGTTGGTGGGCAGAGCTCATTGGCTATGGGGACTGGACCTATGAGCTCGCCATTCAGATTGTCGAAATATGTGTCAATACACGGGACATCAACGGCGGTCTGATCGAGATGGATGAAGTGCTCAGAATGGTACGAAGGCTGCGGGCATTGGGTGAAGACGATGGGTCTGAAGCCATCAGCGAAGAAGATATCGTGCGAAGTGTGCATACCCTCAGCGTACTCGGGGCCGGTTATCAGATTGTCACCGTCGGACATCGCAAGATGCTTCGAATTGTTCCTCAAGAGCTCGACACTGATCAGGCTGCTGTACTCGAGGTGGCTCAAGAAGCTGGAGGTCAGGTGAACGAAGGCCTCTTGGTGTTGAGGAAGAAGTGGACGGTAGAACGAGCAAGAACCGCACTAGAGAACATGCTCATGCGCGACGGACTGTGCTGGATCGACGACCAAGCAGAAGAAGGAATTGTATATTGGGTACCCAGTGTGATGATATGGGCTGAAGAATAGAGGAGATGTTCAAGTTTAGTCGCTTTTGGTCTTCTATCGTGTTCTGGTTTGGTATGCGCACTGGTCGTCGAACCTAACTGTCAACTGACTGTTTCGTAGGTGCATACACTACTATTTATTTCTGCTACACTATACCAAGGCAGGGATACCAAGATCCGATCATATCCAAGTCCGATACCAAAGGAACATCCGACGGACATCGATAACTGTATAGACACCGTATCATTGTATCACCCTGCCAGCCACTGGTACACCAAGTGTTACACGCATACACTACCCCGAGAAACATGCCACCGGGGCTATATCGTTCGGTTGAACGTTATGCATTGCAAGGCTCGGTGGTAATCTACTGGACGCTCAACGCCACTTGATGGGCCATTAGTTGAACATACAGGAAGGAAACATGCAAGTGGAGTACAAATAGAATGCCAGAGAAAGAAATGAATCAGAGTCTAAACAGGAAACCAAGGTCCTCAGGGGTCAAGCGACCCATAGCAGACTCGTCCCTCTGAAGGGTAGCGTCGACCATAGCAGACTTCTTTTCCTGCAACTGAACGATACGGCTCTCGATGCTGTCCTCAATGACGAGTTTGATTGCTTGAACGGGACGATGTTGTCCGAGACGATGGATGCGATCCATAGCTTGATATTCAACAGCAGGGTTCCACCAGCTATCCATCAAGTACACGCGGGATGCCTGAAATGCCATGAGCTTGAATGAGACTGATGACTATTAATGCGGGTTTACCTCTGTCAAATTGAGAGCGACTCCACCAGCCTTAAGGGACACAAGGAAGACGGTCACATTGACGTTATTCACTATTGGATGTCAGCGGCGACTCATGAACATGGAACAATAAAAGACACACTGAAGTGCTTGATCGTAGCATCTCTTGCTTGCGGACTCATTGTCCCTTCCAGGCGACACACCGTGAAACCAGCACGCTGGAGGCGGAAATTGATAAGATCAAGGAAGTTGACAAACTGGCTAAAGACGATGCTTTTGGTAGTTGCATCTTGTTTGCGGAGGTTGCTGAGTTCTTCAACGAGAGCCTCGATCTTGGATGAAGAGCGCCATTCATCCACATTGAGTCGTCCAAGGATACCCTGTCTAGCCTTGGAGTTAATTTCGGCCTGGTCTTCCAGAGCCGGAGCTTCCAAATCGATAGACAGCGGCAAGTGACAGACCGGACAATGCGGCTGATGCTCCACCGAGGTGTTGAGGTACTGCTTGATACACTCACGATCAAAGATATGGTTGCAGCGAGATTTGATGGCGTCCTCTGCGATGTCGTTGCAGAGACGACACACAGTTGCTTCAACAATGTCACTGGACAAGGCCTTGTTAGTCTTGCTCTTGAGGACAAGATCAGGCTGAGGAGACCATCGTCAGACGGACTGCGAGGTTTGAAACCCAAATTACATACATGGCAGGCCATCTGTCTCATCCGAGTAATCAGACTGAAAATATTGCTGTAGTCTTGAGGGTTTATTAATATCAGTTCGGAGGAAAATAAGGATATTTGCTCACTATTCAATAGGGTACCCTGATCAACGTACGTCGAGAACTGCCTCTTGGCATCGGTGAACAGCGACTGGTAGAGCTCCTTCTCCTCAGGTGAAAAGTAGTCCCGGCGAACAGTCACGGTACGGGGCGGTAGACCCAGGTCGTCTGCTCGTTCCAGCTTGGTTCTGCGAAGCATCATGCGATCCAGGAGAATTTTGAGCTTTTTGAATGCTACCCTGCCCACGCCAACCATTCCGTACTTCTGAATGGGGGAGAGAATCTCGTTGTTCCAGAAACAGGTATGATTCATCGGACTATGACCACATTGGTCACAGGTACGCCGATCTGTGAATTGCCAATGGAGAGACTTGCAATCGCAGCGCATGCAGAAGTAGTGCGAAAAAGGCTCTCCACCGAGGAAGCTGTAGCATCTTCAGTGAAGGATCCTAACAAAGCGCAAGAAAACGTACCGAACCAAGCTGTACAATTCTCCGACCCGGTTCTGCAAGGGGGTGCCTGACAAGCACCATTTATAGTCGCTGTTCAATTCGAAGGCACCCTTCGCTGTGTTCGTGGCGCGCTCTTTGATGTTGTGAGCTTCATCGAGCTGTGGATCCAGTATGAGAGAGCCCAACAATCTAACTGTGCAAAACACGTACAATGACCCTCTTCCAATGGATCTGGTGCAATGCACTGGGTTCTCTCAATATTTTTCCCTGCCGCTTGAACCCGGTCTGCTGTTTGCGATAGCAAGACTCAAGTACGGCATAAGTCGTCAATACAACGTCATACTTCTGTAGCTCCTTGACGTCGTTTGATCGAGACGACCCATGCCAGATGCAAACCTTGAAGTCCTCCGTGTTGGCTTCGATCTCGTTGCGCCATTGCATGATTGCGACAGTGGGTGCGACCACAAGATTTGGCTTCCTGCGATCGTGCACGAGCAGAGCAATCGTCTGGATAGTCTTGCCCATCCCCATCTCGTCGGCTAGCATGCCACCCTTCCAAACACTTTCTTCCTGTTTGCGCATCCAGTACAGACTCTCCTGTTGGAAGGGCAGGAGAGTAACCTTGAGCGACTTGGGCTGAGGCGCGCGCTCGGGAACTATGATCGGAATGGAAGACGCGAGGTCGCCCCAGCAATCGCGGAGTTCAGGGTGGTGAAGCTTGAGGGAGATCGAGTTCCGCTCGGCCTGAGTAAGCCGCCTGCGACCAGATCGTCTCTTCAGGATATTCTCTTCCCGACGGCGGAGATAGCGATCTTCCGGCAATTCGCGTCTGGCAACACCTTCCAGTTTCATATACCCCCAATCTACGGCACGGGCAATGCCATTGCTCTCGACTTTGATCGGGTCGTCCTGGAGTTCCTGGTCCCGCACCTCCACTTCACTATCGTCGCCATCATCCCCACTCTCATCCTGCCCAAACTCCATCTGGATGCGGCGATCGAATGCACGGTTGGCGATACGCTCGTCTTGATTTGGTTTGTTGAGGGACTTGACACTCTTCTGTACAGCCTTTGCCAAAGCAACTTCTTCTTCTTCGCTGTCCTCCGCGAAGTCACCCCCAGCGAATTCACTCTCATCGGAAGAAGGGGTTTCCGAGAGCTCGCTCTCGCCAAACACGTCGATTGCTTTCCCCTTTCCCTTTGACTTCTTTTCCGATCGAGGTTCCGGCTTCCACTCGTCTTCCGAGTCATCGTCAGATGACTCGGCCGGAGTAGCCGGGGCAGATTCCTTCGTCATGTCATCGTCGTCGGATATAGTGGTGGCCTTTGCTTTGGATTTCTTGGCTCTAGCTGGGGCTTTTCCTTTGCCCTTGTTGGCGCTCTTTGGTGGCTCATAATCCTCTTCCTCAAAGGGCTTAACACGGATAAGAATACGATACATCAGCTAGCACGCATATACGCACATATTTCTTAACTGGGATCTCCACGATCACTTCTGTCTTGATACGCTTGCTTCTCCTTGTACTAGTGCTACGTGTCATCTCGTCCTTTCCTTGCATCTCGTCAATATCGATGACATCTTCTTCCAGGTCAACGCTGTCCAGGTCGGCTGCCTTGCGTTTTTGACGCGACATGCTTTTCAGGTTGATTGCATTCAGGTCAAGGGATGCGCCTTTCTTGCTAGAGCCTTTGATACTTCCTGAAGGTGTGATAGAAGCAGTCGTCGCCGGGGTAGCAACGAGAGTAGCAGTTGACGCGCGAGTAGAAGCCGAGCGGGCGGGTGTGACGGAGTCGACGTCCATGTGAGCTCCTGTAGAGCGACGAGTAGCGACCATTGTGCTAGAGTATCTCTGTGTGGTGGAAGGAAGGAGAGAAGGGGGGATGATGGACCAAGTCGCGCTCACCGGGTGTTGGTCTTGAAGAGGTGGGAGTGGACCATGATAGCGGGACGCGTCAAAGGGATCAAAATCTCTTAAATTGCGATCTTAGTGACGTGACTGTTCCTTGAACCCTAAATTATCGGACCATTTCACCAGTTATGGGCATTCGATTAGTCTATATTAGTTCAAGAACAGTCAGAGGTTTAATGACACTGCTAATAAGTTGACTTGGGCCAATTTTGTTTGCATTAATCCATTCAAGTTGTTGCAATGTAACCGTTAGGCGGTACTTCGGTTAAAAGTTTTGCTGCCTGCCTCCGCTACATTACTCCCACGCGCATACCAGGCACTCAATACATACAGCTAACCAATGGAATTAGGATGCAGTAACGAGCGCGTTGTCCTTTCAACTTCGACATTAAGTATACAGCAGAGCAGGGCATGATTGGAAGGTTGCGTGATGCGGCAGAACACAGGGCAATTGCTTTGATGAAAAACAAAAGAAGGAATGCGTGCGACACCATGTTGACGAGAGACGATGTATAGTGTTGAATAGAGACCCGAGATGTGAATGTGATAGAGAAGCCTTGAGGAAAATAGTCGGAGGGGAGCAGGCTGGCAATGCACTGCTACGCGTCGACGTGAAGGAAATCACAATCTTCCCCGTACCTGCACCTAGATTCCAAAACAGTCCACATCAGTCCACACTATTCTCACGCGCATTAATTCGACTACTACTTGCCTTCCCTGTTGGTAGAACTGACAAGGGATCTGCTTGTGCTTCCCACCCACTCTTCCACCCCCACCTCTTCCACCCTTTCCTTTTCCACCCCGTACACGACTCGCCCAACTCTGATCAGACGGACCTCTATTAAAACCATTAAGATCTCCCTGACTCCAATTATTCCCGTCATCAGACCATCCAGCGTTTGTGCCTTGGGGACCTCCCGGAGCCCAAGCACGGTCGCCATTGTATGCCGGTTGATTGCTCACACCGCCTGGTTGGCCTGCCTGTGGAACATGCGCAAGGATACTCGCTATCTGACTAGGATCAATTCCCAGCTGTGCCAGAGTGCTAGATGGTGGTGCTTGGGACGTAGTGGGCTGGAATGCTGGAACTGCTTCACGGCTGAGCTTCTTCAACAACTCTGCAACATTAGGCACAGGTTCCTTCGGCGTGCTCTCCGCATCAGGATCTCCGGCAGGTGTGATAGCCTCCATGCCGTTGGGCAACTTCAGCCGTGGTATATTTGTATCGTCTGGCACACCAGGGGGTATATTTCCTGGCTCTGCAGGGCTCTTAGGCACCATTTCGAGAGTATCATATGAAACCTCGTCAACACCATGCTCGCGTGCGTCCTGGGTTGCCTTCTCCTGGCTGGAACCGCCTCTGTCAAAGCAGATATCCGGTGGCTCAGACGGAAACTCAAGTTCTGTACAATTGTCAGCAACAAAATCGATGCGGCATCTAGAATACCTTACCACATGGTTCATACCAGTCAATCTCTTCATCAAAGATCGCTTGCGCCAACGCAAGACCTTCAGCTCTATCCAAGTCTCTCGCGCTATTGTGATGCTCTCCAAGATGTTCGTCGTCGTCGTACACGGCTGGTTCAATGATCTTAACTTTGAGTAATGCTTCTCCCGCGGCGAATGACACGCTCTTTTTCTTCTTGAGCGGGTTCGAGGGTTCGGGTGGTGCAGCAGACCCGTCTCTCTCAGTATCCAAGGTGCCGTCCAAGGGCGAGGGTGGTGTACTCTTCTCGCCAATCCCATTTTTCTTGTTCAGCGACTTGAGAGCTTCTTGGAAAGCATCTGCAGTGTTCACCGGAACTTTCGGCTTTTCTGCGGTTGGGCCATCCTGTTTCACGCTGGCTGCAGGTCCTATGACAGAGGTCTTTCGGAAGCTGGGTAACTTGGCCTTTGGCTTCGAAGTACTGAAGAATCCAGAGTCTACTGTTGCAGCCTTGACCGTTGCTGTTCCCGCAGCAGTTAGCTTTCCTAGAGGCTTGGCTGCAACCTTCACGGGAGGGGTTAAAGACTTCTTCACGGGAGCCGCGGCGCTTGTTCTCGATGTGCTCGCAACCGGCTGTTCGACCTTGCGCTTCTTCCGCGCATCTATAACGGAGAGAACGTATAAGCAACGTGAACATTTCCGTTTTGGGAGGGACGTACCCTCGACAGAAATCGCGGAGCGCTTCTTAGCGCCGTCGCCCACCGGTGTGGACTCTTTGTCAGGCGTCTTGTTCGGGACGGCCAGAAGTTTCGTCACTTCGTCTTTCCAGCGCGTTTCCAATTTCTGAGCAACATCCTTGATGGCTGCAAAACACAAGGGGGCACACATTAGCTACTACTCCTTGCAAAAGCCAGAAAACACTATCTAGCATAAAAACAGTTCGTTTGCACGCTGCATCACATTGGCCCAGCGCCTGAGCACAATTTCCGGACTCGCGCGATCTCCAGGAAGCATAAAAGAGTAAGAGGACCGAACAATACTTACCAGTTGTTGGAGACGCTTTAACGGCGCGCCTGATAGACTGTCCGATCTTGGTCGACCGTAGAATGTCAATCGGAATTGGCAGTCGTTCGATAACCTGGAGTATATAAATATTTTGGAGATGCTGGCAAGGGCAGTCTGAGCGCACCTGTAGCAACGGCATCATGACCTCTGCCCGCGGCTTCTCCTCTCCTACGGCGTCGTCCAACCAACCCTTCAGCATCTCCACTGCCAAGCTCTCCTTCGCCCACACCTTCCAGAACCTCTCCGGTGCGTGCTCCCTCAGCGCGCGCAACACCTTCAATCGGGTGTCGAGGTCCGGCGGCTCTGTCTTTTTCCCCGTTAACTGGGTCAGCAGGGCGTGTGCTATTTGACTGGGCTGCTGATCCAGTTTCTCGGGAGAGAGCAATGGATCGAGCCCGGATGGGCCGTTGTGGGCAGGGGAGAAGCTGCTCGTGCTCGGTTTTGTCGGCTGCCGGGGTCGGAAAGGAACTCCTGTTGTAATAGGAGGAGAGGCAATTGTCGCCGACCCCTGGGGATGTCCAGGTGTTTGAGGAGAGAGAGCATCCGGCAGTTGGATGGTTCGAGGAGTGGCTAGTTGCGGGCGAGGGTGCAACATCTCTGGCGAGATGGTATGTTGTCCGGCCTGAGGTGGCTGCTGCTGCGGTAGTGGAGACACGAAGGAAGGATTAGGTGTCGTGGATAGGCTTAGATTAGAGCTGCTTCACACATGAGCATTTACTGCATGTTTGTATGTACACGTGAACGTACTCGAGTATCATGTCATCGCCAGTCACCGGGTCGTCTAGAGCAAAAGTCCCCCAGCTTTGATCAGTTCCATTTCCAATAGCAAATGGATACGCATATCCCGATGGCAGCTGGCCATAGTGAGCAGCCTGTCCCTCCGGCAGTTGATAGTGTTGCTGCGCCTGGATGTGGGAGGTGCTCGCTTGTGGCTGCGGGTGCGGAGGTGAGGTATATGCTGGGTGCAGGATGTTCATGTACGAGTCCTTCGTGGCGGTTGAGGAGAGACTTGCCATATATTGCTGGTATGCCTGGGGAGAGAGGATCTGTTGCGATTGCGCCTGGGTCGCCGCATGCTGTTGAGGATCTGCTACAAGGTCAGGCTCACTGATCACGTAACCAGCTCGTATATGCGCACCATGCTCGATCTGGTCAGTCGTATACCCCTCCTGCATCATGTCAGCTAGAAGACGCTCCAGGTTTTCATCTGGTATCGGCGGCGTTACTTGCTGCTGGATTTGATGAGTACCCTGCGGCTGATACATCGCGTACGACTGAAATTGCTGTCCATACTGAACACCATTCGGAGTCGAAGACTGGGAGGATTGGGCCGACTGGCTGCTCTGTTGCTGGAATGCGTACGTCTGCTGGTGTCCAGGAGAAAGGAAGTGAGTGAAAGCGCCAGGCGGTTGTTGCTGGGTCTGCTGCGGCTGGGGCGACCACTGCTGTTGCCATCCCTGAGAAGTTGACTGTTCCATCGGCCGCTGGTGACCGTGCGGAACACGTCGAACGTCGACAGCAGCGCACACGTTTCGTCGACGGCGGTGACGTGTACTGATCCGTTCGAGGACGATACGCGGTCTGTAGGACACAGATTTCAGTTCGCCCGTTTTTGGGTCTATTTAATGATAGATTCCACACGTTTGTTTTGGGTTCTTTTGGGATAATTTTTTGGCTTGGGGACTTTTGTGCCTGCCTATCCTGCTTCGTATTCGTCTGGAACTTGATTTGGATTTGGATGGATTGGCGTTCAAGGGCGTGATGATGGAAATACCACCACGTCTCTTTTCGCGCACACCAAGTCACAGGTCCCCGATGCTCCCCGAACGGATAACACGGCTATACAATGCAATACCAGGGAGACTCGGAGAGCACCCCTTCACCGCTCAACTGGCCAAGTACGCTAATACGGACGACGTGGATCGAGCTCACGGATTGGAAGAGAATGGAGGATGAGGAGAGGTATATCCGGGCGACAAAGGGAAAAGAGGGCAAACGCGATAGATGAGGAGGGGAGGGTGAACTGCCGCAAGTGATGGTGGCGCGGAAGGGATCTTAACGGAAGAAACCTTTGCGGGCAAATGGCTTTGAATGAGGTTAAGATATTGACAGCGTTGCGGAATCAGAAGGAGGCAAAGTGGGAAAATAAGTACTGGAAGAGTAAAAAGTTGTTATCGCTGGCAAAATTTCCAAGTAATATTGGTTTCTATCGTTTCCCATCAATTTCGTGATTATTCTCTTCCATTTGTGTACAAGAGAACAATTCCTAGTCAAATGTACCCGGGGATGATCTCGTCACGCGACTGAGTGAGTAGTCAGGACGGAAGCTAATTATGAAAAATAATATACAAAACACATAACACTAATCAGTGGTACTCAAATATACACAAGGCTTTGTATAATTGTGCAGCGCCCCCCCTTTTCGCGTTTAAACACTTGCCCCCCCTTGATCCCTCCCCTCATAACACCCCCTTTCTACTTTCCTTTCCTTCATCTCCCCCTTTACTCCTTACCATCATGCCCCCTAAAGTCGTGCCAAAACATCTCGACGACGGAAAGGACGAGGTGAGCCCCTATTGGCTGTGAGCAAACGCGTCGGCTTACGTGAACACGCGCACCAGATCATCTCCGCCTTTGTACAACTCTCCTCTGCACTCAACAACGCAGCAAAAGTCGTTGAAACCTACACCTCTGCATTATCCAATGGCGGGATCAGCGTGCAGGCTGCTGGGGAGGGCTATGTCGCTGCAATCCGGGCTCTGGGAGGTGCTGAGATCAAGGCGGAAGCTAGCCCCGTTGTAGGGAAGAAGCGAGGCCGCCTGCCTGTGGGAGATGAGTTGGAGAGCGGAAAGAAAAAGCGTCGCATGAAGAAAGAGAAGGACCCGAACGCACCTAAGCGCCCTGCGAGCGCCTACCTACTCTACCAAAACGACAAGCGGGCCGAATTCACTGAAAAGTTCAAGGGTTCCCCGTACCATGAGATGTTGGCCAAGATTTCGGAGAGCTGGGGCAAGCTATCTGAGGTAGAGAAAAGCGTACGCCTTCTGCTATGATATATGTCCAGTGTATGTTCCTGACGTCAATTTAGCCATACCTGTCTGCGCAAGCCAAGTTGAAAGAGGACTACGAAGGCCGCAAGAAAGCGTACGAGTCCTCGAAGACCGATGCAATTCCTGCACCTGACGCTATCGATGAAGACGAGGATGAGCTGCTGGATACGTCGCCTGTACCTGCCAAGGCTGCTACCAATGGGGAGGCCGAAAGCGAGGACGACGATGACACCGATGATGAAGATGAAGAGGATGAAGCAGATCAAGTCAACTCAATAGTCGCCAAGAGGAAGGGTGCGGACGATGAGGAGGAAGAAGAAGAAGAGGATGATGATGATGATGATGCCAGTGAGACTTCGGAAGATAACGAGCCACCTCGCAAGAAGACGAAGGGTGCCGCACCCGCTGCCTCCACCAAGATGCCTGCCCAAACAGCTGCGAAAGCCGTCGGTAAGCCCGCTAGCAAGCCCACTAGCAAGAAGGCCGCCGAGGTGCCTGCCGTTGCAAAGGAGAAAAAGAAGAAGAAGGCGAAGGAGTAGATGATGTTCGCCTGTCTTCGCGTTTTGCTTTGATTTGTCCACTTTCACTCTTAGGTTCCCGCCGAGCTGTCTTCATATGATGTATGAGAGTAATTTTTTTTCATCTTCCGTAAAGTACTTTTGTTGTTTAGTCACGGTATTCTGTCTTGAGCTTGAATCCACAAAATTGGCGCTTGCCTGTTGTGCCCAGACGTCCAAGGCTCAGGATGGTCAAGAAGAAAGAGGTGTGGGGGCGGGCCCCAGTACCGTGCGCATGGATCTGAGAACGACGGAAGTTCAGAAGTGTCGGTCGATCTAACCACGTTGTCTCCTTCCACCCCACATTGCTTCATCCGAACGGGCCGAGCCTGTATACGTTGCTGTTCAGATGGGCCTACTTACTATAATAAGAAAAAATCGCTACAAGGAGAAGGAGATGCGGATCCTGTTCCTGTCTGTGCTCTTTGCGCTTCTTCTGTGGCCTCGTCTCACTGCTTACTTGATATCCGAAGGGGACTGGACAATGCGGGAAAGACTACGATCATCAAGAAGATCAACCGAGAAGACGTAATGCAAGTCAGTCCGACTTTGGGGTTCAACATCACTACGTTTGTGCATGGGAAGTACGTATCGCCGCCCTCCCCATTGTCTTGCACTGACGTGAATACCCGAGATATACCCTCAACATTTGTATACCAGTGTCATCTTTACGTGCCACTCATTTGCTAAGTCAGTTTGTAGGGGATGTTGGTGGTCAACGATCACTACGGCCGTACTGGAGAAACTATTTCGAACAGACTGACGGGCTCGTCTGGGTCGTCGACTCCGCGGATCGACTCCGAATGCAAGACTGCAAGGAGGAACTGTTTAACCTCCTAACGGAAGATGTGCGCATATACTGCAAGGAGATTCGTGTCATATGCTGACTGGACGCCGAAGCGATTAGCCGGCGCATCCCTTCTGATCTTTGCTAATAAGCAAGACATAAAAGGCGCTTTGTCCATCAAAGAGATTCACGAAGCCTTGTCCTTGGGCACTATCAGATCCCATCGGTACAGGATCCTACCCTGTAGCGCTATGACCGGAGAAAACCTCGTAGAGGGGTTTGACTGGATAGTGGACGATATCGCATCCCGACTTTACTACAGCTCTACTACGACTGTCACACCACAGCCGCCTTGAAAGGGCAAAAAAGGGATGATCGACATTCGCTAGGGAGATGTGTAATATACACTATGGGATACATCAAGATCTGCTGTTATGTTTCAGCTCGACGATCCAGACTTTTAAGAATGCGTCATGCAACTTCGTCCCGCCCCAATGATACACTCCAGATCTTTTTCACAACCACGGGCGTGTCCGCGTAGTACGCTCCTGTAGGAACGGTCAAGGCATTGAAGACAACCGCCTCGAGCGTATTCGCGTAGCTGCGTAGGTAAGAACAATACTATGGGAGAACTCAGAATAGAAACGGTGCAAATAATTTTCCACTTACGAATGTGCAGAAATGACGGAACCATCCCCATGTCTCCCAAGACCCCCACCCATCCTCATCCCACTGATCACGCTCTTCCCAGGACAGCCCATCAGGCGAATACACAAGTATACGACAGAAGCCAGTCAGTGCGGCTGTCAATGAGCTCTTCTGCTCCTTCGTAAGAGTAGCTAGCGCTTTCAACGCGTTCGCCAAAGCTGGAGAGTCAACAACCGGCGTGGGTGCTTCGAATGCATCGGGATTATCTGCCATGGCGTAATCATCCCCGGCACTCGCTACCTTTGCGCGAGCTTCATCGTCTTCCTTGCGCAGAGCGGCTGCCCTTTTCTTTGCTACAGTGACACGTCCGTTTGCTTTATCGATAGCGGAACGTAATGCCTCCCATCTGAACGTCGAGAACCAACGAGTGCTGCGTTCAGAATGGCCATTCATCTTGCTATCAACCGTAGAATCCGAGGCGCAGCACCAATTGATGATATCCACGGGATCGAGGATTTGATACTGCATCAACTTGTCGAAGACGATCAAGATTCTCTGTTCATCTTGCCGCCAGAACTTCTGGGTCTCGTCCAATAGTTGTTGCTTGGCTCCATTTGGCCCAGCCAAATTTCGCAAGAGGGGTAGGTATCGTTCGATGGCATTGAGAAGATGTGAGAATGAGCGCGAGCCCACATTCAACAGTGTCTGGAACGTAATCGCCCGAGCAGTCTGGTCGGCCATCTCTTGGGTATATTCACCCTGAGCCAGCTGTTCACGAATGCGATTAACCTCATCGATGACTTCCTGAGGGGTGCTGCGAGGTATCCTTTGCTCTGGATTTCCCTGCATGAGCTTGGCTATTGTATTGGATGCTTGATGATGTTCGTTTTCTAAAGCGGGAGTCAACTTTGAATGGTCTATGCTCTACTGAACGTGCCCATACCCGAATTGCCAAATTCGAACTGCGCAGTCGCAGCTTCTTCAGGTACTATGCCGGCTTCAGGCTCGCGAATTGGCGGAGGAAGGGCCTGCACGATTCGGTCGAAATAAGCAAGACGGACTTCAAGCTCAATAGCACGACGCATGAATTTCCTCTTCGGGTGCGCTGGAGGTAAGGAAATATCCGAAACCCTAAAGATCGAGTAAGATGACAGACCATGGTGGGACAGACGCATATACTCACCATTCTTTCCATACCCAGCCAAAATTGAAATTGCTCATATGGACAGAGAACCATTCTGCAAAGCGCCTCGATACTTCAGGCAAGAGGCCATCACCCAATAAGCTGTACAGCTTGCGTATTGACTTGCCAACAGCAGGTCCGGCAGTCTGCGGTGCCAATTTGCAGAGTTCCGTCAACAAGCTGTGATAATAAAGGGGCATCTGTTCTGGCCTTGGCATTGTGAAGCAGTGGGATAGAATGGTCTGTGAAAGCGGTTGAGCAAGGAAACATAATTTTGGGGGCTGATTTCTCACCTCCACCAGGAGCGGTTCGAGCTGCCAATCGCCTTCTGCCACTCCTTCTGAGTTTTTCAGCTTCAGAACGCCCTTTTTGCACCATCGAGGAAGTTCGGTCAGAATGCGCGCAGCCTCCCTACGATTGACCTCGAAGATGTTGATAGTGTCGGACACCATAGCACGAAGAAGATAGCCGGTCAAACCACTCGGGCTTGGAGTAACCTACATATGACAGTCAGCCTATAACAAAGGCTCCGAAAGTAAGGGTCCACTTCATCATCAAATAAGCGAAGGTACACATCGGGAAACTCTCGTGCGGCTCCAATGGGTGCTCGAGACTCCTCGGAACTCCCTTCATCCACCCCCTCTACTTCAATTACTTCGGGAGGTACAATTAGAGTTGGAAGCGAGAATTGAGCTTCCACATCGACATCTTTGAGAGAGATCACAGCATATGGAAGCGGGAAAGGTAGTTCCGCGTCCGCAAATGATGTTGATATCAAGGATTTCAGCGCTGCAATCAGGGCATTAAGGAACTGCCAAAGTTGTTCAGCGAAATGAACGGAATGTGAACGCATAACTTACCTCATATGAACGCTCGTCATTCTGATCGTCCGTCCCATATTGTTGCACAAATGGCACAACGACCGCTTTTGTGGCTGAATACGCCACAGCAAACATTTCCATGGACGAAAGAATGGCTTTTACCGCTTCCGGTGATTGGGCGGATAGTGCCTCACCCGCCTGATGGACTCCTCGTTAACTTCGCAGTAACCAAATATGCGAAAACCTACAATCAAAACGCCCTCTCCAGCGCATAATGCTGCTTGCAAGCCTCGATGGTGGGAGACACCAAATTCGTCCAATACCGCGATAAAGGTTTGCAAGAGTTGAAGAAGAGAATTGCCAGAGATTGTTCCACTACGCGTCAGGTGCGCAAAGAGGTGAATCTACAAGGGAATTTATATGAGCTACTGTGTGAATAGATGATCTGAAGGACACACCGTGAGCCGAATCTCACGCCATCTTAACCCATCCAAGCTACTTTGGAATCCCTTCACGACATCGTCCATGATCCCCGAGGAGCCGCTTGACAGGTTCGACTCAGTATTCTCATCAGCCTCGCCAAGAGTTTCAGTTTCGACGCGGTCAGGATGAACCATCAGAGCGAGCAGTGCGGCATACGCGGCAATTTTGTAGGGCTGCTCTACTGCCCTAAAATATCGTAGTTAATATCGCTCTCATACTGCGCAGACCCCGACACAGACCCTACTCGTACAGCATCGGCAATCGCATCCTTGACATTGGTTTCAGTCGAAGTTGCTCGACGCGATACGAGGCGTTTTGCGAAAGGTGGTATTCTGGTGGGCGCGAAATCCTGGATGGGGTCAGTGCCCAATCTCGGCCACCGTGAGGTAGCTCACAAAAGAATCAGCCCCCTTCTCCGTCACGTTCCCGAACGCATATATCTCCTTTCTTATGGTCTGTTCCGGAGTTTCGGGGTTATACTGTTCCCGGCGGTACGGGCCTCTGTTACCACCAGCTCCAGCGTCACCGTCTGCAAGAGGTGATGTCGGTCACGCATATTGCCGTTGTCATAACAAGCTTTCTTTACCATAATAACCTCTATCACGCCCTCCACCATGACGTCCACGTCCTCCACGATAACTCATGGCTTTTCTTGCAGTCTCTTTAGGACCGATATTTCTTGCGGGGCAGTGGCAAACGTCACCAGCGCAGTTCTCCAAATATTCGAACTTTCGCACATCAACCTGGGGACTGGTGGCTGAGCCGGAACCATTCCGCCGCTTCATCACGAACTCTACAGAGCTGTTACGTACCTTCTACTGGTGCTGGTGGCACAACGTCTTACTCCTCTCTAACCCCTCTGTCACTACCACCTGTCATGTCTAGGAACTTGCTGTCACTAATTGTCTTTGTTGCGCCCCTCTTGATACAGTGCTTTACGTTTTGTGCTTCGATATTCTTGGGTTGTCGCAATCTTATGAGGAAATCGCAATCGTGCTTCCGACTGACAAATAATCTCTACCCTCCCGGAAATAACGGCGGCTCTTCCGGCCTGGATCACGCTGGATCGTTCGATCATGGTCCCATAGTTCAAGAGCGCTGTCTGAGATAAAAATCAATCACGTGCCTTCACGTGTCCAGCGTTTCTTCGACCTTAAAAAGCGCGTCCTCAGATGGCCTGCTTCTCTCTTCTTCTTCCTCCCCACCATCTTGGACCAGGGGGGCCTTTAATATGTCTTCTATATCAGTACCTTCTACACCAACGCGCTCCACCACTTTGGTAGAGTCTCCGAGTTCTCCCTCCGATAAACTGGCACGGGCACGGGCTGCCCTTCTATGTACCCCTGGTGCTCAGCGGATCTCTCTGCACTCAGCTCACAGCAGTCCTTCGTCATCCGGATCGCCTCATACCCCTCAATCCAGTCCTCCGAGCTATAGGTCTACTCGAGCTAGTCCCACGTCTCCTACTTCGGCGATGACTAAACGCGTCTATCCTTCATTCGCGGCGGCAGCGCAGGGCAAATCTGAAGCCGACAACGACGGTGACTGGAGATATCGTGCAGAAACCAATGCCATCAAGGTCACAAAAGAAATCAGCCCCAACAACTCCAACAGTTCTGGTGACGAAAATGGTACGTGTATGCGCGCATATACTTGATTGTCTCTGACCTCAAGCACAGAACTACTGCCTACTCCTTCCCTAGCGCATTCTCGAACCTTCTCAGAGCAATCACCAGACTCTTCGCTATCTCTTCAGAGCCATTTGGACGAAGAATATCAGGTGTCCTTATTCACTACTCCCCCTAAGCGCCCTCTCAGTCGACTGCGAGGCAGCGTTTCTGATCCACCACTGACGAGAAGTCGCTCGTATACTCTAGAGAACTCTCTGGGGCGCATTGAAACCACTGTCGAGGCCCGATTGAGAGCAATAATGCACGAGAACGAGCTGTCCCCTACGACCGATTCTCCTAGGTCTGCGGGTGAGGGCCGTACTCGTCTCGACAACCGTCCGCGCCTTAATCCACGCTTTCCTTCCATCGGAACTCATTCCCCTCCCGCAGCTTCCTGCTCGGTCTGCGGCATTTGTTCTTCAGTTCCCACTCGGTTTTCGATCCTCGAGCCGTGTCGTCATCTCATATGCTGTAATTGTCTGACTGGCTCTCTCAATATTGTGCGTGAGAAGGACATGATGTGCGCCCTCTGTCGTTCCCCTGTTCAGGACTTTAAGCTCCTCGCTCCTCTTCCACTCGCACTCGAAGACGGCCCTTCCATCGGCACCCCATCGCGAAAAGCCTTGATCGACTCTGCTACGTCTGTTATGAGAGCACCTGCCGTCCAGCGTGGCGCCATAAAGGATCTGGCTGCTTCGCGATCCCACACTTCGTTGACTTCTACCATCCTGCGAGTGGATAACGTTCCCTGGGTATGAAGTTCTGTTAATATTCGTTGCCCTCTCATGTCGTCGTGTTCAGGATATTGTTCCGCCTATGGTCGAGGAATGGGTTGGAGAACCAATCATAGCCGCATATACCTTGATTGATCGACACTCCGGAAAGACGTTTAGCCACGCATTTATTGAATTTGGGACCGCCGATCAAGCACGCTCAGTTCTGCGCAAACTGCAGAATGCTGTACTCGGCAAAGGGAAGCGAACGATGGCGGTAACCGTGACGATGTCTTCACAGGAAGAACTGATGACGGAGGTGAGCAAATTACTCCCTGTTTCATCATCGCACTGATCTCTATAGCTGTATCCCTCCTGGGGTGGAGAGTTTATTGGCGCTTGTCCCATTGTGACGGATTATACGAAGCTGCGCGACCAGTCCGCCTTACCATGCATACTTTCCCACAAAGAACTTGAATCCCTCGTCCTACTGCTTGAAAATCCAAATGTACGTGATTTATGCTGCAGAATGCCTTCACCGTTCTGATGACCGCAACAGCCTCGTTTCGTGAAGACACCTGCGCTGCCGTACTATGAACTGATAGGTATCCTGAAGAAGATTCCCCAGGAATGGATGGGTTGTCTGTCGATCGAGATCCGCGACCACCTCTTTGGTAAGCACCCTTTGTATGTCCGTGAAAGCTGCTGAACGGCTTGACAGACTTGTGTTCCTGTAACTATATCAACTCTGAAATCCCAGGGGCTGTTAATGACTTTGTGGATAGATGCGATCAAGTTGCTCCGCACCCAGGTTCAGCAGAACTACAACTATCATCCGGACGTGAACAACGACTTGATACTAGAACTTGACCGATCCATCCATACCTGTGCTGGTAGGTTCTCCGCTCCTGTTTACTCCGATATATAACATTTGCACAGCATTCGACAGCTTGATCAGCACCACGTCTGTCTCCTTCACTACGTCCACCCCAATTAAAGAGGCAATACGACTCTCTGTCTCAGATACCTCGATGCCGTCCAATATCAGAAATGCCACTCCAGTCACCAGAAGCAGCATGATTCAGCGCTTTGCCAGCGAGTTTAATGTCCATCCAGATATTGTGGCTAGTCTCGCTACCCGACTGGCTAACTTATGAGATAGGTTGGAGGGATGGATAATGGCCGTATTCTCGATTAAAGTTGTACAAGAACATGAAAAGCCTGTCGTCAAGTGGATGAGAATCGCATGACCGTTGCTGCAGATTGTCCTCATCACGAGTTTTTTCACCAACGTGTACTAGTAGTATAAGCAATCAATTCACTCCTTTCCACTCATCTTTGGTAGCGGCGGACTTAAGTCTATGCTTAAACACGGAGATCAGCAGTCTGAAACCTCAGGTACATGTTTGAATCTTCACACACCGACCCGGGGACTGGCCAAATTATCGGTCATTCAGTTCGGAAACTACGACAAATGAAGGCAATATTCTTATATATTCTACTCGGCTGAAGGTGAAATTCTTCCATCTTTCGCTGCAAGCTGTGCTTCGTCCCTTGATATGGCAACGTCCGTGTTTGCGGGAGCGACTAGAATAGGGTGCTTCTTTTCCCTGAGCGGACGATAAGGGCAACGTGAGGCCTTCTGGAAGGCTGGCCAGATCGGGTCATTTATTGACAATGACATGGATGGGATGGCTGGGGATGGTGATCGCCGTGGACGAAACTTTGAGGGGACAGCGTGTTTCTGCGTAGACGTTCTACAACACGGACGTCCTCCAGTCAATCCAGCCGCCAGTTTGACGGTGAGGCTAATTATGAGCCTAGAAGCGCCTGAGAAGGCAGGCCATGACATATACACACACAGTGCGGGTGATAAGGAGACAACCCGGGGAGAACTTCCGGATTGACTCAGAGAGAAAGATGGAGGGCTACGGAAGGTTACCGTCCCCTTGGCGGTTGCTTGCCTGTGCTGTGATGGGCCTTCAGGAGCTGTGAGATTGCCCCTTCCAGTGTTGCGCAGGACTGGAGATGATTCTGGGTTGGTAAGCTGCACCGGTGCGAGTTAACGTTGGACTCCCGGAGAGGAGAGAGGAAGTACGCCATCGGCTTGGGTCAGGGCCGAAGATGGAAAAAGCTGCAGGGTCGGGCGCTTGCCGCGGTGCGTGTCATCGGACGTCCAAGCGTGGAGCCTTGATTCGGATTCTGGCTGGAAATACAAATGCGGTCGCGAGCGGATGAAGACGATGATAGGGTTGATACACCCCCGATCGCAACAATCACGCAACCTGCGGCACGCGCACCACATAGCGAACATGATCTTCCGCCTGTTCCCCGGCAACATGCGCCATTGACCCTTTGACAAGGTAAATGGCTTGATGAAGGAAGGCAAGTTGCAGGAGGTGATGGAAGGAAGTTCGCGCCCGCAGCCTCGGCCGCGGGTTACTGCGGTCCTCCCGACTGGGGCGCTGCCATGCCGGCTTGTCATGTCATGTCAGGCTATGTATGTCGCGCTGTCATTCAGAGCGTGGGTTCCAGATTCCGTGATTCCAATATTCGATTCGATGCTGTTCGATTCGCCTCATGATATGATGCGATGCGGGACGCGATGTGTGATTCCGAGCGAATGTGTAGGCGTTTAGTCTGGATCTGGATCTGACGGGGAGGGGGGGGCCGAGTGCCGCCGGTCGCCGCATGTGTTGGTGCATCCGGGGATGAAGAGGTATATAATGCGCCTGGGATGACCCTGCGTGGGGGCTCCCCCTCCCTTCGCCCTCCAGCTGGAACATCAAACTTCGGCATGTTAAGAGTCAGACCGCGCGCCGCCTCTCTCCGTTATTCTTTTTGGAAGCCCGATGAACTCCATCTATACAATGGAATGGATGGAGAGATCCCTGTGGGTTCATGCGGCTGAACCGGCATTGGAATGTGGATACGGGCTTGGGTTTGTAAAAGGTATTTTAACTTGAGCGGAAAGGGGGTTTGGATGGTTTACGTCAACCTGTCTGAACTGCCCCTGAGAAGGTGCGTCTCGACTTCTCTCAGCAGATGAACGCAAAAGCAACGTAGCCCGTGGCCCGTGGCGCTTGCTCGGCGGGCTGGGTATATAACCTCTCCCTTTCGCATGGAGGTAGTCATCTGACTTGCAGATGGACGATCACCCCCTTTCCCCCCCTCGCCGTTTCCCTCCTCTCCCCCTTTAAACGTACTCTCACTCTGACACACGGCGGCAAAACTGACCAGCCATGTGGGCGCTCTCTGATGGCGAGCCGCTGACGAATCAGCTGCGAGCAGAGGCAGTTGCTTCCGTGACTGCTTCCGATGGATGAAGGGACATTGGATTGTATGGATTTCTGTGGAAAAACAGGTTGTTGAGGAGAGGGTATATTAAGGGAATGACGGAGAGGAACATTGGTAGGTTGTTGTGTTTTTTTTCTTTGCAGGTTAGATATGTGTGTGAGGTGTGAAGATGGGAGGTGTGAGTCGAAAGGGGGCGGTGTAAAGGGGGGG